TTGCTGCTGAGTAATTTCTGTATTGCTTTTTGTGCTCATTGAACTACAAATATGTGAAAGTAGGACAGAAAGTTAGTGGAATATACTGAGGCTCCCTCCAGTAAGAAGACAAGAAGGCATCCTATAAGTTAATAAACATGTTGCAAACTTAACATTTGTTAGCTGTAGGTCATCTTGACTTGGGGCACAAAGCAGGCACAAGAAAAGTGCTGGACATTTTGTCATTAACCCATGGCAAGTTGGCCGTGTGCCTACAGTGGGGTGATGCAGGGGATTCTCTTCTTGGTATGGCCCCTCAGATGTGTGGACAATTTGTGTATGATGGTTTGAAGCATTGCCTAATATGCTTATAGAATTGTGATGCAGGAATAGATATAACAAACAATGTGATGGTGGAAAAGTATTAGTGCTGTAGGAATTCTAATCAGTTTTCTCAAATGAAAGAGGTAGGAATTAGGAGCTTTATTTAATGCACTGAAAGTTACTCTCAGGAAGCACAGTTCTAAAAATATCATGTCTATGGACTGTTGTGTAGCTGGATATAATTAATTCTTTGCAGGAAGCATGTAGTACTGAGATCAGAAGGGTTAGATTTATGCCATATTCATCTGCCATTTAAGAGAGAAGACTCCAGCAAACACATGCATATCCATTGCTTCTTGTTAACTGACATATACCTGCCAGTTTTTTTAACACCTGGCTGCCCATCGTGATGTCTTATGCTAGCAAACTCAAAGTTATGTCTTAGCACCCTATTACAGAAAAGAAGATTATGGTACTGAGTATACTATAATGACATGTTAGGTCAAGCTCTAGCAGCTAATTGTAGATACTGCAAAACCTTCTACACTCATGTTAAAAGCAAAACCTTTTGCAATTTTTTAGATTCTTTGGATATAAAAAGTTCAGTTTCCTTAATTTGCATTAGTGTTTTAAGTTTTGCATCTTGGAAGCAGGGAAGTGTCTACTTTGGATGCTAGAGGTTCGCTACAAGTCTGTACTATTAATGGCTTTTTGTTATGTAGATGTTTTGGCTGTCATTGGGAAGTTCAGGAATGTTGAACAGCTATGAAGAATGTACCATACATCCAAGAAGTATTATGGGTTTTTTCCCAGCCAATGGTTTGGTATCTTAGTGTAACAATACAGTACTGTGAATGTATTAGGCTACATTAATTGTTTTAGGGTGCAGTAAGCTTTTGTCCAATGTCACCTCTAAGTTTACTTCTCCCTCCCTTGTAGGATTCAGTTTAATGCCATCCAGATTGATTTCTTCGTGCTGTGGCCAAACACATTCTTCCCAGTCCTTGAGAGGTACAACCCCTTGGTTGCCAGCAGTCCATCTTCCAGGAAGTGTAGCCTAGTCCTAGCATCCAAATCTCTTGCGCCAGCACAACGTTTATAGCCAGACATTTTCACAGAGTATTTTTCTTTCCCTTTTTATTTCTCTTCCAAGTACTGGAAGGATGGATGAGAAAACTATCTGGGCCCAAAGTTCTTGAGTTTCCTCCCCCAAAATCCAAAGTTTGACATGATTTCTTCAGTGCTCCAGAAGAACTGAGATCTTGTTCAAGTAGTTGTGATACGGTTTTTTTTTTGTTTTTGTTTAATGGTGGAAGGTGGTATTTAATATCATTTAAATATTAATTATTTAAGATTAAAGCTCTGAAGAGTTTGGTCCAATCGACATCTGCTATTGACAGAACAGGATCACATTACCTTTTATCACCCCATGATCACATGGAAGCTGCTGTCACATAAAAGAAAATATGAATCAGAAAAATAATACATCAGAACTGAACTAAAGCTTCAGTGGATTTGTTTTGGTGTCACGCTAATCTGTGGAATAAACTCAGCCTCTCCCTTGGTTCACATGCTCTCTTTTCCTCTGGTGAGGCACCAGGAGGAGATCAGAAGTCTACAGTTGCACTTTGGATTAAGCACCGCTGTGGTTAGTCTTAGCCAGCTTCAGAAACTTCTACTTGACACTGATTTCTTTCAAAAGTTAGTTAAGACTGGCCACGGTTTGTCAGGTTTGGAGGACACAGGAAACTGTGGTCAATAAAAACTGAAAGCAGAAAGCCTGCAGTCTTTTTCACAGCGATGCTAGAGGAACATAAATCATGATGTATCATGTTTATGGTTTGAGAAAATTGATGCAAACTGGCCAGCCTCATACTCTGGTAAATATTTTGCAGGGTGATTTCCCCAGTTTATTTAAGGCACTTTGGAATCCGTGCACGATCTCACGAACACACTTTTTCTCCACTTGTCTACATGGCCATGTTTCCATCATGTGGCCTGCAAGATTGGTAGAGGTGGGCGGGGGTGGGGGGAGAATTCCAAAGCCTCCCTCCTTTCTTCCCTCTGTCTTCTTTTTCTTGTACTGCTGGGAAGCAGCTATTAATAAGTTTAATCAAAGGGAGCCTGAACTGGAACAGAGGTTAGAGAAAGAGAAAATAGCGCAGTTAAGGGTTGTAATGTTAATTTGGGCCAACTGGAAGTTAAATGAGTAGAAACAAATTTCTAAGTCATCATAGGTTTATTGTAACCCCAGCACCTCAGTATAGTTTAAATCCTGTCATTTTCAAAAACATCCAGAAATTTAAACACTAGTTGACACAAATTTAAACAGTAGTTGGAGGAGGCAGAGGCCAATGGTGGACTAACCCAGCAAGCAGCCCCTTCCAAGAGGCCACTTGAATGGGGTGTGTCCTGAGAACTGGACCTGAAAGGGAGTGGCCAGGTGACTCACAGCACCTGTACAGGTGGCAGGATTCCTTCTGGCTCCTGACTCCCAGCTGAGGCAATCAGAGGATGCTTCCCCAGCTGGTCCAGAGACTCCGGGATGCAAGTGGCCAAGCTGTGGTGGAAGAGAAGACAAAGGCCCCTGACTTGTATGAAAATGCTCCAAACATTTAAAGAGAAAATATGCATTCCTTGCAATTGAATGCAGGTTCTTTTGCATGGAATTATGAACGAAGGTGAAGGGCCCTGGTGTGTGTCCGTGTGTGTGTGTGTGCAGCAGACAGAGTTGGCAATGCCATTGTTTTGTTGTTGCCGTGGGAGAATGAAACAAAATACAAGTGAATATTTTATTAATGTCCCAGTTTAATTTTGTCTCTTGGATAAATAGTTTGGCCTACCATAAACAAATCATAGCAGATGTGTTCCACATGCTCTCCTGTTTAGCTGAAGACAAACCTTGCCCTCAGTTAAGTGGGTATACTTTGTCTCTGGGTATCACTGCAAATAGCCTTTAATGAACTTGGTTGTAAGCAATAGCCTTTGAGGCACATTTAAATAATGTGGGGAAAAATAAGCATATTCTCTTGCGAAGGTGCATGTTTGGGGCTGCTAAGGAAAGAGTAATCATAGACAAAATATGCTATGCAGAGGCCGTGACAAACCTGGAGGCCTGCTATGATGCATATGAGAATATATGGAAACAGAGAGGCGTTCCGTCTTCCCCGCTATGCCAGAGTCCTTGGCAATTTCCCACAGGCCAGAGTGGGTGTTGTCTCCTTGTCACATGAAATGTGAGGTTGGCCCATGTGTTCAGTTTTGGAAGGACTATGCAGCACAACAAGCCAGCTGGTACTGGATGAACCTGTCCAGGGGTGTAATGCAGGTGAGGAAAGGTATGGCTGTCAGAGGTCTTGGCTCATCGAGCCCCTTCTCAGTACCAAAACAGACATTACTTTAACTCTGTGATTGGGTGTTGACAACACAAAAAGCCACGATGGGTTTCTACCATTGTAGGTCTACCATTGTGTTGTCTGGACCCAGTCATGGTATTTCTCCATGATAAATTTGGTCTTTAGAAACCATGATAAGAAATGACAGTTTGTTTTAAGGTTTCTGTGTACCACCATGGCTTGTTGCATTGTCTGAACCCAAGATTGCAGTTTCCACCAAACTGGTATGAAACTCCCACAAAGTCTTGCCATCCAGCATCAATATATGGACCAATGAGGAAGTGGCAGGCAGCATAGGTAGGGAGCAATACAGGTTGGGATTGCATTTCAGACAGAGAGACTGATGGGATACATGCCAGAATTAGGACTGAGCAGGGAGGACGGCAACCATGATAACATAGGAACCATTTGATTGTCTGTTGGGCAGATCATAGTAAACAACTGACAAACCATGGTTACCATAAAGGGTTGCTTGGTATTACCTAGCAGCTGTGCTTTAATTTCTACTCTAGAGTAGGCATCAGGTACCCAGTCTGGGTTAGAACCCTAACATGGGGAGCAGGGGAATTGTTAGGATCCGAACAGGACCCTCTGAGCCTACTGTTGAGTAAAACTGGCAGGGAAATTTTAAGAGCTTAAAGTATTAGTTCTTAGGAAGGAAAGGATAGCATTAGTCCTCCTGAGGAAACAAGGAACTTTCCTGTCTACAGTTTAAAGGCTAATGCTATGACCATTTCAGAGTCAGACGAATATACATTTCTCCTCAATGCGCAAGAAATAGGGTTTTGTGGCGTCCCCTCTAAATTGTAATGTTACAAGTTAAAACACAGGAAACTCAAGAGAGCTGTTTGAGGAGAAAATGGTTGTGTGAAGTGGCTCTGACTTGTTTATTTAAAATATTTATAGGTGGCTTTGCAGGGCATTGCAAAACCTTGGCATATTTCTGGGAGGAACCACCCGTCTCCCATCCAGGCCATGTATTCTGTCTGTTAGTCCAGAGCTAGACTGAACAATCCTCTTTATACAGGATTTGGGTATAGGATTTTCTTTGTTGCTTTGGAAGTTTAGAATAAGAATTCGTGACCATAAGTAGCATAAGTCTTTTGCACTGGAGCTTCTTAGGAAGTCCCCTTCCTTTCATTTAGGGGATGTGATTCAGTGATTCATGCATCTCCATTTTTCACTGCATGGAGTTGGGTAGAGGGTAGCATGATCTTTCAAATTCTTTGCTCTGGGTTAAGCACATGCCTGTGTAATTCACCTCTAATTTAATAATGATGAGCTTTCCTTGCTGTGATCCAGATTATAGGACTGGCCCATGCTTCACGTTGGTAACCAACCAGATGTGCCAGGGACAGCTCAGCGGGATAGTCTGCACAAAAACCCTCTGCTGTGCGACGGTTGGCAGAGCGTGGGGCCACCCCTGTGAAATGTGTCCGGCTCAACCTCATCCCTGTCGCCGAGGCTTCATTCCAAACATACGAACGGGAGCTTGTCAAGGTACGGTGCAACGGAACGGCTGAAACAGAACTGCAGGCATGCTGTATCTGCTGTCCAAAGGAGTTGTCTTTGTACAGAGGAGGGTGCGGGAAGGAAGATGAGCTCTATGACTTCACCGTCTAATGATTGCCTGATGCTCTTGCAATGGTATTTGTAAGACTTCGTGAAAGCAGCAGGAATTTCATGGCCAAGAAGATCCTTTGGTATACTGAAAAGCTATTACCTTTACTTTGGTGTACACTCATTACTAACTTTTGTAGTTAGTAATGAGTGTGCAGCAGAACAAAACACTTCTTGGTAATTCTTCAGACATTCTGCTTGAGTTCACACATAATGACAAGCCATTGTTCAAAAAAACTCCTGGTTGTCCATGCTGATCCATGCTGCTCTGTTTGGCTCCTGTGCGAATGGCTGAACAGCCCAGGAAAACGCCATCCCTGCTTTGCATAGTATGACCAGCCTTCCTTTCCCTTAATGAGACAGAGTTAGAACCTGGGGTTTTATCTTGGGTTCCAACTCTGGCCTGTTGGGAGAGAGTTCAGGTATCAGCTGAAGAACCCAGGGATGGAATGTCTCTGGTTGACTTAGCCACATGGTGCTCGCAGCCACATGGTGCTTGCAGAAGAGCCAGATGGGAGTGACTGAGCAGTATAAACTCGTGACAGATGGGGCCAACAACACCTTGAGTTGCTGTTATGTGTGGACTGGGCCTCTGTGTTTTATTTTAACATTTGAGGTCCCTGCCTTCTTGATATTTCTTTTAAAAGGACTCCCTCAGATCTCGAGAGAACCGTGGGTGGTTGCTCTCTTCAAAACTGCTCGCTGCATATTTTATGCAATGTAGGGATTTAAATACATCTACATTTGGTTTTGAATCTCAGTATCCACCAAGAGGTTGCTTACTTTATTCGTGAGCATGCCCTGCCCTTACGCTGCTTTTGGCTTTATTCTAACATATCCAGCTGTATACATTCTTTTATTGTCTGGATGTCTGACAGGAAACAGGAGAAAGTTAACAGGGGCAGCAGCTACACACTGAATTGGTGTGGATTTTATATTCCCAGGACTGCATTGCTAGGAGAATTTGTTTTAGGCCCTTTTCTAAAATTTTGTCTAATGAGCTACAGTATTTTGTGGGTCTACAGAAGATAAAGGCTATAAATTGAATACTGTTGTGGTTAATCTAAACGTTCCCATGGTGAACTCAAGCCATTCCATTGTTTTAGAAATTTTGGATATAGTTTAGCAAAATCAAGCCCCTTCATATGTATTTAAACAGCGTTGGGCTCTCTATAAACTGCAGAAACTACTTGCATATAATTTGTGTGGCCACGTTCTGTCTTTTCGGTGTAGTAAATCAGCACAGAGTGCTGACGAGCCTTGGTGGAGTCCAGTATTTTAAGCCCATTTCCCATGGCTATTTTCAGTGCGTATCAGCAAAGTGGGCCACGTCTGTAGTTCGTAGATCAGATTGTCCTGGACGATCCATCCTCGTTGTGTTCCCGTGTCTGCAAAGTGTGATAGCTGCCACATTTAATTGTGTCTTCATTTTTTTCATGAGAATTGATATCCACCGAGGTGGAAACTGTTCAGCTGAACAGGATAAAACCGAATCCAAGTGAGCTAAGTGGGGTGTGTGCTGGTTTGAAACAGGTTCTTTCGCACAGCCTCCTCCACACTGACTTCTGCCAGAGGGAGTCAGATGGTGACACGCATAGGTGCAGATAGCTAGGGATTATGGGAGTTGTAGGCCAACACATCTTGGGGGTGCCTGGTTGGGGAAGTCTGCTGTAGAGTAAAGAAAGAGGACATAAAACATTCAAGCCAAGACTGGCAATGAGTAAAGAACCCACCTCCTGTTTATATCAAAGGAGCACGAGCAGAGCTCACACGAAAGGCCCAGCCAATGAAACCTTCAGTTCCCCACAAAACCCAGCCTGACGTCTGCAGGAAGCACACGACCCACACCCCATGTTGTTCCCCTTCGTCCCCCACCCTGGCATCCGGTGGCCCATGGACAGGCTTCTTCTGAACCTGCAATATAATATTTAGTTACATTTTTGTCCTCTACAGATTTACCTGATCGAGGCTACTAGCCATCATCAATAGTTTCTAGCAGTGAATTCCCATCTGGCCAACTGCCCATCTGTTTCCTTAAGTGACCCGGAGCGCTAGTGTTGTGGAAGAGGGATGTACAATTTTGCAAACCTCTCTCATTCTCTGCCCCATTGTCTTTTCTTCTAAATTGAAAAGACTTGAGTTTAGAAGAAAGGAATACTTTTCTAAATTAAACCAAGTATCTTTTCTACACTAAATGTCCTTCATCCTTGCTTAATTAAAATCAGTGCAACAATCCCTTGCTCATTGTAGTGATTTTTTTCTGCACCCTTCTCATGTCTCCTCTGATACAGTTTTTGTATAATCAGATAGATAGCAAACCTCCTCTCCTAGCTTGCCATCTTCCACTTATATACACAGCCAATTTGCACTTTACAACATTGTCCTATTTTAGTGCTCAGAATGTACACATGAGACTCTGAGTTGTGCAATATCAACGGGATAATGACAAATGAGGAGTAAATTAGGGTTGGGTTCCCTGTTGAGAAACTGGTCCTGTACCGTTCACAACCAAGATGATTCCACTTGTGCATTTTGGCATTTAAACTCAGGTGCCTTTATATCAGGGGACAAAAGGTAAAGCAAATTGACTCTACAGGTAAAGTTGTGATCTGACAAACCTAGAGGAATGACCATTTGCATAGGCAGCTGCACGGCCGGGGGGGGGGGGTCTAGGTTGCCCAGCTTTATGCTTTGCACCCTTTCTTTATACTTTGATACTACAGATCTATTTGCAATTATGTCCAGAGTTTGTTAGTGTGTATCCTTTAACAGAAAATGTTTCTGCACTAAATTATTATATTTTATAACATAATTATCAAACAGATGAAGATCACTGCCAGGCAAGAAGTCCTCTACAAAGTGGGAGCAGTGTGGATGATTTGCTAACTGCTCTTCGTGTTTGGTTTGTTTCTTCTTTGCATGACAGATGTGGATGAGTGCCAAGCTATCCCTGGGATCTGTCAAGGGGGAAATTGCATTAATACTGTTGGCTCCTTTGAGTGCAAATGCCCAGCTGGACATAAGTTTAATGAAGTGACACAAAAATGTGATGGTAAGTCCTTTTAGAACCTTCCTATGGAAGAAAAGAAAACTTCGCGATTGATGTAAACTGTAATTTTTCAAAGTTGCACAATTTTTCCCATGCATTTTTCACACAAAAATGCAAATATTGATGTATTAGCTGTAGCAAGTGCATTTACGTGTTCTTCCTCTTTGTGCCTAAGAGTTGCTGCATTCCTATGACTCTTACATACTGGTGTTTCATCTTTATCCAGGTTTGTTTCCATGCACATTTAGACTTTTAATACTGAACTAGTTCACCAGAATGAGTTTAAACAGTAACAGAAGTTGCAGTGGTCACAATAGCAGGACGCTTTAAACTCGGACTGCTTGTTTATCACACCCCAGTTTGCACAAATCATGTGCTTGTGAATGCAGTCTGTTTTTTCCAACTTTGCTTCTGCTGCTCATGGGGAAGGAGAACAAGCCCGGTGTTTACACCAAGCCTAGTTTGATAGCAATGCCAAGGAGCATTTATTCATTTAGGACACTCGTTCACCACCCCTTTGCCCTGAAGGCTCTCTGGGAGGTTCACCAAAGCAATGGCACACGGATTAAATCAGCAAATGTAAAACTAATAATCCAAGATAATAAAAACAATAGCTAGCATGAGAACAGTGGGACAATGCACATAACAAATAAATAGAAGCAACCAGTGAGAAAAACATAATAAGATCATATTTATGCTGAAAACAGATATGAAGTAAAAATGTTCTCACCTGGTGGCAGAACTGGAACGGTGAGGGTGCCAGCCACGCCTTCTTAGGAAAGGCATTCCAGGGGCGAGGCACAATAACAGAAAAAGCCCCTTTCTGATCATTTACCCCTTTACTTCATTTAGTGGGGGGCAGCTCGCATGAAAGGGTATCCTTTATGGATTATCATTTATTGTGCCCGAATAAGCCAGGATCTGTAAGGCAGCTTTAAACTGGGGTTTGTGGCTGGCTTATGAATCTTGGCTTATTTGGGTTCAGTAAACCATATATCTGGTTTGAACAAAATGCCTGGTTTGCTTATTTGTGTGTGTGAAGAGCAAGGCAGGAGCAAATGGGATACATCACCACTCAGCACTGTGGTCTGATCATTCAGAATTTCTAGCTTACAATCATTTGGGTGCACAGGCCCATCTTGTTGCAGCACTGGTTGAAAGGTTGGGAAAGGGGGAGTTAGGGCAAAACATTCTTTGCATCACTACAGCTCTTCAATCCATATAAGCACCTTTCTATTTTGTCCATTATTCATACATAAAATTAAGCTCCCATAGGTGGAGCCTTCTCTCCCCCCTGCTCCAGAGGTTTTATATGAATATTCATAGACAGCATCTCCCTGATTTCTAGTCCACCCCATTCTGTCCTTTCTTGGAAATGTTTAGCAGATGCCCACAGATCTTTCCTTACTCTTCCATCTCAGTATCTGTCCCTCTATCAGACAGGGATTCTTCTAGCAATGGATTCAACATTAAAGCTAATCCAGCACCATGCCGGTGTTTCCGTAGATTTGTTTAAGAAAATGAATGTTCACCTTGGGTAAACCATTCATTAGAGAGAATCGGAACTATATATTAGTAAAGTATAATCCCTCTTAAGCTTGCAATATTGCACAGTTTGTTCTGAAGGTAAGACTGGTGTAACCCTGCAGCCAGGGTGCCCCGTAATAGAGGAAATCAAACAGTTAGCTAAAATAATAATCTTCATGCAACGGCTAATGTGGCATTTTTATTTTGTCTTCCGTAAGCCCATTTGCAAAGAATTTGCTCCAGACAATTGCAGCTTTCATGCTGCCTGCCAAAGCAGTTGGCAAACGGGCATCCAATGGAAGAGCATTTTTTCTAGGGGACATTCAGTGACCGCTCACTTCAGATACTTGTTCAATTGGATTATATGGAATTAATGTTACTTCTTCTGATTTACTTAAATCCACATCCTCTTCTCTACTGGGTTTGTGGAAGGGGCTGAGCTTGGATCGCCCTTAGGGCATCCGTGCTTGCAAAACCCAAATCCCATACATTCCAAACTGAGCAAAGAGCTCTGCAGCTGTTTTTAAGTTCTCATAGGCTAAATAACATAAGGATCATCCAGCCATCTTCAAGAGCACATGCTGTACCAGAGCTTCAACTGCAATGAAGGGATGTGGGGTCTGAAAGCTCTTACCAGGAAGTTGGCATTTTGTGAAAACAATGCAGAGATATTCAGTAAAGCAATTTCTCTTTTTCTTGGCTAATAGGCCAAGTGCGCCATTCATAATTTATTTAGTGGATAGCAATGGCGTTTGAGAAGACGTTGGGCTTACCTTAACAGCTTTTGTAACGCGTGGGGATGATATAGAGACCTAAACAGTGAGTGGCTTGTAGCCCAAGACAGTGCATTCTGCAGCAGAAATGCCCTCTTTTGTGCCTCTGCAGAAAGCCTTGTGAAGCTTAGCATATCAACATGCCTATATAGCATGGGGCAGGTTGCTTTGTGAGCTATTGTGGTGGAAGGAGAGCTGAGAGGGAAGCGCCTTCAGCAGGCCAGATGATGCCAGATGATTGGGTTCCAGGCTTTCTACTTTCAGAGCAGCCCTTCCCCATCAGCTGCATTATGTGTGATGCTGAGTGATGGTATATGCTCACCATGTTTTGTGGGTTCAGCTGATAAACAGACAAACTATTTCCCCTGATTTGTGTTTCTCCCTCTCCTGCCATTTTGCCAAAGTAATTTTGTTTGCTTCTGCTGGACTGCTGGGTGGGCAGCAGCACCAACAAACCCAGGATAAGCGTTTGTCCTCTTTTGGTCATGTGTTCGTTTCTTTTTGGTGAGCCACAAGTGGCCGCCGTAGGGACTGTGCATGATGAAGTCTTCAAACCGTACCTCCTGAGCCCCTCCAGTTTTAGCTAGAATATAGTCCTCTTCTGCCATTATAAAACAAAGTTGCTTAAGGGGGTCACAAAAGGAAAGGGAGGTGGCCACTATCTGCCCTGACCTCTCAGTAACTTGCGTGTGGAGCAGAAGACACAGCCTGGTGCCATGTTGCATAAGGCATTTCTTTTCTTCCTCCTGTTGGTTGTGTCTGCTAAAGAGTGTGACACGTTGGTGCTGGTCTTCATTAGGAGTTTGCATTGCTGGTTGCCAATGTCACATTTCTTGGCTGGCAGCCCCAGGGGACCTGCAAACCATAATTCATGGATTCCTGGTCTTCATCGTCTGTTGTAATGATGACAATGAAGAGTCTCAGTACGTTATTGGGAGTCTGGAAGAGGTCAGGTTGGACCTTTTCCAAGAACCATTTGGGGCTTTCTTCCTGAGTGCAGTGCTTAGGTGACGCTGGGCTCCCGGGTACGGACCAGACTCTGTACCTCCCAAAGCCTCAGCAGCAGCTATGATCGGAGCTGAATAGTAGCAACTGGAATGTTTGATATAACTTCAGTCCTGATCGCAAAGGGACTAAGCACAAGCATTTTCTGACTCAAGCTCTGCATTGTTTATCTTCAGGTTGGTATTGCTTCTGTTTACAGAGGGCCTGGCCTTATTGAAAGCAAAATCTCCAGACTTTATTTTATGGCTAAGCCTAATGCAAACAGCATTTCACTGTTTATATCGGCGTTGACATTAATATAAACAGCATTGTCATAATTTTAAGCACTCTAATTTCATTGATGTAATGGCAAATAGGGACAGATGGTTTTCCAGCCATTGGTGACATGAGGCAAAAAGTAAGGCCATTAAAATTTTTATATGCTTTTATTATGGGGAAGCAGAGACCTACTTTGTATTCCTAGAAAAATAAAGTTATGCCTCAGCATGTATTTGAAAAGATCACCTTCTAATCTGAAAACCCTGAGATGAATCCAACAATAGTTCTAGTAGGCCCATTGAAATCAATAGAAATGTTAGTTGTGACTAATTTAGATCCCAGTGATTTCAGTAGCTAGCCTGTAAGAATGGTTAAGGCTGGATCCAATCCTACCTTTATTTTCTGGTGTGTGGGGTCTCCCCTTAGCAAGTTTCCTTACCTGTGAGGAAAACATTCTCCAAACCTGACCTATTTTCACCCATTTTAATTTCATATGTTTTGGGGTGGATTCTTCACACAAATGAACCAATTAAGCCTTGCTCATACTACGGCTGGAAACATTTAAAGCAACCAGATTGTTTGGGTGGAGACTGCAATATGAATATGGAAGGTTCTTGCTTGACCAGGCAACAGTCCAATAGTTTTAGAAAGTCCTCAAGAAGGATATGTCCAAGAAGGGCAATGCATACTTCTTGCCTTATCATATTCTTTTTTTGGAGTGCAATCTTATATCCACAGGTGGGAATAAACTGACTTTAACTCAGTGGTGCTTATTTCTGGGTAACTGAATATGTATCAGATTGCGTTGATAGTTCTTTTTTTCTAAACAAAAATGCTACAGATGCTTTAGCTTTCAGATTCCTTTCAGCATCAAGATGCTGAAATCTCTTGATCACTTTGGTTGCCATTTTCTGCACCTGAACAAGCTCTGCAGTGTCCCTCTTGAGATCAGTGGCTAGAATTTTATTACAGATTTCAAATATGGGGGTGCTGTAGATTTGCAAAAAAAAAAAGTACAAAAATGTGGACACACTGTTCTGTCGTCATGTATTTACCACTACCCCATCCATGGCCTCTTTTCTTTTTGGCATCATTGTTTGACCAGGAAAAACCCATGTGGTTGGATCTGTCTATACGTCATGTTGCATCAGAAATTTCTGTTTGAAGAAATATTTGCTGCAATAAGAGTCTGGCCTTTGATAACAACTGTATGAAGCAAATTAAAGTAAGGGTTGGAGATACTTTGATACCGGCCAGTTAACAAAATCAAACCGTTCTCTCTTGTTTAAACTGTAGATATTGATGAGTGCAGTGCCATCCCTGGAATCTGTGAAGGAGGAGAATGTTCCAACACCGTCAGCAGTTACTTTTGCAAATGCCCTTCTGGATTTTACACATCGCCAGATGGCTCCAGATGCATAGGTGAGTCAGGAATTACAAATATTAACATGGAAGGTGTGTATGGAAGATGATCCATACAAAAGGATACTTGGAATGACTCTCTTTGAATTCACGTGACTCAGACATGAATGGCAATGTCGATGCTCACATTAGATCACGGACTTATGGCTAGAAACTTCTGTTAATGAACATGTAGGCTCTTTGGATGCAGAATTTTGAGGATGCATTGTTTTCTCTGTAGCTCGGTGGTCTCTTGATGTTAGCTTTCTCATAGAGGCTGTTCCTTCTCTCCCCGTCTATAAAGACAATGAGATTTGGACCAGGCTTTGGGCCCCCATATTTCTTTCTTGTATCCCCTTAAAACCACCATTGCACACAGGAGTGAATACGTGAATTGGTAGCTTCTGTGAGATCTCCCTTGAACCTGGGTTTTGAATGTGCTTCAAAGGAATATAAGCCTAAGACCCAGTCCAATTCCCACTGCAACCAGGTATGAAATGGGAGAGTTTTGTCTTAAACAGCCCCCCAAAACTACCAACTCCCACTATCCCTAGCTAGTATAAGAGAGGATAGGAGTTGTAGGCAGCACTGGAACCCATGATGAGGAAAACTGCTTCATAACTTCCATGTATGTGAGCTATTTGTGATCCAAAATATGCATACAATATTTTAATATCATCCTACAGCAGGTAGAAAAGTATCACATACAAGAATTTGTGTTGAGCCTGTTTGTTCCTGAAAGATGGCACAATGAGTTTCAAAAGCATTTTGCATCTATAAACAAATGGCAACAGCATATAAAATCCTCTTATAATTCTGCAGTCTGCAGGAATAAGGGTACATACCCATGTGCTATGTTTTGGCTGCCACACGCTAGGGTATTCTAACAGATGTGATACGAAAAATAAGACAGAAGAGTTCTCAGGATAGAAGGAGGCAGGAAGTAATAACCACTCCCTTTTGCAAAAATGAGAGGATTGTAACAATCCTTCTCTTGTGACTTAATGTCTTTCTTTTGTTAAGTCTGGACAGTTTCTCTGTGTGTGTCTGTTTGAAATGTAATACGTGCACAGTCCCAAAGCAAACCCAGCATATCAGTCCATGTCAAAAGGGTTCATGTGAGGGGAACATGCAGAGCGAAACTGACATGGAGTTAGGACCAGTCTTGTAAAATTTACTTTTTCCTTAGAAATCTGGAATGAATTTACTTTGGGAGGTGATTCATTTTGGATTTGAACACACACACACACACACACACACACACACACATCAAGGGCTGTTTTTAATATCTTTGTAGTTTAGAAATCAAAGAGGATATGTTATAACTTACTAATGATCCAGTTTAATGGGGAAATGCAAACCCTTCCCTGACCCATAGACCCACCCCATTTTTATGGGTGCCTCTTGGGCTGTATCTTGACAGCTGCACACCCCTTTCCTCTTTGAGTTTTGGAAGCTAGCAAGCAGCACACATTTTTCCAGTATTAATTGAATGTGCTTCCTTTAAACTTAACTTTGAACCAGTGCAGTGTGTCTCCCTGATCCTGTCTGTCTTTCTCTTCCGTATCTAATCAAAGCCAACCAACAATCCAAAAGGTCGCTTCGAGCATGCAGTGAACCAGAGCGTGATCTCAGATTCCTTTCCAATGCTGCAGAGAATTTGGGTGCATCGCTCAGATTACCTGCAACTGTGCACAGTCCGGAAGCATCCTCTTTGACACTGGCGCCATAGCTCAATGACGGAGCACGCTCACTGCCTACCGAAGGTCCCCGCATCAGTTCCTTAGAAACTCCAGGCAGGGTTCTGTCTGAAACCCCACAGAGTGGGCAATGGCTAGTCAGAGTACACTTCACTGAACTAGATGAATGATCTGACATAATAGGAAGCAGCTTCACGTGGTCATTGCAATAGATCCTGAGATGCTCTTCTCTCCAAGCATTAATTTTGGGTGGCAAAATGGCCTGGTTAAGTTTCGGCTCTTTGGGCCTAACATTTCTATTTTAATTGCGTCCTCTGTGTGGGAGGATGCCTTACAGATTCCAAGCTTGGTTTCACTTTTCTGTATATAATGAGACAAGCATTTTAATTCAATAGTTGGGTGTTAAGTGATGACAAGAAGTTGTGAAAACAGTATTCCAGGCCCTAAGCCATTCTTAGATCTCAGCATTATTTTCAAGAAGAAACGTGCTACATGCAAAACAACGACTAATTATCTACAGATAGTTTGGATCTCTCATCTGCACATTTGCAATAGCAAAATAACGCTAGCCAGACCTATTGAACTGGGCAAAACATCTAGCGTAGAACTAGCTATGGCTAAGGTTGAGAGGATGGAATTGGTCAGGGAAGAACGACTGTGTGCAGAAGTGACAGTCTAGCTAAACTTATACACTCCACCTGCACTGTGTCATTGCGTGAAATACTGAATGTTCGGAAACTACTTTCTTTAACTGGTTCATGGTCAGTTGAAAGACATGTGTGAGCACAAAGGTATCCTTTGTCAATTAAAAGGCTCTTCTCCTGAGGTGAATGATGTGTCCGCTCTCTCCCGTGACAGATGTACGTCCTGGATACTGCTTTTCCTCGCTCACCAACGGCCGCTGCAGCAACCAGCTCCAGCAGGTGTTAACCAAAATACAGTGCTGTTGTGACTCGGGACGATGTTGGTCTCCTGGAGCAACAAGTGCCCCAGAAATGTGTCCCATCCGTTCTACTGGTATGGAACCGCTCAGATGCACGGGGGAGTTACAGTTACAGATACGCACGTCACTCTTTTAGGTTCTGCACAGGACATGCTGCCCAGCTCTCATGGGAAAACAGAACACTTTAACAATCACATAGATATTTCGAATGGAGATTTGCTCACAGGGTTGAGGAAATATTCGTGGCTGCCGGTTCTTCAATGGCAATGCATTTTCTCAGTAGCGCTGGCATTATTTTAAGTGCAAAGCAGCCAATGCACTTATTGATTGATTAGTTATTGATCCCTGTAATTATAATGCAGCAAATGCTCATTGGTGGGTTGCCTGATACAAACAAGTTATTTTTTAAAGACTTACTTTAGTGAGAAGCAGATAATCGAGAGATCGTTAAGTGGTGATGGGAAACAGAACTTAAAACTTAAGGCACAAACTTAACAGATGGTATTATTTAGACTACATAATAGAGCATATTTGCAACTCTGCTTGACAATAAATGGGGTATAAAGTCAACATAAATTAATGAGAAATCACTTTTCATTTGGTAATGTTGTTTGAACTGTGTTTGTCCTTTGAGGCTGTTATGAATTGCTATAAACCACTCAGAGAACTTCTGCTATTGGGTGCTGCAGAAATGAAATTAACGTTACCATTACTAATAATGAGAATATCCATTACAGAGGAGTTCCGCAAATTATGCATACTTGGCAGCCTGATGCCAGGCAGACCGGAAACACCGGGCATCCCCGTCTTCCCACCTGACATATTTCAACCAGTATTGCCACCAGAGCCCGTGCCATCCCACAGACCACCAATACCAGGTAAAACAAAAATAGAAAAAGTTGTTTTCTCCCTGAATAGTCCTGTAATTAACACCCACGTTCAAAAACAGTTTTGGTTGACTACTTGCTAGTGGTTTCCTTCCCTTTACAGCTGAAAGCAGGAAGGACAAATCCCAGGGCAGCAGAATTTCACAGTGGCACCTAAGGGTTTTGATATTTGCTTTCTCTTTGTACTTGCAATGGACTGGTTCTTAGAGCATTAATACTCTGTAAGTTTGGATCTGGTGTTTATTTATTTATTTAGGAGACTTCTATGCCACCCCATTCGCCGAAGCCTCGGGGCAGCTCACATCCATAAATAAACTTCCATAAAATAATATAAATTAACAGTATAAATTAAGTCGCCCTGGCCAAAGAATAAAATGAATAAATACTATTAACAATTAAAATGACATTTGAATAAAAAGGTCTTCGCCTGGCGTCGAAAACAAATAACGACATCGCCAGGCGGACCTCTCTGGGGAGCGCATTCCATAGATTGGGTGCCACCGCAGAGAAATCCCTCCTCTGAGTACTCACCCTCCTAATTTCCTTCACAGAGGGTTCCTGGAGAAGGGCCTCTCCCACAGATCTCAAGGGGTGGGCGGGCATATATGGACGTAAGCACTCCTTCAGGTAACCAGGACCCAAGCCGTTTAGGGCTTTATACGTCATCACCAACACTTTGAGTTGGGCCCGGACTTCAAAGGGAAGCCAGTGAAGCTGACGGAGGACTGGAGTCATGTGAACATAACGCCCAGTCCCCGTCAGCAGCCTGGCAGCTCTATTTTGAACCAGTTGAAGTATCCGGACCATCTTCAAGGGTAGCCCCACGTAGAGCGTGTTACAGAAGTCAAGTCGGGAAGTCACCAACGTGTGTGTCACTGTCGCCAGGCAGTCGTACTCCAGGTAGGGGCGCAGCTGATGGATCAGCCGAAGCTGAAAGAAAGCGCTCCTCACAACCGCTGTCACCTGAGCTTCAAGTGAAAGCTCTGGGTCGAGGAGCACTCCCAAGCTGCGAATCTTGTCCCTAAGAGGGAGTGCAACCCCATTCAGGACTAGGTTCAATTCACCCTCCCCGAAGCCTGATCTGCCAACCAACAGGACCTCCGTCTTGTCTGGATTGAGCTTCCGTTTATTGGCCCTCATCCATTCCCTTACCTCGGCCAGGCACCGGTTCAGTACAGCCACTGCCTCACCTGGATTGGTGGAAAACGACAGGTAGAGCTGGGTATCATCAGCGTACCGGTGATTCCGCAGCCCACACCTCCTGATGACCTCTCCCAGCAGTTTCATGTAGATGTTAAACAGCAAAGGGGACAAAATGGACCCCTGCGGTACTCCATGGCATAGCTGCCATGGTGCAGAGCCATAGTCCCCCAGCAACACCTTTGGCCATTGCCTCCGACCCCCAGTCCTGCTAGCCTATCCAGAAGGATACCATGGTCGATGGTATCGAAAGCCGCTGAGAGGTCCAGAAGAACCAACAGGGACGCACTCCCCCTGTCCTTCTCCCTGCACAGGTCATCGTACAGGGCGACCAAGGCAGATCCAGTACTGTACCTGGGTCTGAAGTCAGACTGAAATGGGTCCAGATAATCAGTTTCATCCAAGAGTGCTTGGAGTTGTCCCACCACCACCTGCTCCAACACCTTGCCCAGAAACGGGATGTTGGCCACTGGTCTATAATTAGTGGCCATCTCTGGATCCAGTGACGCTTTCTTCAGGACCGGTTGGACTACCGCCTCCTTTAAAGGGGCAGGTACCCGACCCTCCCTCAAAGAAGCATTAACCACTTCCAAGATCCAGATCCCAATCCTGTGCTTGGTGTTGTTTATTAACCAAGATGGGCAAGGGTCCAATAGGCAAGTGGTGGGATGTACTCGTCCAAGCACCTTGTCCACATCAGGCCGCAATAACTGAAATTCATCCATTAATTTTGGACCAGACGGCGACATTGGTATCTCCCCAGAAGCCTCTAAATCACTAGTAGAGTCTAGCTCGTGACGAATCTGAGCGATTTTCTCCCTGAAATGCTTGGCAAAGTCGTCACAGCGGGCCTTCGAGGGTGGAACCAGATCTTTCTTAGGGCCAGGGCAGACCAGGCCTTGTACCACTCAAAAAAGCTCTGCCGGATGGCATTTTGAGGAGGCAATGGAAACGGAAAAGAATGTCTTTTTCGCCGCCCTCACCACCACAGCATAGGCCCGATAATGGGCTCTTAAGTGTGTTCAGTCAGATTCATCCCGTGATCTCCTCCACCTACGCTCTAGCCGCCTCCCAGCCTGCTTCATCGCCCGCAATTCAGATGTATACCAAGGGGAAGAGCGGGCTCTGCCTGGTGGGAGAGGACGCTTAGGAGTGATCGTGTCAACAGCCCTAGTCATCTCCCCGTTCCACAGTTCGACCAGAGCCTCGACAGGAGCACCAGTCTTGTCAGCCGGAAACTCCCCCAGGGCCTTCAGGAATCCATCCGGATCCATCCAGCTCCATGGGCGGACCCACACAATCGGGTCCGCACCCTTACAGAGGGAGAGGCCGCTCTCGAGCACAAACCTCACGAGGACGTGATCTGACCATGACAGGGGTGTCAGGCATAAATTCTTCACCCTCAGACCACCCTCTTCTTGCCCCGTCGAGAAAACCAGGTCCAGAGTGTGTCAACGTTCATGGGTTGGGCCTGTGACATGTTGAGACAGCCCCATGGCCATCATGGAGGCCATGAAGTCCTGAGCCGCCCCAGTCAGACCAGTCTCGGCATGGAGATTGAAGTCCCCCAGGACCAACATCCTGGGGGTCCTCAACAACAGGTCTGAGATGATCTCCATCAGCTCAGGCAGGGAGACTGTTGGGCAGAAGGGTGCACAGTACACCAACAGAATCCCCAGTCTGTCTCGGTCGCCCAACACCAAGTAGAGGCACTCCAGCCCTGGTCTTGAAGGGACTGGAAGACCCATGAGGGAGATGGAGGCTCGGTAAACCAAAGGGACCCCCCCTCCCCTCCCCTCCAGGTGTGGACGGTGCTGAACCAGATACCCGGGTGGGCACATTTGAGAGAGGGCGACATCCCCCCCCTCCCGCCCAGGTCTCTGTTATGGAAGCCAGGTCGGCCCCCTCCTCCACAATCAAGTCATGGATGAGGGAAGATCTATTGTGGACCGCCCTGGCATTGAGCAGCAGCACCGTCAGGCCCGAGGGGCGGTTGACAAGACTACCTGGAACCCTCTGGCTGGGGGCAGAACCAGAAGGAGGGACAGCTGTCAGCCATCTGTCCCTCCTTCTTCTACGTGGACACATTAAGCCCCCACCGCTGTAAAGTCCATTGCCCGTGACCACCCCAATGGCAGCGCCCATGCACTCCTCAGGAAACTCAACCATCGACATGGCCAGGGACGACTCCATAAAAACAAATTAAAATACAATAAAACTTTAAAACAGTAAAAAACTCCCCATCTACCCCCCCCAATACAAAATTCAAAATTCCACCCACCGACCTAGCCACCCGCCAGCCCAGCCCCACACGGCCACGAACGGTCACAAACAGCGGCGACCGCCCTTTGGCCGTCGCCCAGCGGGTTAAGCCGGCGCCCGCCTGCACGCCCCGCCCCGATCCGGCGTTGCTCTCACCAACGCCGGCGGGGTGGGGGGCAGAGAGGGGCGCGGAAACCCGCCCAGTGGCGAGTTGGCGGCACCCTCCTCCGCACCATCGACGGCGGCCCTGGCGTGGCCCTGGCGTCCTCCGTGCCCGGGGTGGCCCAGCGGTGGCCGCGTCAGCGGCATCAGCTGGCCCCCGGCTCGGCGGTGTGCCTCAGGTCCGGCGGCAGTGGTGGCGGTGCGGTGCAGCAGGTGTTCCGGGGAGGGAGGGGGAGGGAGCCCCAAACCAGTTTAGGAATATTGTTAAGTATCCTCACCTAATCTTACAGAGCCAGAGGGATGATGCCTGGGGAGATATCCTAACTGAGCCAGGGTAGAAGCTTTGGGGTAACAAATATTGCTGAGTGGCTCTAGGGTTGTGAGATCCATGATGCGTTGCACACACCTGCATCAGGTGATGGCATCTGGTGTTGCAGAGAAATCCTTTGCCATGAGGTGATGATGAGAACTAGTGGTGAAAAGAGCAGGGGAATGACTTGACCAGAGCAGAATCAAGTCTGTGATACATTAGCTAAGGGTACAGTCTAATTCCAACAGCTGAGAAGCAGGGATTTAAATTAAAATGGCTACACTTGGAACTAAGCAGCAGCTCCCCACTCCCCCAACAACCCTGGCTGACTTTGCTTCCTTAGAAACACAGTGTGAGGTTCCCAGGACTTTTACCCTTTCCCTGTGGAGCTGGAAATGGCCCACCGCCATGCGTTGAGTTCGTGCTGGCAGGGCAAGCCACACGGAGGGCTGTGCGGGTCCCACCCACTTGCTCGATTGTTAAATGGGCTTGTTGCTGAGCGTAGGAGGTCCCCAGGAGTGGAAACGTGCAGCAAGACCACTTGAGAGGGAGAACTAGGTGGGCAGTGTGCAAGATACGCGGGTTTTTACCACCCATTTCAAGTAATTGGCACCTTAGAAGGCATCTCTTGGTGAGTGAGAGTTGAATCTTTATTACTTAGACTGTCAGTCTCTCCTGAGGTTTCAGGGGCAGCTGCAGACTGCTCTGAGTTTGTTGATTTTAATACCTAGCTTTGTTGATCCTTGTTTCCCTCTTCACACTTTATTTTAATGATGGATGGATTTTGTTAGTGATGGATAATGATTTGATGATGAGAGGCAGCTCCTGAATGTTTAGAATAAATAAATAACAAACACAGATACAGTTTAGCAGGTGTTAAAGGTTCTCTTTTAAACGTTGGTTCCAGGTATCGTATCAGTTAACGTCACACGACCTCAAGTGAACTTCTGCCAGCTGTACCAGAATCTCTGCATTAATGGACGCTGTGTCCCAACCCCTGGGAGTTATCGCTGTGAATGCAGGAAAGGATTTGAACTGGACCTCAGAGGGGAATGCATTGGTATGTGTGTGTGTGTTTTTTTTTCTTACCATAAGTTTAAAAGCATCAGCTTTCCGAAATACTTTTTCCATAAAAGGTTGCTTCTTCCTGTTTTAATTCTTTAAAAACCCTATTGACCAGTTAAGATACTTTAAAATGAAAAATACTAGCAATGTTCCTGCATCTCAGCACAGCAATAGTTTTCCATCTCTTCCTCCCTTGGCCTCATTTCAGAAGTGTTTTAGCATTGACAGTAACGGGAGAGTCTTCTCCATTTCAGTCCCCTGTTGTTTAGTGCCAGAAACTGAAATTTGAAAATGCTGTAGTCAGAAATTGACTGAACCTGGGGTTGAAGAAGTTTGCATTTAAGAAAAGAATCTTGTCAAGGCATGATTTGGAGGATAAGTTCAAAAAACGTAATTTTAATTTATCTAGGGGAAAATCCTGTAGCATACATTCCAGATCTGGAATATAGACTTTTCCAGCAAGAATGGTGCATAGCATAGAATTAACATTGGTGAAAGGTAACCGGCAGGAGAGAGAGGTTTCCTAAAGTTTGAGCACTAAATAATACAGTTCTTTTTTTACTGATTCAAGGAAAGGATGCTTGGCATATGTAAAACAAACTACTGAAATAAAAATGTAGGTTGGAGCCCTTGCTGAGCAAAAGCCTCCTAAAAGTGCTTCCTGTATCTTTCAGACATTGATGAGTGTGAGCGGAATCCCTGTATCGGCGGAGACTGTGTAAACACACAAGGATCTTACATATGCCAGTGCCGACCTGGATATCAGAGCACCTTGATGAGGACTGAATGCCGAGGTAGAGTCCCATTCCATATAAGTACACAAACTATCATAGAGATACTAAGATCAGAAATATGTCCTATTCTTTGATGAAGTCATTTGGACCTTTTTCTTAATTTCTGGTAGATGCTATTTTTCAAGTATATAGTTCCCAGAATGTCATACAACAATAATAAAACTCAAGCTAGCAAGAGGTAACGGTTGCTTTGGGCTTATATTACATTGTAAAGCATGAAGAAATGTATTAAATGAATAAACAGAATGACCAAGGAAGAAAAAAGCACCGATGCAATTCATCTTGGAAGAGAACTCTGCAAGGTGGAAGACACCACTGCGAAGGCCCTACTTAGAACTGAGGGCAAAATTGCCCCCACCCAGTAGTGAAATCTTTTTGGGGCCCCTTGTTATAGGTACGGGAGAAGATGTTATCTCAAATGACCTAGAGTCAGGATGGAGAGTGTGTGACCATCCATATGATGCTGGATTCCAGTGTCCTTCAGTCCTAGCTAGCATGGCTGTTGATCAAATTCCAGTGGCATTCTTGGAGAATTGGTATTATTGGTTGTTTCTTCTGTAGCCTCAGACAAAAATGGCCTACTGAATCCTGAGCTACTTAGTTTGTGGACTGTCTTCAGAGGCAGACCCATGTGGGGAACATCAAAGGTGGCCCCATGTGGAGAGTATTACGGTTGTCAGGTCAAGAAAGGGGTACAGATTGCGCACCAACCAATGCTAATAAAATGTAATCTTCCCACCCCAAATTCTTGGATAATATCTCCCAAAAGTTTTATATAGATGTTAGAGGGTGGATTGAACAGACTTTTCCAGAGGTCCATGGTGTATTAACGGTCCCATCACCACTTTGTGGAATCTGTTTGTAAAACTGGAACAGTCCCACTACAAAGCAGCACCTCCCTCCCCTGTGCTCCTAATTCCTGTGGGTATTCCATGATGTGTAAACCAGTGAAGACATTGATGGGGCCACACTCCCCCTGCCTCTCTTCTGACAAAAATTGGTCACCAGTGTTGCAAATTGTCTGAACCCAAGATGGAAATGGTTCCAGAACATGTATTTCATCCTGGAGATCAGTGTCATTCATCACCTTGCGTAGGAAGGAAAGTTAGAAGCTGGTCTGTAATGGTTCAGATCAAAAGCTTCCAGGGAATGAGGATTTATCACAACCTTCTTCAATACAAATGGAGAGTTGCCTTCATTTAGGCCACCAATATATGGCACTTAGGACATTTGGATCATCATGTCTTTGAAATCAAGAGCAGGGATACCTTCTTTATCCCAGAACTCTTGTGCCATAAATGGAAAAGAAAATCAAATATGGATGGAAAATACTGGATCATTTTATGTCATGTATGTGGCTGGAGAATTAAGGGTGGCCATGCAGTAAAACTATGTTTGAAGTCAACATGGAGCTATTCAATTCTGTTGACTTTCTCTGTGAAGCTTGAAGATGTAATTAGGGGTATTATATGTTGGTTAAAAATATAATAAGGACAATGCAGAAGGAAAGCACAGATCTAGAAATCTCCACAGGATTAAGGAGCTCTGAAAAAGAAACAAAGAATTAAAAGACAAAGCCTAGAGAAAACAAGACTAAGCCGTACTGGCTGCAAGTGAAAAAGAGAGGCTCAACAAAGGCCCGCCCTTTTGCCAAAAAGCCTCAAAAAACAAAACCACTGGAGTCAGATTATTTGTTGTATGCAAAGAACAGCAGATGTACAAGTACTCCAGTGGAATATTTAGACGATGGGCCAAAAGTATACAAAGAACTACCTCAGATTTAACTGGAAGGTCATCGGAAGAAAGAAAAAGTTGGGAGTCGGACTGAGCATCAGCTCCTGTCTTTGGATATCTACCTCCTACATGTTGCATCTCCTAAGAATGGCTTCTGGACATTTAGTGCTCCCTTTCTATAATATATATTGGAATTAACTTTGAGTCCCGGGGCCTTTGTTGGTGTACCTGCTCCATCACTGAGATACTGGTGGTGGTAGCCAATGACATAGGGCACAAGAAGGTTGTACTATAGATGGTAGAAGTGGCGGAAAGCTCAACCCAGGGCTGTTGTTTTTGCTGATAGTTCTGTGCAGTGTGTCATCTCCCTGCCCCCATTGCTTTCTCAGCTTCTTGTGGTCGTTGACTAGCAGATTTGGTGGACAAAATGACTTTCATACCTTGCAAATGTTTTTACCTGAGAAGGAATTTCTCTTACTTCTGGTAGTTTCTTTGACTTTTTTGAAAGCTCAGAAAGCTGGTGTGAGACTCCTAGTACAACACTTTCAACTTGGTTAAATCTTTGTTCATGCGCTCATGAATTCCTAAAGCAGTGTTTGAAGTTACGGTGGCTGCTAAATTTGAATTATGGCAGAGAAGGCAGAAAGCTTACCTTCTACCAGATGCTGTTGTGGAATAGGCATGTTTTGTATAATCAATCTGAAGATAAAAAATGCTTTTCAGAACTGATGTAAAAAATCCTTTGCAGCTTTGTTTAATTCAGGGATGGCAATGCATGACCCCTCCAGTTTTTGTTGGTCCGCAGCTCTGATCATCACTTGGCATTGATTACACTGATGCAATCCTGCATCATCTGGAGAGCGACACTTTCCCCACTATTGTTAATGCCTCGCATCACTACAATAAGCATACGTTTAATCAAAATGTGCTCAGGGAGAGCACAGGTGGGGAAGTTGGTGCTCGCCATACTTTCCTGCACTCCAGCTTCTGTTAGTCCCAGCCAGCATGGGCAGGGATCAGTGAGGATGAAATTTGCGGTCCAACAACATCTGGAAATATCAAATTAAATGCTATTCATTCTTCTTTTTAAAGTTAAAAATGTGGATCTTTTTTCTTTTAAACTACAAAATTTCTGTGGAGGTGACTTTTTTGTTTTTCTTTTCGTGAGGTAATGGGCACTAACCAATCAGGGCCTTCCATCATTTCATCCCTTTTTGTTCAGAGGTGCCGGGGAAGGAAGATATGCTTGGATCAGCGATTGTCCCACTGCTTTAAAACTATTATATCTATTGTCGTCCTTCAAATAGAGTTTGGTGACCTCTTTGGTATTATTTGCTCAAAAGTTATGGTATGGCAAAATTTTCCCACCCAAAGCTTTACGAGCAAATCTGGACAGAAATTGGGCTTGTTATCTTCATTTTGTGCTGTCTTTTCAGCAACCCAGTGGTGGCAATTATCAGAAATCTTGTGAATGCCTAGTCTGTATCGTTGGGTTATTGTGAGCGTGCCCCTCATGTAAGCCCCACTCTGAGCTCCTTGCGGAAAAAGAGTGCAGCACAAACGTGACGGGTTGACTAGTTCAACATGAGCCAGAGATGCTTCTTGTCCACCAGACTGACAGATACTTAGGTGCTAAGGGCTGACACTTCGGAGAAGCACCAGCAATGGCTTCCAGTGGGATACTTCAGTTCCCTGATGGCACTAGCAGATACGGCAGTGAGAACAATCCATCCCTAACTGGATCGCGAGGCCTGGTTTCCACCAAAAGCGCAACACAGCCAGAGTCAAACCCTTTAAAGCCCTGTTGGTTTCAATGGGAAATTTTAGTCTCCCCCATGTAAATGAGAGGAACTTACATGCTCCGCTTTGGTTGGATTGCATTTATGGTTTGCAAACAATGCAGTGCTAGCCATGATGGCTGGGCTTACACTGCCATTCTTTTTTCTTCCAGATATTGATGAATGCTTGCAGAATGGCCGGATATGTAACAACGGGCGGTGCATAAACACAGATGGCAGTTTTCACTGTGTTTGCAATGCTGGATTTCACGTGACAGCTGATGGGAAGAACTGCGAAGGTCAGGGTCGCCTAATCCCTTTTGGGTGCTTTCTCCTCCACCTGTGGATCTGCCTGGGTTGCCCCTCTGTCTGACTGCTGGCCGAGAACACAGCTTAAGAATAAGCGCTGTGCAGTTATCCTTCCAAATTCCACTCCGAACAGTGTCCCTGTATCTCCTCGCCAGTATTAGGTGATGGTTTTCCGACATTTTCCCAACAGATGAAAAGGTATGGAGGTGCTCTCAAGTCATAGGCAGGAAATAACCGTCTGAACTGCCACCTGTGAATCAGCAAGGGCAGGCGTCCTCTCCAGGTTGCTCCGATCAATGAACCAAATGGATCTGGAAGGTGTTCTCTGGGTCAGGAAGTAGCACCCAGGCCTGTTGGGCTAGAGCAGGTTCCCTGTAGGAACGGCTTTCTACGCTTCCTTCCTGCAACCGTTGCTCTAGTCTCTCCTCTTCGGCTGCTTTGGCCATGCAGGGGCTCGATCCCCACTTGACCGGAGTAACACCTCCGTGGGCTTGAGCCATGGCAGTCACAGGTCCCATTGGGGGCAGGTCAGTAGCCTTGTGTGGCCCTTTCCGGGAGAACTAGTCTGAGGCCTGCAAGACAAATTGCACGTGTCTCCATCATATTACAGACAGCTTGTATTATGGGAAGGGTTTGCTTATTTAATTTCTACATCACAACATATCGGACAAATTAGGGCTCTCTGGGCAGTGTGCATTTCGTAAAAAAAATTGTAATTGCAACTGTAAAACTTGCCCAGGGAGCCTTACAGCTAATGGGGCAGGGTAACAGTCCAATGAACAAACACATGTATAAAATCAAAAATAAAATATAGTCCATAAAATACAACCAAATTACAATAAGAATAGATATAGCAGGTTAAAAATCAATTGAAAGTTCATAAAATGTTCACAATGTAAAAATAGAAACGATAGCAATTTAATTATGAATATACCTAGAACAGTCTCAGAATGGTTGTTCCCAAGAAGGGCTGTTTTAGTTGCATGCAGCATCTTGAACTGCTGGTTTTATTGTGTAATTAGCATGCCTGGTGGGAACTTATTGCAACATATCCTGACCCTTAAAGATGTGTCTCTCTTTCAGGAAATGTAAACATAATTTGATGTATACTCACCGCCTAGTCCTTTAGCCTTTACCAGAAAAAAAAAATGAAAAAGAAACTTTCTTTTATCCTATTTCCCAAGGTTCTTTGGAGGGTTTCCAATGATCTGCTTGTACATTAAAAAGAATTCCAAGCACTGCTCTTAGAAACATTTTTTGGCAGAAAATTATCTAAGTGATTCAGCTCAAAGATTTAATGCCAACATTCCTATTCAGGATAGATGCACATTAAAAAAAATGGTACAATTTTTGTCTGAATTGTAATGTAAGTGAAAAGTAAACACACCCTGTCTAGAGGAATACTTTCAATCCAAGATAGCTGCAATATTAAGGAAAATGTAGTTCGGAATGCAGCCGTAATGTCACTGTGCTAAATGCTAAATAATAATCCTGAGCAGAGATAAATCTTTCAGGAATCCTTATTTTGTCTTCCTTTTGTGGGAGATTGGTTAAAAGTTCAGACTACTTGGTATCAAATCTATATATCTGTATCACAAAGGTATATATCTGGAAAACCATTTTAACCTTCATTCCAACATCTTCCCCACCCCACTAAGTCCCGTAGATGAGCAATAATAAGAGCCAGTGCGATACAGAAGACACTCTGCTAAAACATTTTTCATTACATTAAGAATGCTGCCAGAATGTCTGTGAACATATTGAATTGCATCGGCCTCTGAAGTAATTCCCTCTGTTACACCATAATGGCTGAATTTCCATGCTCAGTCTCAGCTGTAGGCCTGAGTAGACATACATTGCAGAACTGAAAACCATTCACGTCGGGTGCCCATGGCTGTGCATGGCTCTCCTGTTTGCTATTTTAAAATCCAAATAAAAAGATAAATTCTATGCAAACAAATATAGAATTCACTCCACTGAATCCAGGGCGAGTTTATTCTAAGTGAGGCTCTGGAAGGCTGGCCATGCATCTTGTACGAAAATTGCCTTTACTTAGTTGTGCAATGCTTCTCCCTCTCCGTGTGGGCAACTTGAATAACTCTAGTGCTCAGATTCAGGCTTATGTGTTCTGGTTTCCCAAGGTTGCACCCAAATAAAAATAGTGCTTTAGGGGCCAAACGTACCCCTAGATTAAGGAATAAAACACTCTGGGTCTGCTCCCCTCCCTCACCCAAGGATGCTTGATTTCAGTGGCGTCATTCGGACAAAGGACCCCTTTTTGTCTGTTGTTGTTGTTATTGTTAAAACATTGGGAGACAGGAACTGCAAGCGCTCAGCAATCTGTAACTGGAGCTGGATGACTCCCCCGGCTTTATAGCCATCCGTGGGAGGGTGAGATATCTGAGAATCACCAATAGAAAGCCATAAAAATACATTCTCTGAACACAGAGATCATGTCTGTCACAGGAACGAGCCATCGACCAATCCTGCCCTTCACATATTTGTCTGGGACTTTAGAATCCCTCTAGACAGCTAATTGTCATTACAGTGCTAATGCCCTTCACAAATATCAGACTGAGGCAATGAGTTCTGTTAGTTACCAGTGCAATGAGGAGCTTCCTTTTGCTGGTCGAAACCTGCTCTCTCTTTCAGCGCATACATAAATATTGCTGCACAGTATTAACTCTGGATATATTAGCAGGGAGAATCTGTTACCCGTGTTCCAGCTTGTTTTGTAACGGGAGATCCCCAGCTAAGGAAGTGATGCAGGACGTCCAGCCCTTTGGATGCACACACATGTACTTGCAAACATACACCACACAGTTTTCCTGAACTAACTGTCACTGCTTCTGCTGTTATTCACTCTACGGGGCTGGGAATATAGGCAGAACCTCTTTGTGCCCAAAGACCAAGCTCTGCTTTAGAGAAACTCGCAGAGGCTACATTCCAGGGGTAAGCGGGGACAAAAAGCAAAGAAATAAAAGGATAATTTCTCTTAAAGCTTTTACTTGCAGCAGCTAAGCCTTGAGAGAAGCATTTTAGTCCTTTAGAGGGGGAGAAATCTGTGCAAAAGCTGGGAAACCATCACACATGATAAGTGGGTGGGACCAGGGGAAGAGGGTGTGGCCTTCTAGGGAAGCCTTGGAGGGCTTCGTTTGGCCCCTGGGCCTGAGGTTCTGCACTCTGCCTTACATGGACACAGTAATTGCAGTAACGACCTGGGAAAGAGAATAAAGATCTCCAGGCCATGAGTGCTTTCTCAGTCAAATTAGTGGTCTGACTTAAGTCTTCATTGCTGCATTTAGTAAATACCCACCCACCCCATTGATCTTTTAACATAAAATTTGGCCCTACAAAGCATACATTTTTCTGTTAAGCATATTTATTCCCAGCCAGCCAGCTCTGAATCTGAAGAGGCTTTCTCCTGGCTAGGCAGGGAGAGGTTGGGCAGGCCTCATGATGGGAGGAAAGGCACCCACAGTCCCCTGCCCGGCTGTGTTGGTGCCAAAAGAACAGGAGGACTGTTCAGATTCAGGGTTGGTAATCCTCCGTTGAGGCAAAGTAGAATAATTTTTTGCTGTGCTATAATGCTGAATGCATTTCCGTTTTTAAACCATTTTGTAGATATGGATGAATGCAGCATACGGAATATGTGCTTGAATGGCATGTGCATCAATGAAGATGGAAGTTTTAAGTGCATTTGCAAACCTGGTTTCCAGCTGGCTTCAGATGGACGTTACTGCCGAGGTGAGCATTCTTCTGCAAATTATTGGAATTTATTAAATATTTGTGAGCAGGCACATGATGCCAAGATGTAAAAACGTTATGTGTTCGCATATTCAAGGTAGTTTTGTGCAGTGGTAATTTGCTTGTTACTACTTTCCTACCTATATTTACCATATAGGTGAATTACTTTAGTCCACATATGTACTTCATATCAGTCCATAGGACCTGACATCTGACCAGTGCCTTCCCTCTAGTTCATATACTTGACTTCCCACAATTTCAGGGAAGTCCTGGGAGGAAGGACACCTACTTCTCCAGGATGTTTTTGGTGCTTATGCATTACGGTGTCCAACAGGTGGCAGGGAAGGGATCCAATGGAAGGTGATTGCACGGGACAATTTGCTGTGCAAGGAACCTCCTTACTTGTGCATGTATTTTGTCTAGAACAATGTATGCATGCACAATTTGCCTTGTCTTTCATGGCTCCATCCCCCTTTCCATTATACTGCTGTGATTCCATATATGATTTCATCATGGCTCATCATCATGCAGTTGTACTTTAATGAAGCATAACAAAAATACGAGTTCTGATCAGATTTTGCCTCATGTTTCTTTTTGTGTGGTGTTTTACACCATACACACAGTCGCATCAAGACTGCTTTCTTACAGTGATTCATCAGTGCTACATAGGCATAAAAAACATAAAAGGGGAAGGATGCAAATGAACTAAAGGCCTGGCAAACCACAGCCAATTGTGCATGCTCCAATTCTGGAAATCATTTGAGAGTTGTTTCTGGTTAACCTGGGCAGGGTGAACCCATCACTCAGTAAAGAACATGAGAAATCCAGTCACCCGTAATAGCGCATTCCAATTCCCTCTCTGTCCACATATATAAAACCATTGCACCAAAGAGAAGATTTGTCTCAAATTTTCTCTCTGCTGCACCGACTCTCCACAAGCAGGAATAATTCAAACATGATTATCCCCAATTTGCATTCTGAAGTCATATGAGTCAAGAAGAGCCGTGGGAGAACTCAACTACATATAGAAAAACAAGCCTCAAAAGCCAGAGCTGCTTAATGACCCCTTAATAAGGTTTAGTCCCAGGTGCGTTTTGTTGCATGTAAGAATTGTGTGGGGGGGGGGGGTGTAAAATGATTGGTTCCATGAATCAGCTGGGGGTTTTGCTTGCTTCAGAGATTTTTCTAGCTCTAAACAACTTGGCTTATAAAGAAAATTGACAGCTTAAATTAGATTAGAAAGTAGTTCAGCATTGCTGACCCAGTAGGTCTGATGCTGTTGATGATTGATGATTTTTAGTTTATTTTTGTTAGTTAGTAGAAAAATAACAATAAAACTTATTTTTTAAAAAAAGCATTGCTCCACATTGGATTAGACAACCAGTAGATAAAAGCTATATTATGGTATTACACTGTACTGTCCTTCTTGACCCATAAGGAATGGAGTTTAATAATTCTAAATCACCATGTTTTATTAGACTTTGTTAGTACAAACCAGAAATAGAACCAAGAAGTAAACAAGCACTGAGCCAAATTATATACTGATTTTCTTCAGAAATTACAAATCTTTTAGCTCCAGGGATCAAGGCAACAATAGAAAGCTTTGTTGATGATATGACATATTTGAAATAATCCAAGGATGCTTGCTTAAATCACCCTTGACATTTCATTCCCCCCAAAGTAGAAAGGAACAAAAAAGCTCTTTTGACAGCCCACTTCTCAAAAGTGTAATTAGGGTTGCAATCCCTGGTATGCCTACCTGGGAGCAAGTCCCAGTGAAAACAGTCGGGCATGCTCAGAATTGCATTTCCTGGCCAAAGTACTCTGCACACTTACGCAAGAGTATCAGTCTCACTGAACTCCGTAAGACTCGCTTCTGAATAGGCTTGCATTGTAAACCTCACGTAACGCAAGAAAGCATCAGAGTCATCACGCACAGGGTGGCACTCCAGCTCAAGGAGGAATTTTAGCCACATGGCCTCTGGCATTTGGCAGTGCATAACGAAACAGGATCTGCATCTAGATTTTAATATCAAGCATTTCTGATAAATGCATATAATGATGTTTATTGCTGTTTTTAACCCTGTGAGGGTGCAATCCCATGCACGTTTAGACAGGGAAAAGATCCTGCAACCCACAGTGTTCTCCAACTGGCCTTGCTCAGCACCCATTGGATGTGCCCACCCAGTTCTCACCAACCATGCAGTGTGTTGGCTGGAGAATGCTGAGCGTTGTAGATCGTTCTCTGCCTCAACTTGCACAGGATGGCCAGCTAAGCCTGTTGATATTGTTATAAAATATTGTAATAATAGTGACATTGTCGTGCGTGCGCACGCGCTCGTGCAACCCCCGTAGCTACATTGACTCAGTTTGCACAGTCACTACTGCCCAACATGGCTGCCTGTAAGATTCTGGTCCCAGAATCAAGGATTCTGGTCCCAATTCAAGGTGCTGGTTTTAACTTACAAAGCCTTACATGGCTTGGGAGCCCAAGACCTGTCAGAGTAGCTTTCCCAGGCATGAGCTACTTTGACACTATGCTCAACCTCTGGGACCTTCCTTGGAGTGCCAACGCTGGGGGGGGGCAAGGGGAGGAGCTTCTCTGTGGTGCCCCCCCCCATGGAACACCCTCCCCACTGCTGCCTTTCTGGTACCAAATTTTGGTGGCAGGTTAAGATGGCTCCCTTCTCCAAAGCCTTTGAAGATTTACTTGGGCACCCAGAGGCTTGAAGTTTTGCAGAGCCGTTTTTTTCTGCTTTTATGATATTTTATTGTCTTTTTGATTAACTTTTGTAAACCATCCCAAGAGCAATAATAATCATCAGAGTGAGCTGCCAGTGAATTCTGGCTCTCTAAAAAAATAAGTGTATTACTCTTTGTGTTGTCTGAAAACACTTCTTGTTTAGCGAATGGTTTGTTGTTGGGTTGTTGGAGAGTTGTTGAACCTCTCATAATCCACAGTGCCCAGGTCTGCATGACCCAACAAGTTTAAATATCCAAAATGGCGGCCTAGCTCATCATTACTTAAATGACCACGGGAGCTGTTTAATTCTATAAGCCAGCACAGTAACTCTATGAGCTATACAATATTATTATCCCCACATTTGTTAGGGGGTGGACTGCAGTGTCCAAGCTGCCTTGGCTGAGGGGGAATTTAAATTGGAGACTTCCCACTGGATAGCTGGCTCTTTACAACAGTCCAGGGGCCTTATAAAGATGGTATCCAATTGCTCCGAAGAACATATATTAAAAGATACTAAAAGGAAAAAAATGGCAGAAGCATGTGTTGCTCCACTAGAATAAATGGCAAAATAACTTTATTGGGATCAATCAGTGTATGCAATGTAGAAAGAACTGAGGTTCTTTTTGAGCAACTTTGCTGTGTGTTTTCACTTGTAGTTGCCCTCTGGCTTTCCTTTGGAGTCTTATTTTAGATAGTAAGGCTTTTATAGCCGAACACTGTTCATTTGTTCTTCTGTGAAGAAATGTAGTATGAATAACACCACTTGTGGTACCAGTAATAACATAAGATGCCATCAGTGAGTGAGTCACAAGCAAGAATCACAGAACTCGGAATTGGTTTGGGATTAAAATGAGCCAAAAAACAAACTCCGTTCGCTTTCACAGGGACAGAACGCCTGGTTTTCACTGTGGTGCCTCAAGGCTGAGTGGGAAAAAGTATCTTGCCAAAACGGTGTGCCAGGCATCAGAGAAATGTCACTTGAGTGCATCGGATGAGAAGTATTTTGAAACCTTGCTAAAGCGGCAAGCCGCCTGACTAGGAATCAGGTTGAAAGCTGGAACTGATTTCATAGCACTTTTTAATCCTCCTGATATATACCTTTCAACACATGCAGAAACCCTTGCTGTTGAAGTGGCAAGCATGTGAATTTGCTCTGGTCTGAACCTCTTCATCAGAGAGATTACCCTTGCCTCCAGTTGGTTTTCAGAACCTTGGAGAGATGCACTGTGCATTTTCCAGACTCTGTTCCCCACCAGTTTGCACCATCGCCACCAATTATACACACACACCTTTCAGAAGCTGTGGAGTTCTATCCAGCACTGGTGTGCACCCACAAATTGATCCAAATGGCCCCAAGCTTAGTCCCGCCTCCTTCCATCTCTAACCGGCAAGTTCGGGTGCAGCACTGTTAGTGCCGACACTTTCCACTGTCGTCATGGCTGGAAACAATCTCCTTGGTGGCTTTGAACAGTGTGACTTCGAGTGCAAGGAGACAAGTCAAAGCTAAAGTCCCTTCCACCTGGGAATCACCTTGTATTTAGGCAGATATACCACATTTTTCTCTATAAAATAAAATCAGCTTTCAAGTTTTAAAAATATATAAAGTGAGTTAGCAGGCCAAATGACTAAAATCAGTTTCCTGCAATAGAAACAAGAACAGAGTAAAACAATTTAGTGTAATGACAGGGAGACAAGACTTTAATGCACACAAAAAGCTAGGTGAAATAAAAAGCTATTTGCAGCTCACCTGAAGCATAAAAGAGAGGGAGCTAATGCTGCCTGAAGCTTTGAAACGGAGTCATTTTAATCATGTTTAACATTTGCATTGCACTTTCAAGTGCTTCATGCAATTCTCTGATCTTAATCCATTCAACAAACCTGCATGCTAAGTCGGGTCACTGGTACCTGTTGTGTAGCTGACCCCTGTTTTGTAGCTCAGTGTCTTAGCCACGGCATTGCCCCCCTCTCACATGGTCTAACGTGGGTACCTTGGGAAAGAAGGACAGTTTTGGAAGGAGTGCTGGAATCCAAAAGGTCTGAGAAATTATGCTTCAAGGAGTAAATGCACCAAAAGTACATCTTCCTTCCTGCCATCTGTCTCCTGTAGCCCTTTCAGTTCAGGCTTGTGCTCCAGTAACAGAAACAGGAGGAGAGGCCAGTCCCAAACTTGTGCATTTTCCTTAACTTACTCCCAAGAAACAAAGATTTGGTTACGCCTACCAGTGCTTTCCCTCATCCCCACTTTTGTTACTGCTAAAAGAACTTCCTCAGTGTGTGCGCCTTAACTCAGCCCTTGCAGCAGCAGGGACTCAGCTAGAGTGAAGGGACAGCTGTGTTTGTTCCTCAGGTCTCTTCCCTTTTAATGTGGAAATCGAGGGCTGGGAGAACCTGGGAGCTGAACTGGGCCCCCTCTGCATCCTCCCACATGCCTGAAGCACTTTTCTTTCAGCCTAGCTCCATGACAGTAAGTCATCGGGACATCTTGGAGGTATTTCAGTCAGCAGAATGCTTTGAGAAAGGACATGGGCAGGAGAAGCCCAGCTCTCCTTTCCCGAGGGCACCTTTGCTTTTGAAATTACCGTATTTTTCGCTCTATAAGACGCACCTGACCATAAGACGCACCTAGTTTTAGAGGAGGAAAGCAAGAAAAAAAATATTCTGAATCAAATGGGCACGTAATCACAGGCACATTCCCCATCACTTCCGCATGGGCTGCACATCTGACAGACTTACTGCACACACACATTCGCTCTATAAGACACACAGACATTTCCTCTTACTTTTGAGCGGGGGAAAAGTGTGTCTTATAGAGCAAAAAATACGGTAGTACCCCTGCCTTTAAAAATGAGCAGAACAAGCATATGAATAACCAGTCGCCACCTAGTTTGGTCCTACGGTTCACCTTTTTAAAATCTTCATTTTTTTTAATGGCCTGGTGTTGTTTTGTAAGTCGGGGCAATTTGGAAACCAAGGAAGGGCTTAATATTGTGTTCACCATTCAGGCTAGGGAAGGAGGTTGGATGTTAATGTGCCCAGAGATATCCACATAATAGTATCTATTTTAAAATACAGTTAGAACACTAACTCTTGGAACAGCAAGGCAGTATTTTGTGCCAAACAACACACACCAAGTAAAACACAGAAGGTGTTTTGCTCTCTGTTTGCCCTTTTAAGGTTTGGGGTGAAAAGAAGAAAATGTCACACATACCGATTGTTGTCTGTATTAAGGAGAGCTGTTGATACGATTGCATTGTTAAATGTTACGTGTTCTCCCACACAATATTTTAAAGATATTTCCTTAATTAAGCCTCACTTTTAGGTAAATATTGTGTGTACTTTTGCTTCTAGTTGGGAAAAATATTTTGAAAGGTTTGTATAATTCAGCTTATACTATTGAGGCCTGATTAGTAACAGTTAGCGTTATAATTTGTCTATGTGGAGGACATGCCGTACCGCATAGTGTTGCAGAAGAAAAGCCAACATCAGTTTAAAAAACCCCCACTCCGTCTGGTCCTCACATTGGAAAGTAGCCATATTGCTAACTTTCCTTCCTAACAGTATTTCAAGACTATTTTAAGCTATTCTGTTAGGGATAACTGCACAATTATTTCCCATATTAGCATCCTTCAGGGGTGCATTTCTAACACAGCAATCATAGGAATCATACAGTTGAAAGGGGCCTAGCAGGCCATCCAGCCCAAGCGCCTGCTCAAACAGGGCGCATTCAGATCCAACCGCACACTATGCCCTGTAAGTAGGAAGTGGGTCTTCAGATACTTGGGGCTTCAGCTTCTGGAAGCTCCTGCCAACATGGCCAGCGGTTAGGAATTCTGGGAATTATTATTATTATTATTATTATTATTATTACATTTCTATGCTGCCCCTTGCCGAAGCCTCGGGGCGGCTTACAACACAATAAAATACATTGAAATACAATAGAACATAATAAATTACCACTAAATACATGTGAAACATCGGGAACTCTACTTTTTGCCAACCCCTGCCCCAAACATCCCAGAATGCCCGGGATGCTTGCTACTTTCTTCAAAGCTCATAGTCTTTCTGTGAAGAATTTGACCTGATCTCTTGGTTCCTGTGCCTTGCTGCAATTCTTCCTATATCGGTTCCATTCAGACATTTTGGCCCACGATTCCAAGGATTCCTGACCATTGACCATGCTGGGTGACGGAGTTGAAGTCCAAATTGTCAGGAAAGGCGTAGTCTGGGGAGGTCTACCCGACTGCCACTCATGCTCTGATCATGCCTAACTATGCATCACCGACACGGTATTCCCTGTCCCCACTACCTCCCATTCACTTCTTCCCCTCTGCTCCCTCTGCTGAATTTAGATTGCAAAATTCTCAGAGCAGGAACTGGCCTATTGTGCTCCAACAAGGGCCAGAGATACAAAGATAAATAAAATAAACACATGAAGTGGCCAACATTCCCAGGAGCAGCAATCAGATTGTGGCATAAACCACACTGCTCCAGCTAACACGTGAAGTGGATTTGAGCCATGGGGATCAGGACGTGGCATCCCAGTAAAGTCTTGCATGATCCGAAACCTTGGCAAGCTTCCTGGGTCAGGTAAAGGTGCTGGCATGGCCGAGGCAGGCGCAGAAGCAGCTCGCTTCCCTTTCCTGTGTCTAATTCCACCTCTACTTGGGACCTGCTCAGTCTGAACAGTGTGTTAGAGAGGCTGCAGGGCTGCCTGTATTTCACCCCTTCCCTGGAATGCTCCCCTGGGCCTTATGAATGAGGAACTGTCTTGTGGACCCTGCCATTCTTGTCTGCCAGGCAACCCTCACGCAGTGCCTGCCCAATCCCAGGAGAAGTGAAGGCTTGAAGAGAAGTGCTCTGGTAATAAAGAAATCTTGCCCTCTTGTGAAATACTATACAAATGCCTTCTTATCCCCCTCTTCCTTCCTTACTCCCATAAAGTCTTGCATATGTATCATGGCTTTTTGGATTAGCATCCTCCAGGGATGGCTTGAAATGTATCCTCTCTAAAAAGGGAAGATCTAGTTCAGAGCAGTTAATTGTCCTGCTCAGGGAATGGGGCATTTTCGTCTGAATTATGCCTTTGTTCTGAATGAGCTAATGTTGTTTTAACTTTCTTGTGCTAAGTGAACAATTCAGCAAGAACGAATCCCCTTTGCTGCTTTATTTAGACACATTATAGTCAGGTCTCAGAACAAGTAAATGAAAAAGGCTTAATTTAAATTTCTGTTCTTTGGCAGACATCGACGAGTGTGAGACACCTGGAATATGCATGAACGGGCGCTGCGTCAACACCGATGGATCCTTCAGGTGCGAGTGTTTCCCTGGCCTTGCCGTGGGCTTGGATGGACGTGTGTGTGTGGGTAAGTTGAGCTCTTGGTATGGGCAGTTGCAAATCGGTTGTAGATTAATGGCTACAAAAAGCTGTAGAGGAGCCATGGACCTCCTGACTGAAGGTGATGGGAGTTGTAGTAGACATCTGCACAGCGTCAGGGCAGGAAATGCTGTTCTAGAATATGCTGTGTCCAAAAACAGGTCTGGTATCCAGGTTTGGCATGGTTCGGTTTCTACTGAAGGCCCAGGCCTTAGCGGAAGTCCGCTGGCAGCAGCTCTCTGAAGTTGCAGCTCCTCTGTGTGGTTGCCCCCTGCTTGTTCACCTGCATGTCACCCTGAATCAGGCAGTGGTGGTTGCAAGAAGAGGAGAATCAGATATCAAGCAAGCAAGTGGCAGCAAACTTGGGTGTACCCCTCCACTTTTTTGGATGCAGTCATGAGTGCTGCTGTCAAGCCATTAACCTTTAAATACCTCAGCACAAAGGGTTGTCTTAGCCTTGTGGCCAAGGCATGGCAAAGTTTGCATCATCAACATCATCATCATCATCATCATCCCCCTGGTGGGAGAAGACAAAGGCAAAATAGCTAAGTAATTCCACCTCCATCACTTGTTAATAGTTCATGATTGCTCCCCAGCCGAACCTTCCAAGTTCTTTGTGTGTTTTTTCACATCCACTACGGACCTCAGTTCTTCCTGGTCTTAAGCATTCTTGACAGCCCTGCAGACTAGTCTGTTGAGTGCATCCTTGGAGATGTTTCCCTCCTTCTATCTTCTTTTTAAGCCTCAGTTATTGAGAGCGATCACTGTGCAGTCACCCTGATTCCATGATACATCTCCCATTGTTTCATGTTTCCACCATACTATTGTGATTCTGCCTTCAATACAATTGTATCTCAAGGAGCAGCAAGGGTATGTGTTGCCATAGAGGCCCATGGGGAAGGTATAGACTTAGTAAAGGTAAGAACTGCAAATGCAGTGCACACACTGGTCTTCCATTACTGACTTTAGCAAATGAAGTTCAACAAGCATTACTGGGTGCTCAGAAAATGGAAGGCACCATTGTTTCTCTTTGGCATGTTTTCCAAATGCAAAGAAGAGTTGCTTCCATATTAGGGCCCTTCCAAAAATCAAAAACCAAAGTCTGTGCCTTGGCAGGTCTAATTTGAATTGGAATTATGATTCCACGTGGCACTTAATAGAGTGCTTTGCCCTCTGTAGAACCAAGCCATGCCAATTCCCATGGGCAAGATCTGACATGTCACTTCATTTATAGGTCACAGTCTTCTTGTAACTATTGCTTAATTGGTCATTTCCTCCTTGACCCATCTTTTACAATGACTAATTATTTGCACTTGCAAAAAATGAAATGAAATAAAAGCATGAGCACTGGGGAGCTGCAGATAAGCATACAATATAGTGACCTCCTCTCTTCTGGGACCAAGAAGTGAGTCACTGAATACAACGGCTGCAGCCGTTTCAATTATCTGGGGTTTTCTGCAAGTGGCTCCAAGACAAGTGCTGTAGCCAAAAGCCCCAGCAGTGCTATACTAGTCAACCCTGAACAGGCTAGCACTCAGGTTGAATGCAGGCAAAATATCTCAAGTAGGGTGGATTTGATTTAATTTATGATTTAAATCACTAGGCAGGAAGGCTAGATTTTAATCATGGTTTGGCACACGTGCCTGCCTTACCGGTAGGTAGAGGAACTTCATTACGATACTTCCAGACTGGGTCTCTTTTATGGCCTGCTGCCATTATAGGCTTTCTCCTCCAGGGAAAGAGTAATATGATAAACCTCAGGCTGTACACAAAAGGAGCCAAAGATTTGTGAATGGAAAGGTTTCACTGTCATTTTTACCGCCTGCCCCTCCCTCCTCACACTGAGCTGCTTATACAGATCTATTGCACCCCCAACAACCTTCTTCTATTCATTTAATTATTTGAAACAGCACTTAAGAGGTAAGGGATTGATTCTGCGTACAAAGATTTGCAAAGGAACAATGGGATTAAAGTCTTTTTCTCAACTCTGTATGTTTATTTTATAACCTTTTATAACATTTTGGCTGTGCAGAAGAGGCATGAGATCTCTGCAGACATACATGCACAGCTGGGAGAAGTGTCAAACTAAGCATCTGCCCAATAGAAAAAATGAAAAAAATGCCCAATAATCTTACAGAAACTTCTGGAAGAGCATGACATTGTGAATGGATTAGTGGAATTTGTTTACCAAAAAATTTAAACATTGCATGAGTATACAGCCTCATGCTAAAAATTAAAAACCAATCCTTATTTCATGATGAATATAGTATCTTAAACAAAAAACTAGCTTCAGATAGATTTTTCCTCAAAACGCATTTTATTTGAAAAAAATCCAATTTAAATTTTAAAAAATCTGATTTAAATAAAACAATGTTTTGATTTTTTTAAAAATTGATTTTTATCCACCCCAATCAGAAGTAAGCCCTCCAAAATCAAAAAAGAATAAAACACAGGAAATGAAATTGTTTGCCGTGTACCAATGAGAATTCTCCAGACTAGTTAAGTTCACTAGTCAGGTTTGCACAAAAACCTCATGTATGCTTGTAAATCATATAGATACGTTTTTTGTTTGTTTGCTTTTGCAGTGTTGGATATGAGCAGAACATGATCTCAAAAATGTTCATCAATTTTCAGAACAAATTAATTTTCAGAATTTGAAAAATGTACAATGAGAGCCAGTGTGGTGTAGTGGTTAAGAGCATGGGCCTGGGACTCAGACGATTCGGGTTCGAGTCCCCGCTCAGCCATGGAGCCAACTGGGTGGCTTTGGGCCAGTCACAGACTCTCAGCCCAACCTACCTCACAGGGTCGTTGTTGTGGGGATAAGATGGAGGAGGAGATGTAAGCTGCCTTGAGCCCTTTGTAGGAAAAAGGCAGGATATAAATCAATCAATCAATAAAATATTCCCTCCCACTAAAAAAAGAGTTCAAAACTGTGCATTTTGAATGAGCAATTCTGCACTTTATGTGGGGAAATGTGCATAATTTTGGAAATTGGCAGAACGTTGGACATTTTTGATCACACAGTTTTGATCTGCGATCACAAATTAGACCATACATCAAGAGAGAGCAGATTGTTGCGAGTGCAAACATCACTTGCACACTAATCCCTGTCCCAGGCAAAATGAGAACAAATAGATTGTGTGTAAGCTAACAATCTATTTCTATTTTTCTATTCTAGTTCTGTTTTAGAAATAGATGGTCAATGTTTAACAAATCTACTTTAAATGTCTATATTTGACAATATAAAGTGGTGTCCCAGTGTCATCCTTTCATTAGACCACATCGTTCATTTTAATCAAGGTATTACACTAATGCATATTTTGAGATTTTACTTATGCTCAAAATGGCCGTCTTTGCTTTCAGTCCCAGTATATTTAGTGCAGCCTTCCCAAACCTGACACTTGCCGGATGCTTTGTACTGCAGCTCCCAGAATTCCTGGCCTTGCTGGCCGTGGCAACTCCGTACCAAAGTCCACCATGTCCAAAGGACACCAGGTTGTGGAAAGCTGATCTCCTGCGTTGCAACTACGTCACATACCTCAGCAGAGGCAACAAAACAAAATTGACCTTCCTCTGCATTTTTTTCTCTTTGATGGGATTGCAAGATGAGGCTTTAATTAATGTTTTCCACAACAGATAAAGGGGAAAGTAGGACGAAACACTACAGGAACTCATAATGGATTGCAGAGGAGGGTTACTCTCTGACTTTGCCATTTGGCTTTAAGAATCCTTGATAGCTGATCACCCCAAATTGTTCCTTGAAATTGTGATGGTAACTCCTCAGGATACTTGAATAAAAGTATTCCGACTATGGAATGCGCGCCCCAGAGAGGTCCTCCTGGCGCTGTCATTATATGCTTTTCGGTGCCAGGTCAAGACCTTTTTATTTAACCAATATTTTAAAGTTAATTAATTTTAATTGTATATTTATTCATTTAATTCATTTTAACCATGTTATTGTATACTCAGTCGTGGTGTAGCCAATTTATTTGTTTAGGATTGGACACTGTATTTGGGGTTTTAATGTTTGTAAACCACCCAGAGAGCCCCCTGGGCTGACGGGGTAGTATATAAATGCAATAATAAATAAATAAATAAAATAAAGCATTGTTTATCAGTTTACTATTCTAGCAGGGCATCAAGAAGAACTGTTTCACTGGAGGAATGCTCTTGCTCAAAACAAATGGGGAAAAGGTGCATTTTGGACATAAGAGTGAAAACTATGATAGGAAAAACAGAGCAGAGGAGTTTAGCAATCTGCCTCTTGAATGACAGAGGGTCGGGTTCAAACTCCTCTTCCACAGCTTCTGTCTTTATCTTCTTGGGATGGAATTGCTCACTCACCTTTTGAGCAATACTGTTCTACAGCTTTCTAAAAACCTTCCAGATGAGGGTTTTATTGTACAATCACCTTGTCTATTTTCCAGAATTCCAGGTGCTAGTTCTTCCATCCTCCCATGTCTGCCCCTTGTGACTTTCACCTTTGTTCTAACTGGAAAAGAAAGTGTGTGTGCACACGTACAGACACACATGTGCACGAGTACATAGTAAGGAGGGGGAGGTTGTGCAGGTGCACTTGGGTGGGAAGCAGCCGGAGCCTGTTTGGGAGCAGCCATAACCTGAGAGCAGGTCGTGTTTCTCCACATACGATTCCTGACATTATTCCTGGCAAGTGCTTCCCACAGCTACCATGTGATCGTTTCTCCTCCTTTAGATACACATATGCGGAGCACATGCTATGCGGAATACAGGAGAGGCCAGTGCGCTAAGCCGTTATCTGGAGCAGTTACGAAGTCGGAATGCTGCTGTGCCAGCACGGACTATGCCTTTGGGGAGCCCTGCCGCCCCTGCCCTGCGCAGAGCTCAGGTATGTGTGGCATATCCAGAACGTCGGGCGAATACGCAAGTGGGCTCGTAACAATGGAAGGTGTGCAGCATTGCTCTCCCGGGCCTTCTTCAGGGATGCTCGCAGGAGTACCGTGCACCCCCGTGAAGTCGCAGTTCAGTGTCCGCGGCCTCAGTCTTTCGCAGAATTTTCCATGTGGCGGCTTGCTCGCAAGGAGATCGTTTTCTCCGAGCGAGTCCAAACCGATCTCCTTGTGAGTTCGCAAGGAGATCACTTTGGACTTGCTTGGAGAAAACGATCTCTGTGCACACCCGCTCCTGCCTCGCCCCACACGCGCCCCTGCCCCCCGGCCCGGCCCACGCCCCCCGCCCACACCACCGTCGCAGTAGTCCCCCGAAATTCACAGTTTTTCACAATTTGCAGGTGCTCTAGGAACATAACCCCCGCGAATTTTGGGGGATTACTGTATACTGAACTCAGCGGTGCTTAATTACTTTCAGCAGAGGGCCATATTCCAATTCAGAAGAGCTCTCAGATTAGCTTCCAGTCATGGGTGACCCCAAAGGCAAAATGTGTGAGGCCCAAATACTACCATGTTTCCCCCAAAATAAGACTGGGTCTTATATTAATTTTTCCTCCAAAAGACGCACTAGGGCTTATTTTCAGGTGATGTCATATTTTTTCATGTACAGCAATCTACATTTATTCATTTATTCATGTACAAAAATCTCCATTTATTCAAATACAGTCATGTCATCTTCTTCTGGAACATCATCATAATGCTCCAAACCCCAAATTGTGTTGCAACAGATGTTCTAAATGCGTCCATCTGGCTGACGATCTTAACTGGGGCTTATTTTTGGGATAGGGCTTATATTACGAGCATACTGAAAAATCATGCTAGGGCTTATTTTCCAGTTAGGTCTTATTTTCGCGGAAACAGGGTACAAATGCACTTAAATTTAGTGTAAAGCTCTTTTCGCTAGCCATCAAGCCATAGAAGAAACATTTCAACCTTTTAGAAGGGGAGGGAACTGTATGCAAGTCAGGAGACTACCAAATGATTTGGTGGGTAGGGGAAAGGGGGTGGAGCCACAGGGAGAGGGGTTGTCATCTGGTGAACCCCAGAGAGACCCCAGGTGGGCTGGACTTGGTTCTTGGGATAAAGATTCTGCTCCTTAATTTAGGTTTTTCCATTTTAAAACCTTATTTATAACAAATCATTTTAAAAAGATGAACATTCTATAAACACTGAAATGAAATACAGCTGAGAGATGATGCAGGAGTTTTGTAAGACTGCATACAGTGCAATCTTATATATACCTAATCCAAAGTAAGTCCCACTGTTTTCCAGTTATATGTAGGTAAAAGATTGCAGATACTGCATTTTGAGCAGCAGAAGGGGAAAGCTCTTTGGTTGTGAAACTTGGTGGGTCATTATTTTGAGGAATGGATTTCTTTTAGTGAGTTTTCCTGAGAATTTTATAGCATGAATTCATGTATTGAAAATCATGCAGATTCCACTTGGGCCAAATTTCTGCAAGAGTTGCTGTCTGTAATGTGGACATATATCAAAGTTTGTATATTTCTTTTCTGCTGCACTGCCCTAACTTGGGAAATCGTAAGGTTGAGAGTCTTTTGCAAGGGATGAATATTTCAAAGTTCCATCATCATCATCATCATCATCAAAGTGCATGGGCTTCTATAAAGTATCAGAGAGTAAAAACTTCTCCGATCCCTAGCCCAAGGAACTTACAGTAAAAATTGGAGATGAGAGATAGCAGACAACTATGAGGGAAATGGAAACTTATTACAGATTATTTTGGTTACATGGAACAAAGCAAAGAATTCACATATACTCAAATGTATCCTTGCAAGTTACAGATTTTAAAGAGTTTTCAAATTGGAAGTGCCGTTCAGATTGTGGTTATAAAAAACACCACTGGTATTGCTTTGCCAAATCTCACAGAAAAACAATATTCTGAAATGCCTAGCCCTGAATTGGCTCACTAGTTTTTAGAAGGTACCTTGAGAAACTTGTATGCTGTTAACCTTTACTTTAATTTTCAGTTTTACGAAAGAGTGGCTGAAGATCACGTGAAACAAATTAAGCTGTTTTTCACTGATGTGCAGCCTTTTGGAGTTCTAGTTGTTTTCTGTGTTACTGTATGCCATGTTAGTTCAAATAGCAGCAAACGCTGGAAAGTTATTGGAGCAGGAAAAGACTTTTGCAGCACTGTCTGTCACTGTTGGCTCTCCTTTTGTAACTACACAGTAGAGCTGAAGCGTTTTGTAAATGTAAGTGGCCCGATGCCATTGACTTCTGTTTTGTATTTGAATTAATTTAACAGAACATTTACACATGTGGAAGCAATTCCATCTGGGCTGTTTTGTGCACCTCTCCTATTGTTAAAGATGCCAGCTCATGGAGGGTAAAATATAGGGCAGCTTTCAGATTTTGATTTTTGGGTTGGTGGGAGCCTGGAAGAGTGACCTTTTTCCTCTTCTTCAGGAAATCCATGTTGTGCTAACGTACAGCTCTTAGAAGTGAGTTTTCTCTCTGCTTGGGGCAGATACTCTGTTGAGAATCCTCTTCAGTCCTTAAATTTTATTCTCGATACGTCTGCCGATGTGGCTGGGTTCATGAATTGTCCTCTGAGATGCTAAATCATGTTTGCTGAGATCCAGATCCAGACTGAGTTGCTGGTTCCAGCCTCTGGCTAGGCAAAGCCAATCTTCCCAAGAAGGATCTTAGACTCTGAGACTTCATGGTTTGCCTTTTTCTACCAGAAAATTACATGAGAAGTTTCTGGGGTAGGGGTTAATCAGTCCCACTGCCCCCTTCCCAAATACCATGTGTCAAGAAGAGACATGATTTGGAACAGCTTTCTGGGCAGAGGAGTCTGGGAGACCCATCGGAGACTCAGAATGGGTTGGCACTAAATGTCAGGCTTTCACTGGGAGACTCAAGTTCAACTATTGGTGAAGAGCACCGGGTGTCCTTGGGCTGGACACCTTGTTCCAGCCTGTGGCAGCTGCGAGGATAATGTGGAGAAAGAACGATGCATGCCCCATTTATCTCCTTGGAAGAATGGTGGTACGCAAAGGTATATTTTAGTAGTGACTGCAGGAAGGTGTCAGGCTCATGGACAGAGATGGTGAGATGGAAAACGGAAGGCGGGCAGGGCCGCTTCCTGCCGGATAGCAAGAGGAAATGCTGCATAAGAGGAACTGGGGGGGGGGGTGGTCACAGAAGGATAATTCCACTAGCCCTCTTTCCTTCACTCTTGCGGTGTCTTCCACCTTGAATTTTCAAAGGCAGCTATCGAGTGGCCACATGTCCTAATTTACAGATGACAGTACTCTGTTTGAAAGGCTGTCAGAAGACGGCTGTCATTTTGGAAATGTCCAGTGTCTAAAGAACCGCCTATGTAAATCTAATGAGCTAAGTGAAGGGAGTGAGCACAGGGCCTTCAAGTTACCAGTCCTCAGCATCTTAACAGCACCTAACACAGCAGATACACAGATAACCTGGCTATGGTCTTTTCCACCATGGTCAGATGTAGTAAATTTCTATTTAAATTATACCTATTAATTCAACATGTGCAAATATGCATGCAAAGTAGTGGAAGCAGATGTTCAAGTATCTGATCTCTTGTGCTCTCTTTTTGGCCATGCTGGGAATTGATGTGCTTCACGTAGATCCCTGGAAAGCAAACCGCAGGACAGAAGCTTGACTTAGAAGTTCTCTGCTGTAAGAGGCTCGCCTTCGCTTTTCAGTTTTCCTTGGCTTTTGACCTCTCAGTTGACCAATTTTAATTAGTTGTCTATAATTTGTGCTACATGTAGAGAAGGATAGTGCTGTATTTCTCATCCTGATCATGTCTTTGACATGCAGTGTTTATGTTATATTTTTTATCCATTTCAGTATGAATTTTGATATATTTTATCTGTTTTGTTCTTCAGGAATATTCTGTTGGGAAAGTGGGATATCAGTGCGCTTAATAAATAATACCATGAATAAATAAGGAGGGAAGGGACATGAGATACTCCCCAGAATGCTTCCCTTGGGTTTTCGTTTGTTTTTCCTTCTTTTCTTATAGATCTCAGGCTTGATTAGAAAGGCTTTATTTACATGGTATATTTCAAAACTATAATGGCTTTGTTATTTGGTAGAGTGTTTGCAGCTCTTAAGGCAGGGCCCAGAATATGTGACCTGCATCAAAACAAGCTTCAGAACAAGCTAAAGTTAACCTTTCTAGTACCCTGCAGAGTTCCGGAGTGACGGAAAACCTGTGATGGGGTGTGATGATGCCCCATTGAAGGAGGTCCATGCCAGAGATCTTGGGGAGAAAAAGAGCTTACAGACCTCTGGGAATTGCTTGGCTCTATCTTAGGTCTTCATGATTTTAAACTCTTCTTCCTCCTTTTTTGGAAAAAGGACCTACAGAAATCCTTTAGGCTGACTTGGAAAGACCCCCAGTAGTTCCTGGAATTGCCTGAAATATGGCCTTCCAAGTAAAGCTAAATATGTCACACAGTGAGTTTTGTAGGTGGAGAAAATGCAGAGGTACTCATGTATATAATTTTAATGTGCTATTTGACAAAAAGATTGCCATCTTCAGTCGCTGAAAACTATACAGATTTAAGGATGTTTTATATGAGATGCATTCTTTGAAGGGACCGTAGATTATTTGCAAGGAAAAGGGTGCCCTTCTATGCATGTAGGGCTCCCCCCCAAACATTCATAGAATTGCACCTTTAAATACATTTATTAAATATACTTTTTTATTTTATTTCCCCTGCAGATGAGTATCACGGCCTTTGTAGTAGTGGCCCAGGCATTACTGCAACAGGAATCGGTAAGTTTATACAGTATGATAATTTTGTGCAAATTTCATGTAACAGCAGTGGGCATTTGGCTTTCCAGGGGAATGTTTTGAGGAAAGAACTATATACACCAGTTTAATGACCTTTGTCTTTTGTAGATATCAATGAATGTGCACTGAACCCTGACATTTGTCCAAATGGAATCTGTGAAAATCTACGTGGAACATACAAATGTGTCTGCAATTTTGGGTACGAAGTGGATTCAACTGGGAAAAACTGCTTAGGTATGTTTTCCCTAATCCTACCTAGCACATTCCCACATGCCCCCTTATTTTTCTATATTAGGTTCAACTAGTGTTTCTGGCCTGTCTGGCTTGTTTCCTCCTGACCTTTACTTTCCTTCCCATATTTTAAATCCTTTCAGCTGTTTTTTCCTGTTATCAGATTGCCTGATCCAATTGGGGAACTTTGTTTTGGGAAGAACACACAAACAAACACAGAGATAAAATAGACTAGAGGGACTGTGAGTATTCCTGCCTTCTCCCACAGTGACTCTCCTGTACTTTTTAAAGCCTTGTAGATCAATTTCTGTGCCGCAGCTGCCCACTTCCTGCAGCCACTCTCTGGCATGGTTGCTTAATTGCCCAGACCTGGAATATTCTGCCTTGACTAGTGTGTAGGATTGGTTGACCAGTGCTCAGACTTTCCAGTTCTGGGCTGATTTAGTATTTTGCCTTACCTCCGACCTTGTTCCAGCCGTCTTACAAAATGGGTTACTGACTTCCTTGCGCTCCTGCAAGTTCGGCTTTTATGCCTACCCTTTGAGATCACTGACCTGTGTCCAGTCCAGAAAACCATCTAAAGCATGGCCCAGAGGATTTGTGTGTGGGCCCCTAGCATGTTTGGACAGCCCTGTGGTTATCACAGGAGTGATGAAATCCTGACCATGTTAGTGCTGTATTTCACCTGCCTTGAGTCCAGATGAAGTGTTGGCTGCAATAGCTGGAATGTCTACTCATAAAGAAAAGCTTGACTAGACCCTGCATTCTGGGGACTTTTGTGGACAAGCTGCAAACTTTATTGTAGACTAAGATGTGGGGCATTTGATTTTAACGCTGTGCTTTAAGTAGAAAGGAATGCCATCCGGCTTCTTTTCAGGCAGGCAAAATAGACCCTAGTTTAACCACCCTGCTTCCTTTTCTTCCTCTTGCTTTGAAACTTTCCCACTTCCTTCAAAAAACATGTCTTTCCTCCCCCCTTTCCTCCACTTACGGCATTGCTTAAGCTATGATGTGGGAAGGGGGGATTCTGCATCAAAGACCTTGGGAAGATTGCATCCCAGCTTCCAGCCGACCCAGGAAGTGTAGCTCATCCACGTCACATTAGAAAGGCTCAACCCTATCAGAAAAAATACACTTAATGTGCAGTCATGTTTTGAGGGCTCGCAAGGTCTCTTGTTGCTTCTTTGGGTCACCGGGAAATATAAATTTCCCTGCCAAAGACAGGAAGTTTGAGAATGATTGCCATAAGTTTCTAAAAACTCCAATATTTGTTATTTTTCCAGTGACTTCATATTTGATTTTTTAACTGCAGCATTTCTCTGACAGCGCTCAGAGAAACATTCCCATCAGTGGAACGTTTCTTCCTGTTAAAAGGTTTCTTTCATGGCTTCCCCTGAGAACAAGATCTTCTTTAGCCTCCCGAATGACACTCCTAATTAATTTTGCAGACATTGATGAATGCGCCTTGAATACCTTGCTTTGTGACAACGGACAATGCAGAAACACCCCTGGAAGCTTCACGTGCACCTGCCCTAAGGGGTTTGTATACAAGCCAGATCTGCAGACATGTGAAGGTAATTTGGAACATCCCTTTTCTGTGTGCCTGGTGTGTATGTGTGTGTGTTTTTAATCACCCTCTCACTCGAATTATATTTGAATCATATCATATGTGCGTTCTTTGCCAGCATTTGGGATGAATTCCATTTCAGGCAGACAGGACCCATGATATTTCTATAAGGATGCCTCGAGACTGATACTTCTAGGTTCAGACCACCAAAGCCTAAATTAAGTTTCCTCTTCAAATCAAAGAGTCATTACTATTTCTCTAAGAATTTGAAGGCAAATTATATTATCCATCACAACAATCATTTTATATATGCATGTATGTGCATTTATATAGCTATATGTACTCATATAGAGAGATATATGTACACACAGACATACATATACATAGAATTTGTGTTTTGTGAAGAATATTTTGGGTGAGAATTCAGCTGCTTATTCTGCATTTATTTAGCTGCTAGGGTGTTGGTTGTTCTCAGGGGCAGGGTTCTTCTCGGCCTTCCACCTAGTTGACAAAGCAGTAGCAAATACGTTGAGGGTCAATAGCAAAGAATGAAAAATCCTGAGGTCAGATCCCAGAGGAGCCATGGACTCCACAGCGCATCACTGAGCACATTGTTTTTCCTCCACATTGGCTCCTCAGATTTAAATGAGAATAACTGTGATCGGCTTTGTGGGTTTGTCGCAGGAAGGGCTGAGACAAGGTCTCAGTGCCTTGAGACATTGGGATGGTGTGCTAGATGCATAAAGTGAACGGGCTTAAAGTTCAGCTGAAATGATGGTTATGAAGGCCCTAATCCTGCACCTCAGAAGGGCTGTGAAAGATGCATGATGCTGTTCCGTGTGCAGTTTGAAGCCAATAGGATCATGACAAATTGCTTGCTTGGGGCAGAAGTTTGCTAGTTAGGGTCATATGAAAACAGAATTTCCAACGGCAACACACAAAAAAGGCAATCATTGAACTGAATCTATAATTATCAGATGCCAGTGAATATGTAAACAAACCCAGCCAGTTGTTGGGTCTCCCACATGTGGATTTCTGAATCAGAACCACAATCTAAACATCTCTAACTGAATAGGAAAAAAAAGTTATTTCCTGGAAAGCCAGAAAGAAATACACCACATGAACCTTCAGTACATCTGCTAGCTGTTAATTCTTATCATTTCTCTTCTAGATATTAATGAGTGTGAATCCAGCCCCTGTGTTAATGGAGTGTGCAAAAATACTCCTGGCTCTTTTGTCTGTGAATGTTCCCCCGAAAGTTCTCTGGATGCAACAAAAACCATCTGCATTGGTAAAGTATTCTTCTGAGCTGTTTTCTTTTTCAGCCATGTTTATTGGCTGGAAATAACTTTGATCTAATTTAGATGCAGATGTCATATTCTGTTCCTAGAAGGCTTTTAATGAATAGTTCTGAAAGACTGACTGAAAAGAGAGATTTTAATCACTGATTCATTGTTTTCTAGAATGTACTGTAGATTTAAATGTGTTTATGCAGTGTGCTGTTCTAATGCATCAGAATTGCAGGAGAAATACTGTAGAGAGTTAACACGTAAAGACAGCCCCATCAGACTTACTGGGCTGGGCTGAAAAAAGGCAGCAACTTTATTAAGCTATTATTAATTGAATGTGATGGTGCCTGAACCAGCTGCTGCATTTGAATTGACAGAAGAGTGGCAAAATACAGAACTTAATTTTATTTGATGAAAAACACGAAGCTCAAGAGTTCAGAGTGAAGTGTTGGTAACTGCAATCGTTCATACAGGGATGGCAGAGCTTGCATGCCAGGTCGAGAGATTTGGGTCATAAGTGGCTTATTTCTTGTTTCTCCTTCCCCCTAACAGAGACCGTTAAAGGCACGTGTTGGCAGACCATAGTGAATGGAAGATGTGAAATTAATATCAATGGGGCCACCCTAAAATCTCAGTGCTGCTCTTCACTCGGTGCGGCCTGGGGGAGTCCCTGTGTTCAGTGTGAACGAGGTAAGACCGTGTTGCCTGGACAATGTCTTATGTGGAGTATTATGAGGAAGTACCAAGTAGGAAGCATCCCTGGAGTCAAACGGGGTTGTGGCCTTGCTGTGTGCCACGTGGATTTTTTAGCAGGACGGGGTCAGGACATTTAGAGTCTTCCAGCTCTGGTTTTCCCATTTCAGCGACACATTCCGGACATGGGACTTAATGGTCCTACTGAAGTGTAGTGGGGGGTGGGTGGAGTCCTTGGATGGCCATGTGTATCATTTCAGCCATTGATGGATCTATTAATTAGATCTTTATCCCTTCCTATTAGCCATAAGGCTATTCCAGTATTTTATAGCTTTCTCTCTATTCATCTTTGCCTTCCCTGATTTTTGCTTTTGAAGGATTATTATTAGTCATGGTAGTTCGATGACATTGCATTCATATCCAAGTGCTTTTCTTCTTCTGGGGAACTTTCAACGAGGTGTACAAAGCTCACAGCAACGACCCTGTGGAGTAGGTTAGCTAGGAGTGAATGATAGGCCCCAGGCCATGCAGTGGGGACTAGAACCCAGACCGCCCAGTTCCCCAGTCCGACACGCTCATAACCACACCACCCTGTATCTCTAATCCTCAGAGCCTACTCAGGGCAAGGCAGCTTCACAGTTTAAAGGCACTTAAACCATAGCATCCTCAAGACTATGGGAACAAGTGGGGGAACTTTTGCTGCCATGAGTAGCATCTCTTTTGGAGGAAATGTACTTTAATGGTGAAGATAATTGAATGAGCATCTGCAGACACATAATGCCTTCTGGCTGCTCACTGACTCTTGGGGGTTTTAATAAGGTGACTCGAGGAAGCGTTGTGTGGAGTCCTGTCAGCCTCATGAGGCCCTGGAACACCCAGGCCAGCTGAGGTGCTGAAGCAGGACGACAGCACGCACAACGGAGCACACAGCGGCTTGTTGGCCACTGCTTCCATCATCCACTGTTTACTAGGTGGCAGGTTCCATGGGGAAGAGAAAGCTGCAGCTCCTTGTGGCTTCGATCACCACCTTTGGCACAGCTGATTGCAGGACTGGAGTTTAGTTTGGAGAGATTTCTGAATAATTCCTAAATATTATGATATTGATTGTTATAATTTTGAAAGCAGGAAAATCACCTTGAAATGCAGAATAACTGTAGATATACATAGTCTACACCAAGCATACCTGCAGATGGAATGACATTCTCCAGATGTCCTGTCAAGCCCAGTTCTTCTTTGGGGCTGTGATCATTGCTCCTTTGGAATCAATGGGAAAATTATGCAGCTAGAGCAAGGGTTGAACATGAAATCTGAAGCCTTTCCCCCTCATTTCCATACGTTTCCTAATTCATGCAATTGTCTTCCATAGACTGAAGTGGGACTTGCCGTTTGCAGGGGGACATTTGTATGAACTAGAACGTTTGTGCAAAACTGAATGGGGGAAGTTGTGCAAATCTAGGACGAACACCTGTCCAGCTATTTGCAAATCTCCCCTAAATATTTGCAATCACATTTTGGCTTTTGGACAGGGCATACTTGCATGTTCTGAAAGCAAAAGTGAAATTCTCATACATCCCTAGTACGAAGAGCCCTTCTATGATTTCACCTTTGATTGGGAAGTAAGGGGTGCTTACAGAAAGATAGTCACTGCAATTCTGTGCATATTTACTTGGGAGAAAATGTGATTAAACACAGTGGGACCTACATCCAAAGAAACATACTTTAGTGTTGCTCTGATCATCATTGTGGTGTTCCATCATGCATGCTGAAGCCCCTTTCCTTTTCATTTGATTGTAGTTGTGTAAGATGTCTTTATGGAGAGAAGTGTTGTGTTTCAGACGCTCTTTCATGTCCAGTAGAAACAAGGCTGAGTTTGGGACTCCATTGTTCTCATTTCCTTTCTTTTTACAGATCCAATCTGTTCCAAGGGATTCTCAAGGATAAGTGGAACTTTGTGTGAAGGTAGGTAGTATTGCGCCGGAACAAGAAACACGTCAGTGTCGAAACCGATATTCTGGTGGTATTGGTCACATTGTGGAAGATCACACCATCTGAGTGATCCTTAGAATCCTTTCATTTTCTTCATAAAAATTACAGCAGGGTAAGAATGTTCCATTACAAGCAAAATATTTAGGAGGTAAAACAACTGCTTAAGCATTCAGATTTGATTTGAATCTGGAAAGAGGCAGTCCCCAAGTGATGGACCTCTGAGATATAGACAGTCCATACTTACAAACAAATTGCCATAAAGCCTATTAATTTAAAGTAGTTACTGTGGAAAATTGCCATCACCATAGAGAGAGTGGAAGCAAAAGAGGGGAGAGGGAGGGCCTTCAAAACATCACCATAGAGAGAGGGGAAATGAAAGCCGCCCCGAGGCTTCGGCAAATGGGGCGGCATAAAAATGTTTTAATAAATAAATAAAATAAATAAGAGTAGAGACAGAGGCCTCCAAAGCAGGCCTTCCTGCCCTGCCCATCCACAGAAGGAAATCTCTCTGGCATTTTCTTACTGCAAAGAGGGGGATGAGGGGGCATTGGGGGGGGGGGGAGTGAGAGAGATTCATGGTGTTTCCACTTTCATGCCCCTAAGCTTTGTGAATGTGGGGGTTCCGACTCATATACAAATTCAACTTACAGACAAATTTCCATTTTCTCAGGAACAGAACTCATTTGTAACCCAGGGACTGGCTGTAAGATATATTCTAAGATATATTCTTAGTGATATTCCTTTGCCAGTTGGAATATGCTAGTGGATATTCCTTTTCTAGTACAGAAAATGGAAATTTATCTTGGAAGTGACTCAGTAAAGAACCAGGGTGGTGGATGGCAGCGTGGCTGGACTGAGGAAGTCCTGCCACCGTGAAGAGAAGCAGCTGTCAAAGGAGGTTGGAGAGATGCTGTATGCCTGCGTCCCTTGGGGGGGCCTCCCTTTTGATGGGGGTTTATCCCTCGTAGTCCCCCCTCCCTTCCACACTGGAGCCATGCCCTTTTCTGCCACTTCTTGGTTTGAGTGACCGCTGGAGGCTGTGCTGAGCAGCCGTACCTACTGGTTTGGTGCGAGATACTGAAATGGCAGCCAAGATCCAGTCCATCAGGCCCTCCTTCTAAGCTCCAGCAGGTCCACACTGCTTGCGGTTACGGTGACTAACGCAGCTTGTCATGACACAGCAGCTGAAGTATTTGGAAAACAAATGATTCCCATCTGTATTTTCTAATAATTTCTTTAAAGAAGAGCAAGGAGGAACAACCCCACCTCCCCGCACCCCCCAACCTTATCCCAAGTCACATTTCTTGCTTGCCAAAGAATGATCAAATATTTTGGACGTGCTTTGACTACAGATCCACTGTATGTAACTTATCTGACCTCTGGAGAGGACAAAATCTTGCCCCACCTAAAGTAGATCACGAGGGAAGAATCAGAAATGGAAATACGTTCTTCCAAGATAGTAGTCAGAGAATTTTATATGAATTGTTTCTACGTATTTTCCAGCACCCAGTTACCTCTAAAGCATGCACCAAAGAGAGCCATGCTGGCCCATGACAATAAAAAATCCAAAACCCACAGCCGGGCAATATTTTAATTCGGTTCAAGCAAAATTCCACAAACTAAGCAAGCTTTCAGGTTCATCAGGCGATGTGGTACGAAAGTGAGCAGTCCTGCTGAACAAAGAATTCTGGAAGACTTGAATGCTTACAATTTTTTTGTTGAATCTTGCGCAAGTCTAATAAAGCTCATCTGTGATTTTGGACAATGATTTCTGATTTGCTATTCACAATTTTCTTGCAATAATCCCAATGGTTTTCCATGTAACCTTGCCCAGCAATGGTTTCTTTAGTTGCAAATATCCCCTTCCACCCCACACCAGAATCAGTAGCTCCATAATACAAATCTTCTGATCACAAGTTGCAGTCTCATTTTTATTGTCTCCCTTCCATCTTCTTCAGGCTATATCTATAGGCAAATTATTTTGGTGACTGTTGGGAAGTGGAGTTAAACCCGTCTATCAAAAAATATGGTTAATGCTCTTAAAAGGCAAAGCATTTCCAAATGCTGGCCATCCATAGTTCTTCAGACAGCCACGGTTCCAGGCATTATGACTCTGCACCTGCTTGGAGAGACTGTGCAGAATAAGCTTGGTGAATTTCATTAGCTGCTGGTCCACTGCAAGCCAAAGTAGAGCCTATCAAACCCAGAATTACTGTGCTTGGTGTGATGCATGTATTGGACTCCTCTATGCCTCTGCTGAGAGTTACTCTTTCTTAAAAAACAAACAGATGTCAACGAGTGTGAAGTGTTTCCCGGAGTGTGCACAAATGGACAGTGTGTCAATACCAGGGGATCCTTTATTTGCCAGTGTCCCAGTGGAATGACTTTGGATGCAACTGGACGGAGGTGTATTGGTAAGCCTTCTGGGTCTCTGGCCCCAGTCTAGTTAGCTGCAGTTAAAACCCCTGGCTCCACAGCTCAGTCCAGAGGCCCTTCTGCGAGCCAAGAGATGTCAAGTGGCAGTTCCTAAGAAAAACCACATGCCTTCTGGGTCAGGCTGTATGGAAGCAAGCTCCCCTGATTTCTGGGAGGGTGACTTCCAAGAACAATGGCAGAACGGAGGCCCTGCAGCCGACCTTGAAGCAGCCGGTGCACTGTCTTGCCTTGAGGGTGGGATGGGCCCATCATTCTTGCTTCTCTGGCAGAAGCAGCTCCTTGTAGAACTATGGCAAGGGGCAGGGGGGAGCTCCTTGTCTCCATGCCTGCACCTCCCTCCTGCTGGAGAAATGGCAGGGGCCAATTTGAAGGGGCAGGAAGAGAAGGCACAGCTGTCTTCCAGTTTGCTGCTGAATGAATCAGAGGCCCTTTTTGAATCAATTGAAGGTTTCTTTATAGACGATCAGTGGATATATCTTTTATTTTCCCCAAATTACCAGTGGCAGCTGAGGAAAATAAAATGGAGCTGCAAAATGGAGCCATTTCATGGTGGACTCCAAATATAGCCTGGGACAGCATGGCTTAGCTGCCACTAGGAGAGATCCAGTGGAAGAAGGGGCCATAGGTTTCTCCTGGATTATTTGCACGATACTGTCTCCTTATTCCTCTTCCACATAATGCTGATAATTGGACAACTGCAGTACATTGTTTCTGTATTGCAATGTCTCAGTATGGATGGATTCCGCTATGCTGATGTTACCATCGCCCATTTCTCCTTTGCTCTTGGCTAAAACAACTCCCAACAGATATTCGCCTGGAAACGTGCTACTTGAAACATGACGACGAAGACTGTACGGCACCAATAGGAGGGCGACATCGGCTGGATTCTTGCTGCTGTTCTGTTGGAGCAGCCTGGGGCCCGGACTGTGATGAATGCCCTGCAAGAGGAACACCTGAGTATGAAGCTCTTTGTCCAAGAGGGCCTGGATTCTCTACCAGAGGAGAGGTTATAAATGGAAAACCATTCTTCAAAGGTATCTAAGATGGATGCTGACACTGAGAAAAGTTCTGAAGAATGTCTAAGCTTAGTCACTGCTTCCTTAGGGCCAAACCACCAACTAGGTGAAAAATAGCACCCTAAAGTCATTCTGCTTGTATTTACTATATTAATGTGTTGTATTTTCTGTATTTGATTTTATTATTTTGTATGTATGAATAATGTTGCCCAGAAAGTTTCTCCTGTAAGTTGCACAAGTTGGATGAATTAATTAGGATTTTTTAAAAGGGTAGAATGCTGGAGAGAAGGCAATTTCCATGATCAGGACTACAGCATTTAAAAGTACAGGATTTTCCTTTTTTTCTTCCCAGATCCAGTCTCAAGCAAAAAGCAACATTAGACAAAAGTTCAGTTGGAGACAGTATGCTAAACATTTTTGTATCTCAAATGCTCAATCTGAGTATTAAAAAGCTTAAAATTATACCTGCATGGAATTATTTGTTGATAACTGTGTTGGATTATTTTATTTTATTTCTTCTTTTATTTATTATAACACTTACTTCTTTTTCTTTTATGTGTCTGTGTTAGATATCAATGAATGCAAAATGATTCCAAGCCTCTGCACCTACGGAAAATGCAGAAACACCATTGGCAGTTTCCGATGTAAATGTGACAGTGGGTTTGCCCTTGATTCTGAAGAGAGGAACTGTACAGGTAAATATGGCTTGCAGCATCAATTATTGTCATGGGGTCATTTCCTCCCTGGAAAGATGGGATATCAGCCATGCTGCCCCTTGCTTCTGTCCTACCACTGCTGAGAAGTCTCACAGCCAGGACTTTTAACTAGGGAGTGGGATGGGCAGCTGACCCTTGAGAAGCTGCTAGAAGCAACCAGCCTTTCACATAGGCTAATGCCAACAGCGTAAGATCAGCCTCTTGGCAGGTGGGCTGTTTCCCCATAAGCAGCCAAGCTCCAGCATTCCAATTACAAAGTTTCTATTTAAATAAGAGGACAATAAGGTTAGGATAGGATAGAAATAAGCAAAGCACAGGGAACATAAATGCAACTAATTTTCTAGCTAAGTTAACCAGAGTAGACTATAATTTCCTTTGGAATTCAAGAGAAGGCAATGCTGGTTTGAGGGTTTGATGGCTCGAGGAAGCCTTGCCAATGGGAAGGCGGCATGGGACAGCAAGTGCTTCAGGTATTTAGAGTGCCTTGGAGTTGGGCAGTTGGAGGTAGATGCCATATTGCCTAGGTAGAAGGGAGCGATGAGAAGGGGGAGGCCATTTCCTTGCTGCCAAACTGGTGGGCCCTTCTGGATTGGGATGAAGTGCTGGGAAATGCATTCTGGTTGAGTATCAAAGAAAGAGAATCCTTGCTCTTGTAAGTGTTTAACGCCACAACCAAAGTCTGTGCAGGCCTCCAAGACAGCAATATTGTCTGAAAATGTAAATGAAATATTGCACCTGTAATTGCATGGCAGAAATGGTTCATTTTCAACTTATTTTAATGTATAATTGGTTCATAAAACAGTGTATAGGGTTGCATTTGAAACACATACTTTCTTTTTAATTGTAGATATTGATGAATGCCGCATCTCTCCCGATCTGTGTGGCCAAGGCATCTGTGTCAACACCCCTGGAGACTTCCACTGTGAATGCTTTGAGGGCTATGAAAGTGGATTTATGATGATGAAGAATTGCATGGGTATGTTATTGAATGCATGGAGTCTTGTGAGGTCCCTTCTGGGGGCTGGTTTTATTGGAATACTTGGAAACAGGCTGGCGATGAGGAGGAGCTGGTTCAGAAGTTTAGTCTTTGATACCTGGCTCAAACGGCAATCAGGCTGGTTTGGAGTGTGCAAAACCTCATTAGCCAACTCAGATTTGTAGATGTAGGGACTTTCTCTTAGAGCATCCACATTCAAAAGTTAGGTGGGGGAAAGAAACATGATTAAAAGGATACTATAGTCTGTATCTACTCAAAAGAATGTTAGTCCAACACAGTTTGCATTCATAAGGTAAATTGAAATTCAGTTTACAAGAATTTTCAGTTTACAAGAATGACAAGTAGCAGCTGTTACTTAGCTTGATTTGAAGGCTGGTCCCTTTGTGGCAGCTTTGGTTTCACCCCAGGAGTGAATCTGAAGCCTTTTAACAGAATCAGTTCACAAAGGACTGTGGATTTTAGTTCAGCACTGCCTCCCCTGCTGTGATTTAGCTCTGGTTAGTAAGAGCATTGGAACATGACATGAAGTCACCTTGATGCTGCTGCTGGCGTGTCTACGTGACAGGAGAGTTTGCCTTTGTTCAGGCCCATAGATAGCATGCTGTGAATTTTCTTTCTTTCCTGGAGTCATGACTTCCTGCCATCAAAATAGATGCACCTTTCTTCTTAGATTTGTGCATCTAAATCATGAGTAATCTACCTTTGTTGGATGAAATAAAACACATTTATCTTCATTATCTCAGACACACTGGGGAGCTGGGTTAATCTGTAAGAGTGCTGCCACCCAAAGGAAATGATTCTTGTATGTTTCTCTCTGACATACAGACTAGTGCTTCATCCAATTTGCCATCCATGACCCAATAGTTCTGCAATCGTATTTAAAACACCTGCACATATTTCTGGAAGGAGTTGTAGTTGCTTCCCCCTGTTGCATGCAATTATTCCCAGACTTTCTTTAGACGCTATCCATTGTGGCAAGTAGTCTATATAAAAGGGCAGAGTTCTTCTAGTGTCCTTTTTGGAGACTTCCTGTAATGCAGTGGATTGTGGCTCTTACAAAAGTTTGTATATACAAATGGGTGGCACAGAGGTTCCATTTCCAAATGGATACTGACTTGTTATTCAATTCCTGAAGCAAAACACACCCAGCTCCGCCAGCCCTTCCTCACAGGACTTAGTTTCCAGCTCCCTCACCATCCTTGCTACCCTTGTTTGGATGCTCTTCAGTTAGTCCATGTGCTTCTTTTGACATTTGCATGCTTTCATACAGAGAAGTGCTTTGCATTCAGGAAATGGCTAATACGTGCTGCCCCCCACCCCCAGAGGGGCACACAGGAGCCTGCGTCTTCTGCCCATGGCAGGTCTGTGTTTGTGGTAAAGGGGTCAAAAGGGAAAGCCCTTTGCCCTGCTTCCTTTCCGACATGGTCGGCTCCTGTCCTACCACACTCGCTGAGCGTCCAGCCTGTCTCTGTTGCCGGGATCCAAAGCTCACAGCAAGCAGGATGAGCGAATCATGAGCAAAGGCGGCACCGCTGAGCGGAGAGGGAAATAGCCAGGAGAAAGCAGGCAGCCAAGCTGAGGAGTCAAAGGAGGGGAGGAATCCCAGTGGGGAGGGCTGAGGCATCTGAGAAGAGATGATGTCTCTGGTGGCACGGAGAGAGGAGGAAACAGCAGCTGGGAGGCACTTGGAACAATTGCTGGCAAAAGGGGAAGAGAAGTGCGGGGAGGAGAGGCATCGGTTCGCATGTGGCGTCCCAGAGGTCACGTAGACACTTGGCCTGGGACCGCTTGAGGCTCCCTGGCATGTCGAAACTCCAGGCTCTAACATGCATCGTCATCCCCTCCCCTTTTCGTCCTGTTTTTACAGACATCGATGAATGTGAAAGAAACCCTCTGTTGTGCAGGGGCGGCGTTTGCATAAACACGGAAGGAAGTTACAAGTGTGATTGCCCTCCGGGTCATCAGCTGGCTGCGAACATCTCGGCTTGCATAGGTACGGTGGGGAGAGAAGCCCCGCGCCAGCATCCCCTGCGCTCTTGCTGTTCTCCATCCAGCTTCTCTGCAAGAGGACATTGCACAGCCCAGCGTCATTTTAACAGCCTTCAGTGAATTCCTTGATCTTCGAAACAGGGGAAATTCCAGAACTAGTCACTACAGTCTTTGAATTCATTCTCAAAGTCCCTCCCCACTTGATTGGCGTTTCTGTTGTGACGGGCTTTTCAAAGCAAAATGTTGCACAGACTAAACCAATCTAGAGTAATTTCTGTTGAACCATGTGCTATGCATCCTTTCACTGGAAATACATAATTTGGCTGATACACAGGTAAAATGATGTTGTCCAGCTCTTCTTTTCTATTTTTTTAAAAACTCTGTGAGTTAAATCCTTCATCAGCTGGAATTTGTCTTAAAAGTTCATGGCAAGACCTTCAAGTCTTGGCAGGAGCCAAGCTTTCTGCTGCCAGAGCTCAGCAGCTTGTCTTTGGGCAGCTTTTGTAACCTGGGACATGGAATGCAGGCTCTTTCCCTTTTAATTCCATTGTCTCTTTCCACTGCTTTTATTACACCTTGCTCTTGTCCTCAGTACCACCGTAGAAGTAACAACACACTCTGTGGCCATATTGCCAAACCAGGGCCCTTCAGAGTTTGGGGCTACAATTCCTGCCTATTGGCCATGCTAGAAAGGGCTGGTGGGACTTGAAGTCTGAGACTCTTGGAGGGTATTTGAATTGGCCGTATTTGTCCAGGGGTGGGAGAAGGCGATGGATGTGGGCAAGAACTTAAAACATGCTCTTTTTTCAAACAGATGTTAATGAATGTGACCTGAGCATGAACCTGTGTAGGAATGGACGTTGCATGAACCTCGTTGGGAAGTACCAGTGTGCCTGCAATCCTGGATATCAGTCTACACCTGACAGATTGTTCTGTGTTGGTAAGTTGCTTTCCTCACAGGTTAGGTGTAGTTAGTTGCTTTTTACATAATGCTTTCATTTCCTTCTCTTATACTAGTCATACAAATATGTATTTATTAGATTTCTGTCCCGCCTGGTTTCCTTTCAAGGAATTCAAGGCAACTTGCAAAATTCTCCTCTTCCTCTCAATCTTATCCTCACAACAACCCTGTGAGGTAGGTTGGGCTGAGAGTCCTTGATTGGCCCAAAGCCACCCAGTGAGCTCCATGGCTCCATGAACCCAGATCTCCTGAGTCCCAGTCCTGCACTCTTAACCAATACTGACACTCAGCAGTTCCCTAAGCAGTTCAGCCATTTGTACTAAACGGGCCTAGTTAAAAGATAGCAACCTTAAAAGCTATCAAAGATATGAAGGCTGAGGAACAGGAGATGCTTGAGATCTCTCCAGTGCAAGCCACATCTGATCTCCGTAAGTGCTTTTCAAAGACATGGAGAGTTTCTGAAAATGGCTGGAATCCTCTTTCTCCTGCTGTGGATGACAGTGGATTCAGAATCCAGTTAGCTCAAACGACACACTCTTCCATTCTGAAAAGCCTCTCCCTCCTCTGAGTGTGGCCCTAGAGTCCTTTGCATGCAGAACTGGCTCCGAGGGATAGGTGACCCTGCCACTTCCTATAGGGAAACTGGTAGGACAGCCAGTGGCAGGAAGGGTCTGATAGAGATGGCAGAGGCTTTTCCAGATGCTGCTTCCCTGGAGATCATGTTCCTGAGGGAAACGACACCCCTGACCATGCTCAAGAACATCATTTCCTATTATGGAGTTGTAGGAAACTATGGATCTGCAGTTTTCCCTGCCTCCTGATTCAGTTTGGGCAGAGAAAAGGACAGATTCCATGCTTACTGGCAGGAAAGTTATGCTCTTGAGCACTTGAGGCTAGAAATTGGCTAGAAAGTTCAAGGGCAGCCTGGTTTACCTGCTTGTTTGTTTTAACATTCTTCCAGGCGTTTGCAAGAAACACTTGAGATTTTATTTTTAGTATTCTGATGGAACACTCTCCCTTTGCCTCCCAATTTTTTTTTAATTCAAGCTGCAGGGAATTACTCCAGATGTGTGAATAGGAGCATACATGCCATATACATCCTCTTCCGCCGTTTTGTAACCCTCTCGTGGCAGGAATTTCTACCTGCCACCTCCTCATACTTTGTAAATCTGCTTCTCCATGCAGGTCACTATGTAAGCTTAGTGAGGGACAGTATATAAAAGTTTTAGATATAAATAAATACATAAACAAATAAGCAAACCAATCAGCAAACAGTTTAAACAGTGCCATCTGTTTTTCCTTCTCATTTGTTGTAGTCGCAAAGTCGTGCCTGACCCATCATGACCCCATGGGCCAGGCTCTCCTGCCCTCCACCATCCCTCAGAGTCGACCCAAGCTCGCACCCACTGCCCCAGTGACTCCCTCCAGCCACCTCATCCTCTGCCATCCCCTTCTCCTTTTGCCGTCAATCATTCCCAGCATCAGGGGCTTCTCCAATGAGTTGTTCATTCTCATTAGGTGGCCAAAGTATTTGAGTTTCATCTTCAGTATCTGGCCTTCTAAAGAGCAGTCATGGTTGATTTCCTTTAAGATTGACTGGTTAGATCTCTTTTCCTTCTCATACCTAAGCCAAAAACCTTGATATTCAATTATTTGATTTCCTTGTCTAAAGACATTTCCCCCAAAATATGGATAAGCATATATGATTATCCATGAAAACTTGGGGTTGGCTTAAAATGGCGTAAATGTAGTGTTCATTTGAAAACAGGCAGAGAATCTTGGAATATTCACAACTGCAGAGACGTTGTGAATACATTCTCATAATTTTGCTTTACATCCTCATTTCTTTCCAGATATTGATGAATGCAGCATAATGAATGGCGGCTGTGACACGTTTTGTACAAACTCGGAAGGCAGCTATGAATGTAGCTGTAGGACAGGATTTGCACTCATGCCGGACCACCGCACTTGTACCGGTAAAGTAAAATTTGTACTGATGGGCAATCACAAAGGCTTCCTGGTATCTTGGCTTTTTCTTTCCTTTTGGAGCAGGGGATCATTTTTACCCTTTTATAGCCAGTACTGAGTATGTTCACGCAGAAGTTAGTTTCACTAACGTTATGTCTGTTTAACCAGGAATGGGATTAGAGACCTGCTTATCATACTTGGCAGCCACATGGAGAAGGATTAACCCAATGTCAGCTGGTAATAGGGAAAAAATGCTGGGAAGGATCCGCCCTTATGCAACTTCGTGTTCAATGTCAGGCCTAAGTTTTTTGAGGTGGGGGGGGGGGACAAATTCTGACTAAGGATTCACCGGCATGCGATCTTGAGACCGGCTTTGGAAAACTTTGTAACATATTTCCAAATGATTCTGTCACACACTTTGGCATCTCATGAAGAAATGGAATCTAGGGTGAGAATCTGGAGAGTTATACAGGGAGGTGCTGGTTCAGGTCCCAGTGGCAAACCGATTCCACTGCGTGTCTTATTCTTCTGCCCTTCAGTTCATGTTGACCTGATTCCATAGCAGGGTACAATGAAAGAAAGCAAATTCTAAATGAAAATCGGTATGACTTTTCATGGGCACTTCTCCTGACCTGCACATTTTATGGTCTCTTTTTGGTATGCACACATTTTTGTATGATGTTATTCCTATTATATTTCATCTGAGTGCAAATTTTCCACTATTATGTACATTTTTGTGCATGCTTATATTTAATATACACATTTTTGTTTAAGTAGAGCACTGTCACAAATTTTGTTGTTGTTAGTCACGAAGTCGTGTCCCACCCATCACAGCCCCATGGACAACATTCCTCCAGGTGTCACAAATTTTAGAAAACTGCAAATTTCAGGCTGCAACTGTTTCAGTTATTTCTTTCAGGATATATCTGTTTAGTAAACTGGGATAAAAACTTGGATGGAACAAATTTATTTCCCTTCTTACTTATGAGGCTGTAATACTTCCAACCTTGCCTCTTTTATACCACAGGAAGAAATGCAATGCTAGACAGTAGCCAGGAATACAGGGACTGTTCATGTTTTTAGTTATTTTTACAGTGATATTCTGCCTTTCTTCCAACAAGCTCCAACTGGTGTTCGTGGCTTCCCCCTTGACCTCCATTTTATTCTCTCAACAGTCCTGTGAAGTAGGAGAGGGACTGGCCCAAGTCCACTTCATGAGCTTCATGGCTAACTGAGTGGGTTCTCTTAAGTTGAAGTCTGACACTGTGAAGACATGCTTATTAAAGAAGTGGAGTAGGTCAGAAACAAAACTTCAAGGCTCTGCCTTTAAAAAAAATCAAGTTCCTGATATGTCTCACAATTCATTTGATTTCATACTCCATCAGGGCATAGAAGTATTATTTTGTAGCTCAAAGATTCTGCGGAAAGGATGTGGGTTGGCATTAATACACATAACTGGTTCATACACCTAACTTGCTTATTCTCAAAGATCATCTTTAGAAATATGTGAGTATAATTTGCCAGCGATTTCGTGTCACCATCTTGTCAGTATCCTAATATTGCTACATTTTTTGCAAGTGATTGACTGCACACATGAGCATTAAGACAAGGCAGATGTGATCCACAAAGTGTCCTTGAATTTTAAGGGGCAACTTTTGTTTCAGTGGAGAAATGCTGGCTTAAACACAAAGGGCAACATTCAACACAAGCAGTATTTGCCTGTTTGGACTGGATCTATTGAAATGAATTATACTTAAGGGACTTTTTGTCCTTTTTAGTTTATTTGCTTCCATGAAGTTCTGACTTCAGTGGATTGCAGGCTGGATTCTTTGAGGTCACAGAGAAATGGCATTTTTTCAGCCTTCTCCCCTATACATTTGTGGGTTCCATTACCCTTACAGAAATGATGGTTCTAGGTGTGCCACATTTTAAGCTAGCAAATCACAATTATGTACTTTTTGGAAAAGAATTGGGTTTTGTGGTTTAGAAAGGAGTTATTTTGCAACACAGTTCAGCTGCATCTGCAGTTCCAAATTATTGATGAATGTGATTAATAGAATGAGCAGTACCCAGAAGAAGATGTCATATCTCCCAACCAAACCAACAGTACGGGTTTTGTTTGTTTGGTCTTAGCTATGCAGAAAATGAATAATGGACAGAAAACTTTTGGACTCATAAATGAGTTAAGTGTTCTGCAGCTGCATAATTACTAAAAGCCACAATAGACTCATCTCCTGTGAGTTACACCCTTCTTCTCCAAAGAGAAGAGGTTTTCAGCTTAGCTCTTTGTTTTGCAAACATGTCCTTTGAGTAACCAAGGAAAGTTTTGGATTTAGGCTACTAAGTGATAGTCTTGACAAGGAAAAGTCATGAGGATGTGTAAAAGAAACTAAAAAAACTCTTAGCTTTTTAAAATTATAGTAAATCTAGATAGCTTAATAGCTGCAAAATTATGGAATTTCCAGTGTTTTGAGTCAGGCAAGACACATTGTGAAACATGGGTTTGTAGAAATATTTATATGCTAAATGTTGCAAAATTATTTCCAGGGAGGAGAGCAGATACAAATTAGTCTAAGGGTACAATCCAGTGCATTTATAAGCAGCATTCTCCATGCTAGCTGGGAAATGCCGGGTTTTCTAGGACTTCTTTTCGTCTAAACATTTCTTTTATATATTTATTTACAGCATTTATATACTGCTTCATATCTAAACAGTTTCCAGAGTGGTGAACAAGGACAGATAAAAGGAATAAAACACAATATTGAACATAACAGAATGTCCAAAAAACATGATTGGTTAGCTGAGCTAATCTTGTTGGAATAAAGTTATTTGCAGCAAGCTTCAGAAACAAACCAAAGTTGGCATCTGTCTAACATCTACCCCAAGATGTTACTATCTGTCTATAGGTAGAGTAGCAGAAATGATGTGTGCTTTGTAGTCTTCTTAGTGAGACCAGTTGCAAATGAAGAAAGGACTTTTCCTGTGACTTTAATAGAGAAGATGCCCATGACCTGTAGAAATAACCATTGCTTAACCTGCAACCAGAAAAAAAAACTGTTGTGGGAGTTAAAGGACTTTGATCTTGTATCTGTTGCTTTCACTTATAGATATCGACGAGTGTGAAGAGAATCCCAACATCTGTGATGGAGGCCAGTGTACTAACATACCTGGTGAATACAGGTGTCTTTGTTATGATGGGTTTATGACATCTGAGGATATGAAGACTTGTTTAGGCAAGTGAAAATATCTTTTATTCTAATCTTGTTGCTGGCCTGTCTGTCTTACAAATATAACTGTAGCAAAAGAAACGGCGAATGGTTTAACATGTGGGAGCAAAGCGCAACTCTTTATAATTATGTGGATAAAATACATGTTAGTAATTGGACGGCATACAAATTTTATAAATAAATAAAAGGCCAGGATGCTGTTTGTAGTACTGGGACTTGCACCAAGGGTAGTAAATTTAGAAACAACTTTAAAATGATAAAAGGACAAGTTTAAAATATCTTTGTTGGCACTCTGATAAGCTAATTGTGATGCAGGGACATGCAGCATGTGGATCGACTGTTCATGTCCAGAGTGATAATTCTTTTGTAAGTTTCTAGAGAGCTTTTCCTAGGCTTACAAAATAATGTAAGATGGAGCTCACAATCTTTTGCTGAAGTGCCAAGAGATGGATTATAAAGAGAACGAGAATGCCAAGGGAAATATTTCAAACCTTTATTCATTTAAAGCGCTTTTACCCTGTCTTGTATCTGAGAACTGATCTCTAGACAGCTTACAAAATAACAGGACCATAACAGCACTGTTGTTGTCGTCGTTAGTTGTGAAGTCGCGTCCGATCCATCGCAACCCCATGGACAACATTTCTCCAGGCCTTCCTGTCCATAACGGCACTAGATAAAACAAAATTCCTCTCATAAAAATATGCCATAGTAAAAGAAGTCTTTGTCATACATTAAAAACCAATCAAGCATTAAAATATTGGGTCAATAAAAAGTTTTTGGCCCGGCATGGAAATGAATAAACTGCCGGTACCTTGCACTCCTGGAAAGCAGGTTCCACAGCCGAGGTGCTTCCACTGAGAAGACTCTTCCCTGGGTAGCCACTGTTTTAACCTCTTCCAGAGGGGGCTCCTGGAGAAGGGCCTCGGAGGAAGATCTCAAAGCCCTTATGGCTAATGTAAAGCTCCAATATACCCTAAAAAGAGAAGGAAAGAGGTTCAAGGGGAACACAATCTGCAGATGAATCTGCTTGAATATATAATGCAGAACGTAGCTGCTAGGTTGTGAATGTATTTTTAGGCAAGAAAATAGAGTATAGTAAGAAAACATAAAGCATAATGATTCAGATTTGGGGCTCATGAGAATGGAAATAGTAGCGCCACTTTTGTCAAGGTGGATCTCTCCAAAGAGCCTATTTCAGTTCCTATCAACCCTGCAGAGCAATGTTTTAAAAACCTTCTTTCGGGCGTACTCTTTTCAAGGAGGTGAGAATAATAGAAACCCAAGCCTGACAAGTTCTGACTGGTCAGGTTTCAGAGAAAGAACTTGGCATCACTAGTTCCGCTTTTTGAAATGGTAGGAAAATTAGGGTCCAGCCTTCCCCCAGTAGTACACGATCTGTTTTGAAACTGTCCTCCTGCTGCCAAAATTTCCTTGCTGCTTCCTTTTTTGTAATATTTTGCATCAATGCTTGTATCTAGAGTGAAATGTTCATAGCCATTTCTTAAAGATTTTACTCATGTAAATCCTTTCCTGCAGATGTTAATGAATGTGAACTAAATCCAAATATCTGTCTGAGTGGAAGCTGTGAGAATACAAAAGGATCTTTTATCTGCCACTGTGATCTGGGTTACTCTGGCAAGAAAGGAAGAACTGGTTGCACAGGTATTTTTATATGCGTTTTATACATGCATGATAACTGCTTGCTAATTATTGAAGGAAAATACAGTACACAGTTTTCCAAACTCCTAGGCACATTGTTTCTGCATGACCATGAGATGCCTTACAAAAGACAAAGTTTAGGGGTTTCAATAGCTGCGATTTAGCTGCTCAAATACTCAGCAAACTTGCCAATTTCTGTACCCATGGATAGTTAATTTTACTTCTGAAAGGTGATTCCAAAGGTTCTAATTATTCTCCTGCCTCTTACAATAATCCAAAGGAAGTTTTAAAAAATACTTGACTTCATATAGGAAGCCATCATACCTTCCTAACTCTTAAGAATTAGTGGGTTGCAAGTCAAAAATGGATTCCTGTCTGATTTATCTTTCTTTCCTTTCTATCATTTTTGTTCAGATATGACAAAAATTACCATGTCTTAGTTGTGTTTAAAGCTGGGTCTTAATTCTAAAAAGTGAAGATTACTCATTTTAAGTATTTGGCTGACAGAGTATATTTGCTCTCATCCAGCACCCAGTTAGCATCAGTTGTGCTTGGTTGAGCTTTGTATTGAAGCTTTCTCAAGCTGCAGTTTTCTAAAAGCAGGGAATTCTCTTGTTTCTATCTACATATCCTGTATGAACACCCAAATATACTGATCCCACTGTCATTAACATGAGCTGAAATTATTTTGGACCGGCAGGGCTATTGTCTTGAAACCTTTGGTTTCAAACTGGTAGGTGATTGATCAAGGTCCCTAAATCCTGACCCCATTTTGGAATTCTGGATTTCGTAGAACTTAAGTTGAGCCAGGCTCAGTGTCTGTACAGGCACAGAAATGTCTCCTGTATATGGATGGATGTAATATGAGAACCGCGATTGGCACAGCTCCAAGTCGTGAGCTACTGGACCAACTAACACAGCATGTAATTCACGGCATCGTGACAAGACCACCAAGGACCCTTCAACAAGGCGATTTTGGACTCAGCAACTCTACGCTCTGTGCAAAAAGCAGGCTCTTTCCAAATGTTTTGGCAAATAGGTTGGGTCTGAATTTTTTTCTTATGCTTTCAAAGTGCCAGCAGTACAGATCCTTAATTTAACCAAATGATATCAAGATATGTTAGCAAACCAAAGCATACATGATTTCCAAACCATTTGCCAGCCGAAATGACCGAAGTTCAAACCTGCAAACTCAAAGGCCACTTAATAACACAGGATCTTCATCTGTGAGCCAAGGTATTTCACGCCGTAGCTATTGCCCAAATTATAAACACAAGCATGTGGGTAGTTTAAGGGTTTTTTTTGTTTTTTTTTAAATCTAGACTCAGAATAAACACGATTCTTGTAGGCTCAAGTGAGACAAATGCATAGACTAGTAAGTCACTTTTTCTAGAAAACAGTGTTGTAAAGCAAACATCAGAAATATTTGAAAATAATTCTGGGTAAGAATAGTGTGGAAACATCAGGTTTCACTGTTCATTAGTAATACTGCCTTCCTCCATGTATTCTTAGGAATGGAGGTGGGTCGAAGCATCCCTTTGTTTTTCTTCTGGAAGTCCCCTTGCAGCGTCCAGAAGCTCTTGGTACCAGTGGCTAAGCCTCAGGCGAGGCACTGGAACCTTTTACCGTGGGAAAGACGGCACAAAAGCCAAGGAACTGCTAAGCAAGTGGGAATCCTGGAGGCGCCCAGGCCTGCATGCCTGAGATTCTGTAGCCTCAACCTACACATTCATAAGATGCTCATAGTCTTGTCGTTCTGGGAGTATACAATTCCAGAGCACAACTGTGCAGCTGTACTTGGGCAGCCACCTACGTGAGGTGGGTAGATGGCTACCCACACAGAAAAACTAACCAGCCAAGAAAAATAACAAAAACTAAGCCTTCCTCTTAGTGCGTTCACTTTCTGTGCATAGAAGGCTTTTGACTTGGGGGGCCACAGTCTCCTATAGCCCCCGCTTGCTTCTTCAGCAGGACAGCCCAGGCGTGAAATTCCGGCTCCCCAGCATTTAGGGACAGTTCTAAAATTGGTGTCAGCTTGTGTTGAGCTGTGTTGCAAGTGTGTCGATCGGCTGTGGAGCGTGGGGGCCTGGCCCTCTAAACGGGCTGGGAGCCCTTCTGCCGAAGGGGCGTGAGGTTCAAAGACATGAAGCTTCCCTGGAGCATGGAACTGCCCTTTCCTTCGGAGGAATTGGTCATCTGTGCATGCAGCGCTAGGGAATGGGGGTGGCATTGCCGTGTTGCACTTGGTGCTTCTGCCCCGATGTAGCCGGAGACGGAGGCGAGAGCAGGAAGGCGCCTGGACACTGGCAGGAGAGTCCGGGAGCACAAGAGAGGGGCAGCGAGGGATGCTGTGGCTGGCTGTAAAGAAGGGGCGAGCTTTCAGCAGGACCCAAAGGATGGGCTGTTCTGACGATTTTGGTGGTGGGAAGGGGCTATTTCAGTATGTCTTCTGGATATCCCAAGCAGCAGATGGGCCAGTTTTCCCTCGGCAAAAGCTTCCTGTTTCTCATGTAGCTGTGTAGCGCATTCAGCACCCTAGCAGTCCGTGTGTGGTTTATGTTCCCTTGAGCAGTCACCTAAAAGTTAGTGCAACATTTGCAGCTGCCCTTGGAAAGGGAACAGCCGAGGGAGGGATCCATGCTTTCATCCCAGTTGACCAAATTCCTTCGTTAAAATGTCATAACACAATGTGTCTGCAGCCGATTTCGTGGTTCTGACGGAGAGCCAAGAGCTCTGTTTCCTATTCCCAGGCAGGAGACCCCAGCAGAAGTGTTTAGTGACAGTATTAAAAATGGTTTCTGTTTGTGTGGACCCACTCAACAATAGGGGGTGGATTTTATTCTTCTTGTAGGCCAGACCAAAGCCCCCACACATTTTTAAGAATGGCAAAAATGTGTATACAAAAGTGGCCTCATTGTTTTAGGTGAACTACATCATGGTCCTCTGAGCGCTATTATAGTTGCATCTACATATTTCATCACCCCTGTCATTACTGATTGTTTCCATTTTAACAAGTAAACATGTTTTCCCCCTCACCCCAATCATTTAACTATGTTTGCAGTCCACCCACTGACATGCAATCTTATTCCACACAGATGTTAATATTTTTTCACTCCAGCTCTTAGTAAGGATGTGGACATAGTTTAATGAAATATTTGGTTTTGTACAAAGATGTATAACATTATATGTGACAGACATTTGGCTGGATTCATGCTGTCATTTTTAATTTACTGAAAAAGAAAGGTCAGTTAAGTTATGTTTATATATTGTGTGAATGAGCAACTCAGAGAGAGAGAAACTGGGAGTAGGGAGCGGAGAAGCCATTCCCCAATTGTAGCTTGCACGTCATCAAAGCCTCTAATGTTTTATATTCATTATATAGGATGCTCGGTGAATTTTCCCCACCCTCTGTTGGCTAATGGCAAAACCAGGGCCCTTTGCATTTCTCGACTGCTTCCAGAATTCACATTTAGATTTGGGCCTCTCGTGGAATAAGTTGCCAGCAAACTGTCAAGTTTGGCTCTTTTAATATTCCCCTAGGAACGAAGGAAGCTTCCCAATGCCAGCCTGCTTCAACTGGCCATGGCTCTCCAGGTTCTCCTGCACAACCTCTTCGCAATATCCACCCCCTGTTGCCTTTAGCCAGAAACGCTGCAGTTTAGGAAGATTGGATGCTGCCTCACACTGGCCTGGTTTGCACAATGGCAGGCATGGAAAGAAGCCATGGAGTCTTGCTTCTGCATTGCACATGCGCATGATTAGTTCCACTGGCCTTGTAGAGTGAGCATGACAATGGTGGCTTCTTGCCGGTGGAGTAACCTGTGGATTCCCCTGGAGCATGACCAGAGTGAGCCGCAGGGAAAATGGCACCATGGCTTATTTTTCCCTGCCATGATTATGCAAACTGGGCCTGCTGAGTCAGACCAAAGACTTATCTGGGGGGGGGTGAGGGCCACACGCATGTTGTTTAGCTCTCTCAGAAGCCATCTTTGCCAGGCTTTGCACAGCAGGGTAAATCACAGCACACACCTTCCACAGCTGGATGAGGCAAATCAGCCGCTGGTTTGTGCTTCAGCTCACCCTGGTGGAAATAAATAGTGATTGTGCGAGGCAGGGGATGATCATGAGTGGAGGTAAGCGTGTAGATACACAGAGCCTTTTCTGCATGGGGGGGGGGGGCGGAGGGAGTGCACATTTTCCCACGTGAAAAGGAAATACTCCTCCCTCTCCTAAATCTGGGTTCTCCACTCCAGCTTGCAGCAGAGTTTCTTGGGCGTTCAAATCACTCTTTTGGGTGCTACCGCAGGACTCGGGATAGACTCTTGCGGCCATTGCTTGAGGTGGCTCCGTGTCCACCATGCACGATACAGACTGGCCTGGAAAATACAGCGGAGCCCTCACGTCGTGGTAATGGGAACGGCACCCAGAGATAAGACGACTTGCACTGCAGTAGGAAGAAGCACTGAGGATGCAGGGACAGCCTTGGGCCAGGATGTTTGTTTTTATTGGCTGCCACAGCTTACACTCAAAGGAAAACTTTGCAAGGAAACAAGATTAGGGAAGGGGTGGGAAGAGAGAGAAAATGTTTATACAGTCTTCACACTGTACTCTCTTGCTTTTCGTAAGGTCAATGAACATTTTGCTCTTCTCTTTGGAGCCAGTTTTGGGTATCTTTAATCATGCTGAGTAGCGGCCCACTTCCCAGTGGGGTGACAGGAATCCAAGAGACTTGATAGGGTAACAAAATATGGTCGTCTTGTATTATTAAGGCATTGAAATACACTTTTTTCTAGAGACCAGATCAACAGTTTGAAAAACAGTTAGCTGCCTCCTTCAGTTTGAATGAAACTGGAACTGCACAGAATCCTTTTCTCACAGAACTGTTAGGGCAAAAAGATGGTTTCTGAGGGTTGCGAAATACCCTTCCAAAACATACTGCTTCTTCAGAGACTTTAAAAAAGAAAAAAATCAGTTTTTCATCCCTGTCCCTATATGGATCTCTTGTATTTTTAAATAATTATACCATTTCCTTTTTTAAAAAAAAGAATAAATTCAAGGTAGCTTGCAAAGTAAAATATTGGGCGATATTTAAAAGCATACATAGCAGTCAACAATTCCTGATACGACATTGATAAAAACAGTATTAACACCATATGCAAAGAGGAGGTGTGCAAAAAGAACTGCAAAAAACAAGATTCAGACGGGGAGAAGACTATGTAAGCCAAAGGGATACTCAGCCAAAAGCCTTCTTAGCTAGCTATGCGTCAACCAAGCAAGAGCATTGTGGTGCTTGGCACAGCATTACACAAAGGAGAGCCTCTGGCGAAACAGCATGGCTAGTGTGCAGAACTACTTTTGGATGTGGGAGCAGAAGGACCCCCCTCCACACACACACAGCCCTGCTCAGACGTTATGAAGTTAGCTAGCCCCACCGGTGTCTGCAACCATACCTACCTGGCCCTTTGCCGGTAATAGAAGTCTCACGCACTGTGGACTCAAGTCCATGCAAGCAAAAGTTGGGTCTTGCCTAACTCTAACCCATTCCATGCCTCGAGGAAAGGTGAAAGCAGTTCGTTAGTACATAGCTGAAATACACAGTGCCAAGCCGAGCTGATGGTGACACTCGCCGTGGAGTCATTCCGGCCCCTGCAAATGTAATTCTTGGATGGTCGTATCCTGTGCTCACAGGTTTGTGGATAGTGATCTGACAGTAAAGTAATCAAGGAAAGAGGTATTTGTCCTGGGAGATTTGAGAAAGACTGACTTAGGAATGTGTTATGCCTTTCTTTCCCCTGCAGATGTCAATGAGTGTGAAATTGGAGCCCATAATTGTGACCGAAATGCTATATGTACCAACACTGCTGGAAGTTTCAAATGCAGTTGCAGTCCTGGTTGGCTTGGAGATGGTATCAAATGTACAGGTGAGTTTGACACTAATTTATATTTTTTAACCTTGGAAATATATCTGCATCTGCCCTGAAAGTAATAGTTTTGGCATTTTAGCTTATAAGCCATTATGCATCCATTTTCAGTGGCAGGAAAGATGTGATTTTTAATCTAGAATTGACTTTATAGTTACCAGATCCGGCCCTATATACCAGTGAACATTCATAGACTTTAGCGGCCTCTTGTAGGTGTTTATCTAACTGCACCTTGAAAACGTGCTGGGAAGGAAATGGTGCTGCTTCCTTAAACTGCTTGTACTGTTGTTCAGATGATTTTAAAATAAGCATTTTTCTGCAAATATCAACCTAAAATTACTTCCTTTTCCTCTCCTGAAAGTGAAAACAATTCCTTATTATAGAGTCCTTTATAAGAATGCGCAAAGCATTTGGATGTACCAAAGTATGCATTTTACCTAAAATCATCTTTCTTCAGCTTCTTCTTAAATTGTTGGCATTTAGATTCTCCATACGCCAATTCTCATGGTTTGGCTCTGGCACAATTGGTTTTGTCATGAGCTGGATGGGATAACAATTGCTAATCCCTGTCCTGAATACTTACCTGAAATTAGTTAGCTCCCATTCTCCCATGAGATAGCAATGGTCAGGATCCCGTTTAGCCAGAGAATGCTGTTAAGTCCAACTTCCCAAGGGGATGTTGGACCAAGCACATCTCAGAGAAGCCGCCCTTCCTGTCCTCCTGGTCCCTCAGAGAAGCCGCCCTTCCTGTCCTCCTTGTCCCTCAGAGAAGCCATCCTTCCTTGGCATCATCACATGAAGCTGATTGATGGGAGAATCAGGACAGATGAAAGGAAGGACCCTGGGGGTTCTGTGCTACTGTCAATGTCAGAGGCAGCATACTGATGTATATTAGTTGCTGGGGAGCATGGGCAGGAGGGTGCTGTGGCACCCCTTTGTGGCTTGTGGGTTTTCTGTGGGCAGCTTGTTGGCCACCGTGTGAATAGGATCCTGGACTGGAAGGTCCTCTGGGCTGATCCAGCAGGCCTGATCTTCTGTTCTTTGGTGCACATTTGAAATAGAGTGGATTTGCAAAACCATTTTTATATAATATCAGCAGCCCCCTGAGCTGAAATGCAGAGTCTTGAATTATCTTCAAATCTCTGTAGTTTATGCTTTGGCAAAGGCCTCATCCAAGTGACTGCAGCCTCTGGACCTCCAGAGGATGTTGGATTCCATCTGCCATCATCCCTGCTGGCATCCGTCAGTGATGATAGGAGCTGTAGTCCAATATTTCTGCATATATTTTAAAACATTTAATCCCCATCTTATCTAAGGATTTCTAGGCAGCTTAAAGCACTAACTTAAAATTAAAAACATCTGTCTGATTTACTACATGAGGCGAAAACAAGAAAACAGCAACTGCAAAGAGAATGGTGCAAAAGCAGTCAACATATTTGTGATATTTAGAAAAATAGAGACTGGATAGAGCAACGAGTTGAAAGAATGCACTAAATGCCTTCCTGAAAATGAAGGTCTCCACCAGTTTTTAGAAGGCCTCCCATGGAAAAGAGAGATGAAGTTCAGCAGGAAGGCAGCTCCACACAGTCAAGGGGTTCCCCAGCCTTTCTGAGTCCTGGATCTAATGATCCCTCTAATCCTCTCTCTGCCTTTCTGTTTCTCTCAGCCTCATTACTGAATCATCTATTTAATAAATGTCATACTGCATGTTTAGATGTATTTATTTAGGGGGACAATTTGTTGCCTAAGTGATCTGCCTTTTTTCCGATTGCACCCACTGCAAGGTTTTTCTTTACTTGTTGAGTCTGAATAGACAGGAAGTGTGCAATGATAAATTGTGATGTGTTGACTGATACTTTTTGCACTCTTCAGATCTCGATGAATGCTCCAATGGGACACACATGTGCAGCCCACATGCCGATTGCAAGAATACCATGGGATCATACCGTTGTTTATGTAAAGAAGGGTACACGGGAGATGGGTTCACATGTACAGGTGAGTGTTCTCTTGCAGAGAAACCCGAATGTCTGAATGCAGTGCTGTCATGCCTCTGCCTTAACATCTGGCAGAGTGAGGCAGCTGTGTTGGGTGGCCAGATACTTGTGCACGTGGAGTAGGGTTCACTTTTGGGCTAAGCTAGATCGTTGCACTGAGAAACAGTAAAGGATGCTCTTCCGTCACCCGAGTTGAAGTGAGGTGTAACTGCTAGTCCAGTCAGCTTCTGTATGTGGAAAGCAGGGTATGAAAAAAAGAAAATAGTCTTTCTTAAAAGATGTGATGTGACACGTACAGGCACTGCCTGTATAATAATGCACTGTTGTAGCTAGGAATGAGAACTGTGAGGCTCAGCTCATAGGAAACTGCTTCACAGTAAGTCAAATAATGACCTCATTTGCATATAACAACTGTCCGTACTTGTTGGATGGTTGAATTGTGAGTTGTCAGAAACTCCGTAAACTCAGAACAATTTATTAACTATGTGTTGCTACCTATGAACAATCCATGTAGAGGATTCATGGTTTATTTTGGGATTCTGAATTTTGAGTTGTTTAAACCATGGGTTGAAGTTATGTGTGTGTCCAGAACTGTGGCTTATTCATGGATTGTTTACTAGGCTACAGAGGTGACAGGTAACAGCAGTAAAAATGAAATCCCCCAATCAACTGCTCTGTGTGCCAGTACTGCAGGGAGGGATAGGTGAAGAAACCCAGATTCAAACAACCCAAGAATTGGCCAAACTCCTGGATGATCTACTAGTTGGTTTTCTATTGCGACTGGTTTGCAAGATCATTTGGCAGCCAAATCATGGGTCAGCTCTGGGTAACCAGTGGGTTAATTATGCAGTACTATTTGGTTTGATTTACAACTGTATGCATTGCTATTTTTCATAGGATTTTAGAGTTAGATTTTGTAATAAATTGAAAAAAGAATATAATTGTAATAGACCATATTTTCTATCATCATCATCTACCACCCAGTAGCCAAAGCTGTCTGGGCAGTTCAAAGCAATTTTTCTATTTTTCTTGACTTATTTTAATTATTAGAATTTTGGAATATATTTTAATTAAAATTCTAGTTGATTTGGAGATGAGTCTAAAAGCAGAATTCAAACATTTTCTCATCTTCCATGTTGCATTCTGGTACTTTATTAGAAGACAGGATACTATATTAGAAGATCATTTTATTTTGCAAGGTAGAAAAAAGTAGAATTTTAGACCTTTGGTAGTAGTTGCTTCTTGGCATAAAAAAGAATGAGAGCATTGGCGTTAATGTGGTGTTTTTCTTTGCAGATCTTGATGAATGCTCTGAAAATCTGAACCTCTGCGGAAACGGTCAATGCTTAAATGCCCCAGGAGGTTATCGCTGTGAATGTGATATGGGATTTTTGCCAAGCTCGGATGGGAAAGCATGTGAAGGTAATCCAGTGAAATCTATATAATGAAGACTCAGCATAATTTGGCAATACAGTGGGGTTAAGTTGCCTTAACCGTGTTTTGGTCTAAGTGTTTTTTCCCCCATTTTGGGGTGGGGGGGGGTATCAGGAATGACTTCTAAAGATAGTGAGATAAAATCACAAAAGGCTTAAGCAGAAATTGATTACAAAGGTTGCACTTTCTGTCACACGCACATAGAAATGGATTGTGCTCAGTCGTGACCAAGAACCTGAACCTGGCCAGGGATTATGTATATAAAGAGTTGAGGTCTTTGGCAAAAGCTAGTTTAGGACTGCAGCCAACAATGGTCAGAGTTCCCCTCCAACAGCATCATTTCTTCTGCCCAGAAAATTTACTTTCTCATTCATATCACAGGAAAACTGAAAGCAGTGCCCTGGGAACACAGCCCATCCTAGGGGGAAAGTTATCTGAGAGGGGAGGGACAGTCTCCACAGCAACCGGATTCCTGGAGCCTCGCTTCAGTTGCTGATGCTGTGAGCCCACCCTTCCCTCTTTGCCAGAGTCTCCCAAACACCATGTAGCCCTTTGTGTTGCGCATCTGTGCCGGCACTTCCCAGCCAGCAAGGCTGTGCAACTCTAAGGGCCCTCTGGCAAGTTGAACGATAGCCTCCGCTCATGTGAAGAGTGCAAGGATGTTAAGCCCAGACTGGGAACTTCTTCCCAGTCCTTCCCTTTCATTCATGCTGCACGCACCGCCCTTTGGGTGTGACCTGCTAGTGAAGAGCCAGCCTACCTGGGTGGCTCCCGATGCCTCGTCTTGGGGTCAGGGACCGGACAAGGCGACGGCTCTCCTTCCTCTCCTGGGACCCCTCCCATCTCGTCCAGAATGTGTCTGCTCTCACTGTTGGCCTGGGAAACCACGGCCAATGACCTTGACGGGGCAACAAACGCTCCTGCCCTACTTTGGTCACCCTCCTCTCCCCTCCCCAATTCCATGGGGCCCTCCCCTTCAGAATCCGAGAACACCGGCCCTTGGAAAGTTGGCAAAGAGTGAGTCCTCGTTCCGCTCCGTACAGCTGACGAAGTTGCAGGTGTTGCTTTCATCTCATTTTGTGTTTCACTTTTTGAATACCCGATGCTGCAAAGTGGGATCCTTGTCCATATCAAAATGCTCATGGCGTGTTCTACCTCTTCCTCACTCTCCCTCTTATTAAAGATATTGATGAGTGCACCCTTGCCAACATTTGTGTCTTCGGGACGTGCCACAACCTCCCGGGCTTGTTCCGATGCCAGTGTGAGACAGGCTACGAATTGGACAGAAGCGGCGGTAACTGCACAGGTAAATTAGGCGTTGCTCTTGCCAGCTTCTTGGCTCTGACTTGTGCATGTGGTATTAAGCTTAGACCCCTGAACTTGTCACTCATTCACGCTAGTTTCTTTGAACCCTCCAGTGATGGGAGTTAGATCTGACTTCTCAGATAGGATGCCCACATTAGAGAATCCATTGTCCCTTCTGTTGGATCGAATGTGGAGGTGGCAATGCTTCCATTTTTTATGAGTTTTACAACACTGGGACACTTGCCATGTTGCTGTAGTATGGATATATGAAAAACATTTTACACTGACCTAAAAGTAATAATATGAGCATGCATTAAATATGTTTCTGGTGTCGCATAAGTTTATGGAATAAGGAATAAGAACAGCTCATGGAAGTTGCATTAAATCTGCAGTAGCCCTTAAGATCTCTTTTTGGCTGACTTTGGCCTTTCAAATGTTAGCCTGTTGGCCAGGACCCAAGATGTTTTTGTTGATCTGTGCACATGACTAAATGTACACATGTTTTCACCCCACTTAGCTTTCTAGGCCACACTGGAGGCCCCTTGAAGGTTGGAAGCAGCTTGTCAACCTGCCATGAAGGGCAGATGTCAAAAGAGAGATCAGAGGGGCCACTGTCGGATGACAGTTCCAGGCACAGCCCCGTCTGATTTCGGAGTTCACCATTTTCTAATGTTTGGTTCATGTTTTTAAGACAAGCAGAAGATATAAAAATACTTAATTCATACCCTGCGCACACTCACTAGATAAACCAGCATGGAAGGGAAGAGCAGATGTTGGAGACAAGAAGATTAATTGAACAGTACAGTCTGGATCACAGGATAGGATGTGAGCACTGAACAGGAGGCTGGTAGTGCTTAAGCATTTAGTGGAATTATTCTTTATAGTGTAGTAGAAAAGACCAGCCAGTGTAATTGGCATGTCCAGATATCATGTGTGGTAGCTGGTCCTGCAATTCGCTTGCAGACTTCGAGTTGCTTGCTTACTTCCATGTTTTTGTTGACTTTTTCCCAACCAGACATCAACGAGTGTGCAGACCCAACGACCTGCATCAGTGGCACTTGCCTCAATATCCCAGGCAGTTATACCTGTGAGTGCCCCCCCGATTTCGAGCTGAACCCCACACGTGTTGGATGTGTTGGTAAGTATCTATTCTTTAATCATGTGGCTTTGGCCTTCTCAATGCAATGGATTGATTCTTTCTGCTTGTTTGAGTCTGGAAGATTAAGAGGTACAACCCATTAATAAAATTAAAGTAATATAATCTATGTGTTGCATAGAATAGATTCTTTTGAGGCTCAGGTTCTGAACCTTCTCAGTTGCTAGGACATAAATATAGATTTCCTCATTGGCACAGGAGGGAAAAGCTCTGCATAATGGAGGAGCAACAGAAAAATGCCACTTTGCATGAACAGGAATGTTCAAAGCAGTGTCAACAGCAGTGGCTTCCATGGGGAACTGTTCTTTTATGTGGAAATGTTAAGGCTCTCCAGGACTTAAAACAAGCTGGTTCTTTTGCTCTTTAGATACCCGCTCTGGCTACTGTTACTTGGACATTAAGCCTCGAGGAGATAATGGAGATACTGCCTGCAGCAATGAAATCGGGGTTGGTGTTTCCAAGGCCTCTTGCTGTTGCTCCCTCGGTAAAGCTTGGGGGATCCCCTGTGAGCAGTGCCCGGCGGTGAACTCAAGTAAGTACGACGGAGCACCATGAGATTGTGGCTGCTTCGTGTCTTGCTCTGTTGGCTCTCTCTGAGAGAGTAGTGTGCTAATAGGATCATCCACAGGGTACAGTTATGTGCTCAGTTGTTCAAGGGTTTTGTTCGTTCTGTTGGGAAAATCCACAGGATTTGAAATAACAGCAGGCAAAGGTAGCTAAATGTTGTCCTTCTTTCTTCATTTAATTCTAGTTGTTCCACTCAATAGCTGAGGCTTTGTGGGTAGTTTGCAAAAAAATACTGCAAGGCTATCTTTTTCATTTTCATTTTTAAAAAAACCCACTAGATGTACCCTTCTGTAAATGAAGCTTGAAAGGAACCCAGTACCATTTATAGTGTACTGGATTGGGGCTACACATAGGCCACTGCTTGCTGGGTGAGAAACTGCTGGTTAATTTCATCCTAGGAACTTCCAACGGGAGGGATCTCAGGTTGGAAGAAGGTTGCAGAAAGAATGCAAGTAGGACAATGTTTGCCATAAAGCTTTTAACTGGTACAGATCCATTAAATATGTTTCCCTTTTCAGCTGACTACAAGCTGCTCTGTCCTGGAGGAGAGGGATTCCGGCCCAATCCTATTACAGTTATTTTGGAGGGTAATGTCTGTCTGTTTTTTCTCTACCAGTCATCGGGTGCTTCCAGATGGAGAGCTCCTAATATTACTAATTGAAAGGCCATTTTGGCCCTATTCTGTCTTTTCCTCGTTAACGGATTTTCTGTTGAAAGAGAAAAGGCGGAAGAAGCGGTGGAGGAGGCGCAGGAAGCCTGCGATGTGAAGACAGCGTGTCTAGACCACTCATCAAATTCTGTAGGGCGATTGCATGATAAAAGCGTCATCCGAAAGCACATAGAACCATATAATAAATATTTTTTGGCAAGCTGACTCTGCAGGCCTCTTTAACAAGATACTGTTTGGCTTGTGTTTCTGCATAGATATTGATGAGTGTCAGGAGCTGCCTGGGCTTTGCCAAGGAGGACAGTGTATCAATTCATTCGGAAGCTTCCAGTGTCAGTGTCCATCTGGCTACTACCTGAATGAGGAGACTCGAGTGTGTGATGGTAAGTGAGCTCCAGGTTCGCTCAGCCCTGGAAATCGTCGCTTTCCATTCCATACAGGAAACAACGCCATCCATTGAAAAAGTGCCTAGCATCTCCCCAGAATGCAGCATGGTGGGCAGGATCGGTACAGAAAAGGTTCCTTAAAGCCGCCTTGATCTGAGATCAAGTCGGACTCTGCAAGGCTCAGCACAGAACCAGACTAAACCAGCAGTGCGGGTTTTTTGGCCACGGAGTAGTCGTTATTCTTGCTAACTTCGTCTTGGAGCGCCCCTGTGGACTTGGTCTATCGAATTAATTTATTGATTTATTGCGTTATTTGTACTGCGCCACAGCCAGATCTCTCTGGGTGGTTTACATAGTCCACCAAAAGATAAGATAAAAGTACAAAATAGCATAAAATGAAAAGTTTTAAATGGCTAAAACAAATGATAAAAACAGAGAATAACAAGGGCCCAAAAGAGGGGAAGAGAAAGCATGGCACTGCAATGACTTGGAGCGAACCCCCTGGAGCCTCCAGGTGGCTGAGTAAGTCGTTAAAAGCTGCAGAAAAAGGACCATCTTAGCCTGGCTCAGAAAAGGTGGCCCATTCGGCACCAGCCGGGCTGCAGTGCGGAGGTTCTTCTGTTTTACTCCCACTCTTTCTGTGCAGCACCTCTAAGTGACTTCAGAAAACACATTTTCAGCTATTCAGGCAGCTTTAACTCAGACATGGTCTTGAATAAAATAAAAAAATATTGACACTTTATCCAAGACTAACCAAAGTGGATTCCTATTATCCATGCCAAGACTCAGCCCAATAATAAAAAGTGTCACTCGAGCATGTGCAGACGTCTTTCCATTATCACTGAATGCACAGATGGGATTAAATGTTCCAAATAAATAAACGGCAGCGCTTTCCCGGAACGCTTTGGCCAGGCCACGCCTCTGCCTGAGTATTAACCCCTGACTTGGATTTTCCTCCCAGATATTGATGAATGTTCTACACCTGGCATCTGTGGTCCTGGGACTTGCTACAACACCATAGGAAACTACACCTGTATTTGTCCTCCTGACTACATGCAAGTCAACGGTGGGAACAACTGCATGGGTAAGTTGGTCTGCTTGATCTGCCAGCCTGCCTTTTCACGCTCCAGCAGAGCCCTTTTGGTGCCTCGTCAGAACACGGACCCAACAGAAAACTTCAGTGAAACAAGGGGATCTACAGATTAGGCCAGAGAGGGGAAGGGAAGGAGAAAGTCATTCATTTGTTAATTTATTAAAGGCTTTTATATGCTGCCTCATCATGTAAGCATCTCAGGACGGCTTACAGTGCTTTAAAAGGACCATTTAAAAGACAACAATTTCCAATAAATGAATTAAAAACAAAACAATGTATAAAACAAAACAATAAAAAGTAAATCACAAAACAAGAATGATTAAATGTTAGAAACTATCAATTTTAAAATCCTGTTTAAATAAAAAGGTTTCGACCTGGCACCGAAAAGAGTATAGGCTCGGCGCCAGGCGTACCTCTCTGGGAAGTGCATTCCAGAGTCTGTGCATTTTAGAGCCTTCCTGAAATCTCACGGCAGTTCTGAGCTAGCAAGGGCCTGAGCTGGACCCCATCCAGGCCGGCTTGCAAGAAATAGACTTGTGAGCCCATTTCTGTCTGTTTCTCCATTCATTGATCCGCAAGCACGGCTACACATCCGTGTTTCCTTCCCAGTGTTAATGGAAGGTTGCATTTCGTAAAGCATTTTAGGTTTGCCTTGTCTGACAGGCCCGTCTGTTCTTGTCACTGATGCATAAATGGATCTTACCAGTGAGATGCTTGTGGGCCCGACCTCTGGGTGGCTGCAGTGCTTTTAACAAGAATGGTCAATTCCTGGCTCAACTTCCATTGAAATGGCCAAATTCTCCTAGAATTCAATGGTGCCATGACAGGTAGCAAGGCATTAGCGGTAAGACTAATGAGCTCGGTATGACGTATTTAGAGACTGGAGTAATATTTGAGTATGCAGCCACTCCACCTGGGGCACAGGGGAAGAAAAGCTGGAGGGCTTTTCTTCACTCCCCCCCTGAACGCCTCCTTTTGCTCCCCGCTTTCCACATGATTCAGGCAGTTCTGTGATTAAGCATATAGAGATGCTGGGATTGCCGTCTTGTCTCGTCTGGCCCCATCACGCATCTGATTTTGTATATAAAAGGTGCATGTGCTTAGCAGGTTTTCTAGAAAACTTGAATCTCACATGACCGTCCTAAACTTAAAGAGATATTTATATACAGGATAGCATACAAAAGCTTTTAATAAATAATAAGTAAATAAACACATTTGTTGGAAAGTAAAGTTGGCAGATAAACCTTCTCTTTCTCCCTCTCCTTCCCTCCCTCTGTGTGTTTGTGTGTGTGTGTACACGCTCACACACTCATGTGTACAGGTTGAAGATGACTTGACAGCACATAGCAACAGAGAGAGAGAGAGCAGCTTGTGTTGTGGTTAATAATGGTGTTTTGGAGAGCACAGTGCGTCCTGCCAGAGCTTGGATGCACCAGAGCAAAGGGGTTCATTGCAGCTATTTCTGATAATATGTCTCTGGATAACACCTTAGGAAAGTCCAGCTAAAAGCGCCTCTCTGTATTATTAAAAATAACTGCCATTAACCTGCCCCGAGAGGTGTGTTTTTATGCCTGGTGGGAAGTACCACATGTACACAAGTGCGGTCTGAGGTCAATAAAGCCAGCAATAAAAACAAAACAGAAATGCCAAACTTGTCTCTTGGGTTGCTTGTCTGAATGGCCATCCTGTTATGTTGTGAGTCTGTTCTTTGAAAAAGACTCATGAAGAGGAATCCCGAGAGAATATGTTTGTATAGTGACAGTTGGCTGGTACTTATCTTAGAAGACTGCATAGTGGTAGATTTAAAACAAAGCTGAGAAAAAGGGCAGAAAAACAGGTCTGATAAAAACTGTAGCCCTGCATTTCATTTGAGAATCATTTGAGAATCTAGGCAATTGCAGTGGATTGATACAATTTCTCCAATGTGTTTGCAGTGTTAAATTTTAGTTCTTTGGTGGTTTTTTCCATTCCTGCTTACAAAATTAATGGGAGAGAGCTTAAAATGGCAAATACCTAATTTTAATGCATATGTAACATCTCTCTTCCCACACCCACTTAGGTCTTTGTTATTTAATATTAGCACCGAGTTGTTTGGTCCTTTGGAGTTCAGCTTCCTACTTCCAATACTGAGCTCTGCATTGCCATCTTAATTTGAGCCAGAGTTCATATAGCACAGGATCAGTTTTCATGGCTGGAGCTGAATCCTGGCCAATATAAAGTAATAATAATAGTGACTCTGAGCATATATAGAATGCTTTCCCCATCGCCTGCAATAGCAACCTTATATTTGGAAAAGGAGCAAGGCTTTAATTGAGAGGTCATGACTTCCAGAAAGAGTTGAACACCTCTCATTTTGGGAAGTAAGAACTGGTGCACGGCTAGAACAAAAAGCACCTGGTTCAGTTCCAGTCTTAGCAGAAGTCAGAGGTTTGTAGTCAAGTTTTTGAACGGTTTTGTTATGTCTGCAGTTCATAGCAACCTTGTGGATTCCAGGGTTTACCTTCTGTTTTAATGCATGTCAGTTCAGGTCTGTCCTCTTGCTGAATCCCTCTGGAGGCTCCAGACTCAAATGAACTCAAACAGTAAATCCTCAGTAAAACTAAGCGAAAGTCACAGGGCATCATCTTCCAGTGTTTCACCAGCAGGATACAAACTCACAGATTGAGCAAGATTTTAAATATAAGAGCCGTTGGCTGGTTGAGGTTAGCCTGCGTGCTGCCTGCCAAGGTTTTGTGGCTCCTGATGTGTGTGTTCTGGGTTTTAAAGTTATGAAACCAAGTGGTATTCGTGGGATTTTGGACGATGCTGCAAGACATTTTTCCATAGATGGGTGACGTAACTCCGCAATAGCTGTCAGCTTTGTAACTTAAGAGCACCGGATTTCAACAACTTCTTTAAAAAAGCGAAAAAGAGGCCTGAGACAAATGGCTCACTAATCAAACATGGAGCTAACACATTTTGTTATTTAAAGGCAGGGCCGGCTCAAAATTCAAAAGGGGGATGCAAATGGAATCCTAATTGATCTGACGCACGATCCACAAGGAAATTATTTTGTACAAGCTTTGCTGATATTAATGGGGGTCCGGAAGAACATTGTCCTTGTGCCGCTCCTGCTCAGTTCAGGGGAGCTTGTATAGGAAATCTTCCCAGAGGATTGTGCTCCATGGGTCAAATTTTTCTGCCTTTCATTTCCCTGACCTTTATGACACCCAGTATGAGCCTGAGGGGCTGGCCCGGGGTGGCATTTTGGTGCTGCCCAAAGCACACGAAAATGATGATGGGACACAGCCTACCGGGACATCCTTTGCTCAGGCTTCTTTGACGGGAGAATATCCTCAGGGACTGCGCCTTTCAAGCACCCCAGAGCTTCCTCTCCAGGGATCACCTCTGCTCGCCTGCTGATGCTTTGCAATGCACTTTGTACTAAGCTGCTGGTATCCCGCTTTCCCCATTGCAGATATGAGGAGGAGTCTCTGCTACCGGAACTATTACGCCGACAATCAAACTTGTGATGGAGAGCTGCTCTTCAACATGACGAAAAAAATGTGCTGCTGCTCCTACAACATCGGGCGGGCCTGGAACAGACCTTGCGAACAGTGCCCCATCCCAAGCACTGGTTTGTGTTCTTGTGTTCTAGGAAAAACAGTAGCCTTGCATACAAACCTGACCCAGGACTTCTACAACTTCACCTTGATTCTGAAGGTCCTTTCAACTTCCACGTCTGCATATGCACCAGCAAAGTCAGCAGAAATAATTTAAAATCACATTCGCACACAAGTTTGGGGATGAGGTGCAGCAAAAATGGAACAAAAGAATCAGCATGTATTCAAGTTATTCTTTTGGGGATTCTGCTGGATTGCTGAGAGTACCTGCAGCCATGATGCTGCCGTATTTGCAAATACTAAGGCAGTTTAGAACCCTGAGTTCAGACTCCTGCTTAGCAGTAGGAATAGAGTCAAACACCATAATTCATCGCCCACTGCCCGTGGAATGTTGATAGCTGCATACAATAAAAGCATCATGTGGCTGTTAGCTTCTTAGCTCATAGTGTCTCCACTCATCCCATTGTGGTAAACAGGTTTGTGGGATTTTATTTCACAGAGCTGTTAGTTGGGTAAATTTATTGAGCTCACAAATTACAGGTCTGGACTAGTTCTACTATGGCGCATCCTCTGCATCCAACTCCCAGCAGAGCTGGCAGTTCTAGCCCATTTTTCTGTGTCACTATAAGGGATATTGTATCTTTCCGACCTTAAATCACCATATGAGCTTGGACATGTTGCTGTCTCTGACCTTGCAGGCAGCCATATCAGTTCATTCAGGATAAAAATCCGAAACCAGTAAGATAATATTAGAACCAACATAAACATTATACAGTAGCAGTTGTCATGTTAAGCTAAAAGTAAGAAGCAATAAAGTGAGAGAGAAAAAAGAGGATGGATGGGGAGGATAAGGGTTTTTTTAAATATACCTTTCTGTGTTAGTTTTGCATTTATTTATTCTTTTCTTAGCATATAACCATAGATCTGTGCATACATCTGATTAGTCCATGTCAGGCTAGTCAGTAATTCATACAATGAAGATTTAGTTTTTTTTAAGTTCATCCTACAGAATCAGTCTAATAAGAATGCCTGTGCTATTTGGAAAAACTTGTCCTTCAAGGGGCATAGATTGAAGGTTAAGTCTGAGCTGTTTCTTTTAAGTACTCTTCTGCTGACAAAAAGAACAGATTATATAAAATTAAAAGAAGCAATTACAAATAATTAAAACTGTGAAGTTGTTAATTTGGCTTTGAGTAGAGACGAATCATTTTACTTGGTGATATCAGGGCATCTTTTTATAATGTACATAGAACTTTTTTTTAATTAATACTGTCCCATTTTAGATGAATTTTCAACCCTCTGTGGAAGTCAAAGGCCTGGTTTCTTCATAGACATTTTCACAGGATTACCAGTTGGTGAGTTAGCATTCTATGGTGATGTATTTTTAATTGTGTATGGTACATTTTATGGGAAAAGGAAGGTTTGTTTTCATAGTTTGCTTTTTCCCAAAGTTGTGAAGACTAAACAATGGCAGTAGGACTCAACCGCCATGTCTTCGTATGGTGAGGTTATGCCAGCCTTTTTCCTGGGCCTGCTCAGCAGGCCGTGTGATAACTACTGCTTGGGATGAAGGCAACATAAAGTCTTAAGGACACTGTAATTATATTTCCGTTAGTCGACCATAGGTCCTGCCGGGATGCCTGCCAATCCTCAGTGGATTGGAAAGCAACTGGGACTTTTTTCTTCTTGCTAAAGCACAGATTTTTATCTGATATTTCACACCAGCTCCTCTGGGTATTGAATGCGAGGGGGGAAATCCTTTTTTCTTTCTGTGGACTTTGAGAGGGGAAGGAAAGGGATTCGGCCTGAATGTTTTCCACACACAATATGTGTGTAGATGTTTCATAGCCAAGATTTCCAAATCTTATACCCAAAGGGGAAAAACTGAGGAATTCAAGGAGAAGGAGCCAAAAGTACTCTTAGAAGGAATTCCCTTCTTCCCTTTCTTGTTTTTATTCACATGAAGAGCAAACCAGAGGAGAACATGGTAGAGAAAATAGGATTGTACAATGCTCTTCATAATGGAGAGCTTTCTTTTTAAAGCCTGATGAAGTCTTTAAAAATATTATTATGTGTTTAACTGGGCCAGACACTCCAACTTCTGTGTATTCATATAGATATTGATGAGTGCCGTGAGATCCCCGGTGTCTGTGAGAACGGTGTCTGCATAAACCTGGTCGGCAGTTTCCGATGTGAATGTCCAGGAGGTTTCTTCTACAACGACAAGCTACTGATCTGCGAAGGTGAGAGGCTTTCGCTCAGGACCAAGCTGCATCAGGTCTTGCTGCTTTCTCCTTATGCCCCCCAGCATGAGCTTGACAGCCAGCAGAGGTGGGCCTTGAGTGTCTACATCTCCTGCTATAGGTTTGCTCGTCCTCTTCCTTATGCAAACCTGGAAGTTTGCCCACCTGTCACCCTGGCCAGAACCATGGTGGGGGTGAGGAGGAGGAGCAGTGGATGCCGCTGCCTGTTTGCTCTCTGGCTCCCTGCCTGAAATCAAGCAAGTGGCTGCAGAGATGAGGAGCTGTAGCACCCAGTGCCAGTGGTGGGGAGAAGGCACACTTCCTGATGGAAAGAGTTCACTGAAGGGGTTTTGCCCAAGGTCTGAGCGAAACCTGGAACCAGCACTTCTTTCTCCTTTGTCTGCAGGGCAGGCATGTGCCGTTAAAGATGGGCCCACAGGTGGCCGCAGAATCAGTCTCAAAGAGTGCTTATCAATGGCACTGTCTTAGACAGGGGAGAGGTAATGAGCAGGGTTTCCTTGGGAAAATTCTAGAGCAGATTGTAAAGCAGTAAATTTGCAAACCCCTGGAAAATAATGCAGTAATGAGGAGCAACCAACTTGGCATAGTCAAGAACAAATCCTGCCAGACTCATCTGATTTCATTTTTTGATTGAGTAACCTCCCTTGTGGACCATGAGAATGCTGTGGACATCCTCTGTCTTGACTTCAGCAAAGCTCTTAACAAAGTGCCTCGTGATATCCTGATTACCAAACTAAAAGTAGGCTAAATGGAACCATGGCCGGGTGGATTCCAGTTGGTTGCAAAATTGGACTCAAAGAGTGCTCATCAATGAGACCTTCTCAGACTGGGGAGAGGCAACAGGCAGGGTGCTGCAGGGTTCAGTTCTGGGCCCAGCGCTCTTCAACAGTTTTATTAATGTGCAGGGAATGCTTATCAAATTTGCAGATGACACAAAACTGGGTGGGATAGCTAATCCCTGGAAGACAGAAAGAAGATTCCAAGTGATCTTGATAGTTGGGAGGAATATCGACCCAATGAAATTTAATAGGGAGAAATGCCAACTGCTGCACCTAGGAAATAGAAACCAAATGCATTGTTACAAGATGGGGGATGCTTGGCTCAACAACACTGCAAGTGAGAAGGATCCTGGAATTGTTGTAGTTCACAAGCTGAATATGAGTCCAGAATGTGATGTGGCTGCAAAAGGTCAAATGTGAATTTAGGCATTAGTAGAAGTCTCAATTCCAAAGCACGTAGAACTCTAGTTCCCCTCCATCCTGTTTAAGAAAGATTCAGGCAAACTGAGAACAGTTCAGGCGAGGGCAACAAAGATGATCAGGGCACTGGATACAAGGCCTGAGGAAAGTCTGGAAGAACTGGGAAGACTCAAGAGAGAGATGATGGTGCTCTTCAAAGGCTCTCACACTGAAGAGAGCTGGAGTAGCTCTTAGTCACCCCAGACTGCAGCACGTGGAATAATAAGTTCAAGTTACCAGGAAACCAAATTCCAGCTGAAAATCAGGAAAAACTTCCTGACAGAGCAACACAACAAGTTCTCCAGTGACTTGGGGAGCTTGAGTGGAAGCATTCAAGATGCAGCTGGACAGCCATCTCTAGAGATGCTTCAATTTGGTGTCCTGCACTGAGCAGCAGGATGGACCCAGTGGCCTCGCTGACTATTTTGTGACTGGGTGGTACAGCCACAAGTGGAAGGAGGGGATCATGGGCCAAAATCCACTGTCCTGAGAACTTTTTGAGGACTCCTCTATGTGAATAAAACATTCTGTGCAAAGTTCAGTGCCCCCTGGAGCCCTTTTCTGTACTCTTTTCCATCGCTCGTATGTCGGATTCTCTGCTGGGTCTACTATACCAGATTTTTCAGCTAATAAAATGCTTACATGGCTCTGACCCAACCATTTGTGGCAAGTGAATTGCCTTCATTTTATTGAATAGCACTGGAAAGACTTCTTGATTCATAAAAAGTCAGCTGCAACATGCAAACTATACAGAACAGTCTTGCAATATTTGTGTCATTCAAATTCCATTGCTATTCAGATTTTATTGCAATCTAGTCAGATAAATTAAGGAGGCGTGTTTATTACTGTTGCTGCTACTTTCATTTTGCACAGATGTAGCAACTCAGAGAACTGATGTGGCAAGAAGCACAGGGAAAAGCAGTAGCGTCGATTAACTTGTATTGCTTTGCCCACTCCTCAGAACTGAATCAGAGCTGCAAACGTAGTAGTGTCTGGTAGTGCCATCTTATTAAAGGCTGAAACAGCATAGCCTTGTTTTCCTTTCTTTGCACAGGCGTTTGCTCCGTTAACACCCCTGGGATCAGCTAATATCTTTCTCTTCACAGAAGCAGATTTTCAGATCTTACTTGTAGGAATTCTGTCCATGAGGTTGCAGCTGTTTTAAATGGCTGTGCCTCCATCTGTGGTAATAAACTCTGAGAAGAAGTTTTACTAAAATGCATTACTGCGGGCCAGCTTTTCAGATGGAAAAGTACTGTTCAGCCGTATGCTGTGCTCCTACTCAGCAGGAAAGAAAACTAGGTCAAATAAAAGTAATGCTAATTAGAGGCTAATAATGAGCTGTAACTTTTTTTTAAAGGAGGAAAATGTGTTCCAAAAATGCTATGCTTCTGTATTAAGCCCAGTTACACATGCTAACCTTGCTTCAGGTAGGGCTTATTAAAAACTGATCTATGGATTTTAAAACATTGTCCAATAGATTTTTAACTACTCTCAGTTATTTTATTGGACAAATTGTTTTATGGTACTCAGCTCATTAGTTCTCCCACAGAGATAGCTATGAGGCAGTCAGCTGTGCTCTGAGAGAGGGCTGCTGAGCAAATGCACTCATTTAGGGCTTTGCACAGAAGAAACAGCAGCAGGAACAGAGGTTGGTTAAAGTTTCTTGTGAATTGCTAAAGGGCCTAAAGCAGTGATGGCGAACCTTTGAGAGACCGAGTGCCCAAACTGCAACCCAGAACCCACTTATTTATCGCAAAGTGCCAACACTGCAATAAAACCTGAATATGGAGGTTTTAGTTTTCATAAATTCTTCACAAACAACTAAATATGCTGCAGTTTCAAATATCCCAGGGGGACAGCACAACATTAAAAGAATCCCAGTCTCCTAATTAGGATAGGAATAAATTGTAGGACCATTTCAAATATTACACGGTAGCAAAGTGAGTGTACTCTTTGTAAAGAAGGCGTATTTGGCCACTGAGTGTATATTTTGTAAATCCTGCCTTTCCCCCCTAAGTCTCAAGAGTGCCGTGCAAATATTTCAACATATTAGCCTCATTCACACTTTAAATTTTAGATTCAAAGCATGTAACAAAAACACAGCGATAGTCCTGAGATTTGTAGCTAATTTAATGGCTTTGTTTATTCACAGGAGAGGCGCACTGATGGAAGGATCTGTTTGTTTGTTTGTTTGTTTGTTTGTTCATTAAAAACCTTTATATTCCATCCTCTACTGAGGTCTCAGGAGGGTCTTACAATAAACAGGGTGGAGCACAGCATCCAAATTAATTGCTATTTGAAGATTTATTCTTCAAATAGATTAAAGATTTATTCATGAGTGTACCTCTCCTTCTGTTGGTGGTTCTCCTATTACCAAAGAAATTATATTGGATGCAGGCCATTGGCATTTAGCAAAGGTTATGCCAGCACAGCAATATATTTGATGGTGTGTGTGTGAGAGGGAAAGGAAATATATAGATATAGCCTAAGAAGTGTTTATGAGATTAAATGAAATGTGGCTTTCTATCCTGATTCTTGGAGGAATTTGGATCTATTAACTTCTGTAAGTACTGTAGCTTATCTATTCAGTGTTATGGCATAAATGGCTGCAAAATTAATTCAATTTAACATTTATAAACAGAAATATGGATGCAATTACAACACTGCCAGCATCCAATTCATTCTGATTTCCTTCTGTTTCCAACAGATATTGATGAATGCCAAAATGGGCATGTGTGTCAGCAAAATGCAGATTGCATCAACACTCCGGGTAGCTACCGCTGCGATTGCAAACCTGGTTATCGGTTCACACCTGTAGGCCGGTGTGTTGGTAAGTACTTCCAAGTCAGTGTACTTCCAAGTCAGTGTACTTATAAAGTTTGCACCTACATTAATCAATTTGTAGAACAAAGTTACCTCTTTGCAAAGATGATTGGTTCTTAATTACATGAGGGGAATATATTTTAACATTATCTCTCTTTTAAATGCAATGTCTTTTACTTTGACCTTGATTTTTTCTCTCTCAAGGCTTCCTACATTTTTAAATTGTATGTTTTTCTGGCCTGGAAAGTTCAACAACCATCTAGCCAGGGAACACACAGTATTTTCCCTTTCCTGCATAACAGATGCCTCTTATTTTGCTACGTGTACAGCAAGTTTGCATTTTGTGTAATCTTTTGGAGGCTTTGTATAAACATAGCAATTTAACCATATCAATGGAATTGTGTGGGTTACCTCATTTAGAAGCTGAATCTCAGGGTGCTTTGATAATACTCATTTGAACATCTATTTCTAAAACATTCCTCCCCGTTCTTTATGTCCAATGTGTATACCCAGGATAGCTCTTCTTCGTGATCAGAAAACAGGGCCAACTTCTGATTCGTCCAAGGAGAGGGACTCTCCAGTCTTTGGGGCAGGAAGCCATCCTTTTAGAGGCTCTCTCAAGAGTGTTTATTTTAGTTCCTTCTCAGCCCCACCCTCCTACACACACCTTTTCGCAGTCCAAGAATATCTCCTCCTCTCTGTACATCAGGGATAGGGGGTTTCCCTCTCTGGCAGCACAGGGACAGGAGCACCAGCTCCGGTTGCCCACTCTCCCAGGGCTGCCAAAGGGGTCTGAAAGCTCCAACCCAGCTCCAGTCATGAAGTATGGCAGTTCTCTGCTGCCCCTTCTCTCTTCTGGCTGGAAGCAGGGAGCAGGGCCAGAGAAGTACTGCAGGCCAAGCGCTGCAGCTGATCCTGGGCGATCAGATGGAACCCTGCAGGACCACATAACCTGAGTGCCAGGGGCCTCCAGTACCGCTTTCGGTCACCTGCCTTCAGGTGAGCCACTGAAACACAGTGCTGCCGATCCCCAGTCTGGAGGGCCTAGAGGTGTGGATGGCATTCCCTTGGTGGCTCCTGCTGCCCACTTTTCCATGATTCAGTGTCACTCCTGCTAGCTTTGTGGTTGTTACGATACCTTCCAGTAGTCTCCAGCTTAGGGCGACCCTATGAATGAAAGGTCCTATCCTTGTTCTAAAGTCAAGGCTGTGGCTTCTTTCAGGAAGTCAATCCATCCCTTGTTTGGTCTGCCCCTTCTTCTTCTGCCTTGGACTTTCCCTAGCTCTATTGACTTCTCTGGGGAGAAGATGGGTCCAAAGTATGACAGCCCGTTTGGTCATTTTTCCTCCAGGAAAAGCTCTGGCTTGATTTGATCTGGTCCCTCTAGTGTGTCTTTCTGTCCGGCCGGGGTATCTGCAAAGCTCTCCTTCAGCACCATGTCTAAGCACATCAAGCTTTAGTCTAACCCATATGGTGCTAATGCTCTGCAGTTGCCATATTACAAATGTGTGTACAAATATGATTGCAAACATTTCTGCATAAAACATCAGTCAGAAAGATGGTAAGCAACATTTTTCAGGTGTTTTCTAATCTACAGTCGTGATTTTTTGGAAAAGCACCTTTTCCCATACTACAGATTTACATTGTTATGTAAGATCTTTGCAGGAAAAGGGTGTAGAATTAGGAGTGAAATTTTACTTTGAAAATGAAAGGCTTGTTTTGTTTGGGTACATGCAGTGACTTGCGAGGTTTGTTGTTAACATAACTCTCCTTGAGAGTTCTTCCCTGAAACGGAAGCAGGAAAATTCAGGCCAGAGGCTGATACGAGCAACAATGCCCTAATGTATGTTGGCACAAACATTACTTCCCTGAATTTTACTTGGACTTTCATAGGAAGAAAACATAAGTTACTGTGTTAATCAGTTGATAAGTGTGCCATTTTAAGTAAAGCACACTGAAAAGGTGCAGTAGGTTGAAATTGTGGGCACATAAATCTGCCATACTGTTACTTGATAACCCAGTGATGTTTTTGCTGCTTGAAATGACTTACTGGAGTTCTTCAGATGGCAAATATTGCTTCTTTTTTCTAAGAAACAATTTTAAAACAGATGTATGGTCCTGGGCTCATGACAGAGGTAATTAGGTTGGTCTGGAAGATCTTGCAATAAGGAAGCACTCTGAATGGCGCTTCCAAGGAAGGTCTTAAGGTTCTGACAGGTGTGGAATGTGAGGAAGGAGCCGGCGGGTTTTCGGTAGCCCAGTCCAAGGCAATTTAGTGTTCTAAAGTGAAATCCAGCACTTTAAATTGGCCCCAGAAATGAACTGGGAGCCTGTACAATTGACAGAGCGTGGGTGTGGTCAAACGTCTGCGTTCCAAAAAGTAATCTCTATTTTGGACCAACTGCGGTTTTGAAACTATCTTAAAGGTGACCCTGTATCAAGGAGACACCAGTGTATGGCCAAAGGATCTCCATCCAGAGAGGGTCGCAGCTGACTTTTTATCAGCCCCTTTTATCACTAATGACAATGAGTCATGACAGTAAGTCATTGAATGATTGCAAGCTGTCCTGAGATGCCATGCATAAAGGACGGCATTCAAAAGTTTTAAATAAATAAATGAATGGCTACGCTGGATGGCTGAGCACCCTCAAATCATAAACCTGTCCCTTTTGGGGTCAGATTTTAGAAATGATGGGAGTCTCAGATTTAAGCTAAATTATTTACATTATCTTGCATTTTGTTTGTCTGATCAAATAGTTCAGTTAAACTATTTTGGATTACTGGAAAAAATAAGATATTTATACATCATATGAATTAACCCTTTACCAAACAGAAAGGAAAGAGTTTAAGTCAGCTAGTTGGTTCAAGGCATCAAATGGAAAAGAGAACAAGTTTCGGGATGTAAGAAAATAAAGTTTGACTTTCTTCAAATAACTTCATTTTCTTACCTTCTGGAACATGTTTGCTCCTCTGCTTTTTTGCTAGTGCTTGGCCCTGCAGATTCCCCAGTATGGGGCTCCTCAGCAGTTGGCCTGTTCCCCATGCTGTTTAACTTCAGCAGGAAATCACGCCATCAGGCGTCTTGGCGTGTGTTGCCATCACTGTGCTGATGGCGCTTGGCTCTATTTCTCCTTCTCCTCTTCAGCGGATAAGGCTGTGAAAGGGCCAAACCAGTGCCTGATGGCCATAATGGAATGGGTGAGGGCCAACAAAATGAAACTTAACCCAAAAGTGAGAGGCAGTTGGGGGGTGGTTCTTCTGACCAGGTGGAGGAAGCTGGAGCTGTTCTGGTTGGGGTTGCATGCTCCCTGCCGAGCGAGTTCACAGATCCTGGGGTGCTCCTTGTTTCGTCTTTGTCACTGGAGGCTCAGGTCGCCTCAGTGGCGTGGAATGTCTTCTGCTCGCTGCAGCTGGTGGCCCAGCCATGTCCATGTCCATGTCTGAACAGGGACAGCCTGGCCTGTATGCCCTGGTAATCTCCAAACTAGATTACAGCAATGTGCCGCATGTGGGGCTGCCCTTGAAGATACTTTGGAAGCTGCCGCTTGGGTTAAATGTGGCAGCCAGACTAATAAATGGTACCAGGCACTTGGGACAGATAGCTCCCACTCTGGGCCACTGGCTGCCTGTAAGCTTCTCAGACCCATTCAAGGGGTTGGTTTTAATTTATGAAGCCCTGCCTGGCTTGGGACCATAATACCTGCAGTGGCTCTGGACCCAGCACTCAACATCCAATGCCTCGCCTGGATGGTCACCTCCTGGGGAGGCACAGCTGGGGGAAACCAGAATGAGGACCTTATCCCATAGAGCCCCCAGATTATGGAACGCTGCCCAACGAGACCCACCTGGCACTGACTGAGGCATTTACCAACTCCAGGTAACACCTGCAGGTGGTGCTCGGGGTATTGCCAGCAGCATGGGCTGGTTTGGGTTGTTTTGTTATAAAACAGTGATTGTAAGTATCATTTCCATTTTCTTTAATGTAATTTTATGATGTTTTATTCTTTTAGTCTGTATTGTATTTATTGTTTTTATTTAACCAGAGGCTATTGGGTGGTATAAAATGCCACAAATAAATGAATACATATTATGTGCAATCTTGAAGACACCATACGGGTCAGAACAAACAAAAATGACTCAACTGGGCCAAAAGATGGGCCCCGTATTAGGCAGTTTCGTATGGTCATATGTTTTATGCAGCTGTTTTTAAACTTCTTTTCAGATCGCAATGAGTGTCTAGAGATACCCAATATCTGTAGTCACGGTGATTGCCACGACCTTGAAGGAGGTTATATCTGCCGTTGCCACACTGGATTCAAAACTAATGATGACCAAACTATGTGTATGGGTATGTATGAACTATACTCTTATCTTGATGAATAATGAGAGAGAAAAGTTAGTTGACTGTGATAAATAGGATATCAGTATTTGGCCTTCAGCAACAGCTAGTCAAGGGACATCCCAATGAGGTTGGCTCCCTCAAACATGCAAAGAACTGCCTTGATTCCTTCCTGGTGAAGAATTGCTTATTGCTCTCAATCTTTCTGTCAAGGCAAATTATGTTACCAATTCTACTCAATGTCCATTTGCTTCAGCTCCATGTCACCATTCATTGAGGTCTGTAGCTCTTGTTGTGAGCCAGAACTTCCTAGGAAGCTGTGGACAGTTGTCATGGAAGGTCTTTGACTTCTTCCAGCTCTGTTTTGGGTCTCAGCAAGTCCAGTTGCTAAGTTTCACCCTCTCAGGTCAACAAGGAGAGTCATGTCTTTCCATGCATGTTGAGCAACAGCTCAAAGCATATTTTCTGTGCTTCCGAAGGGCTCTGCTCCTTCCCTTCTTCAAGATGTGAGAGTGAACTGTGCAGCTAAGGTATCTACATTTGTTGGATGTGTGTGCAGTGGCTTGTATTTCTTTTGAATGATGAAAAACACAGCCTGAGACTTTCCAACTTAATTTTTTCACAGATATCAATGAATGTGAACGAGACCCATGTGGAAATGGTACATGCAGAAATACAGTCGGCTCCTTCAACTGCCGCTGTCATACGGGATTTATCCTGTCTCACAATAACGACTGCATAGGTAAGAGACCCCTCCAGCCATGCGCTTGAAATGTCTTGCAACTGTGTGAGCCACGAGGCCACTCAAGAACCTTGGAAGGGAAGCGATCACCATGAAGACGTAGTATCCAAAGCTGACTTCCCCTTGCCCTTTTGAGCAGAACCAGGTTATCCTGGCAGAACAGGCTGAGGCGAATGCTCCGAGCTGGAAAGTAGATTTCCTGTGCTTCATCATGTGAAATATTTAGCCAGCATGCGACATGTTGGATGGAAGCTAGAGTTGGATGGCTTACCTGTGCCAGCTATGATGGGATGGAGGCAATAGCTAGAGCCAGCTATGGGTATAAGAGTTATCTGCGTATGTACTAATTGCTAATGAACTATTAGAAGAGGTTTTATTTCTTTAATTGTTGCTTATGTTTTTAACATGCCCAATAACCAGTGTTCTCCAGGCAGATTATAGAGTTAGAAGTATAGAATACCATGTAAGCAATTAATATATAAAATCCTAAACTTATATTTAAAAGAATGCATTACAAAAGGAAAGAAAGGATAGCAGAGGAATAAAAAAAGCCAGAGAACATAGAACTAGGTCCCTTAAAAGCCCCAGAGAAAAGAAAGATCTTTGCCTTGTACCACAAATATAAGAATGTAGGCAGGCAAGGGACCTCTTTGGGGAGGGTGTGCCAGAAGTGGGGTGCCATCCGAGAAGACCCTCTCTTTTGTAGCCACCCTCTAACTTCCTTTGGCAGGGGAACCCCAGGAAGGCATCCAAACGTAAGGCAAGAATTCAAGCCAGAGGCAGCATTTGGAAAGTCCAGTACTGAAGCAGACATAAATATACCTGAATCACAGTGACCTCTTGCCATACTGGGCTATTGGCTGGAGCCCTTTCTTGTAGCAAGTGTTATTTATAACCCTTTGAATACGCTGTTAAATGGCTTGCTTCTATTTCTTTTTCATGTTGTCTCTTTTCCCCTGCTCCTCCACCTTTCTTGGCCTCTTATCCTTTCAGACGTTGACGAATGTGCCAGTGGGAATGGAAACCTGTGCAGAAATGGTCGATGCATCAACACCATTGGGTCTTTCCAGTGTCTTTGCAACGATGGTTATGAGATGCCTCCAGATGGAAGGGTCTGCATTGGTATGTCATAAACACAATGCTCTGTATCTATAGTAGTTAGCTGAGGATGTCCTTGTGTGGATTGGTGAGGAAGGTGAAGATTTTCTGCGGAAAGAACAGCTTTTGTAGTACATTCTGAAATATAATTCATTGCCTCCTTGAAATGTCTTCTTTATGTTATTAGGCACAGATGCATTTATTGGTTATTGTTCTGCCTCCAAAAATCTGGGAGAGTTTCTAATATAGGTTCCCAGGTGGCCTCCCACTCAGACTACACATACTTGTGCATTAGGAAATTGGACTCACAGAGAAATTCAAATCATCAGTTCTTTCTGAACATCATTAATATCTCACAATCCAGAACTCTCAAGTGTCACGTTTTGCTTGATTGAGCTGTTGCTTAATGGGTATGACTTGTTCCCATTCTGGTATTATTTAAAAAACAAACATTATTACCAATATGCATCTACAATTAAACAATTGCAATATATTGCACTACATATAATTGCAAACTCAACTGGCAGAGTATAAACTGCTAGTAACTAGTATCGCCCATCTAGGAAGTACTTGTCAAAGTGTTTTATCTTTCTAAATTGCTGATTTATTCAATTGTACAAACTCAAGTGCTAGATTTAGGTAAAAACAAAGGAAATAAAGATACAATAATGTATCAGTAAAGTTGATATTTTATAGTTATTTGTAGATTTGAAGATGAAGATTTGAGGCAGAGTTCAATTCCAAGACTGAGACAGCTATATAGAATGGTTACACTCCAATAAAAGTTAAATATATAAAATATAATTGACTTAAATTGGAAAATTAAATGTGTGATCGATCCTTTCCAACTTGTATCCATTCTATGTGCAGTGTTGCAGCGTCTTCTTCTGTTCCAAAGGGCTGCACAAAGTTACGGAGGAGATTGAGCAAAATTCTGCCAGCAGATGCCTTCCCATTAGATGGATACAGTTGAATATAACCCAGTGCTTAACTTTGGCTGGATTGTACCCATTATTTTCAAATTCAACTTCTTATTGTGGGAGGCATTTATTTGCTTTGCATACCCCCTTTTTCCCCTTAATGATCTCTGCTCCTTCCCAATACCAATGATTTAATTTAAGTAATGTCCAGGAGGATGTAAACTTGATAAGATGCCACCTGTTTGTCGCCTGTAAATTCATATCTTTGTATCAAAGGCTTTCTGGTTGTAGCCCATAAGCAGTTCAAAAAGCCAAGTCTCCCTCCCACCCTTGTTTTCACCGCAAGATGAAACGTCATTAATAAAAGGAGCATGAGGAAATGACGGGCACTGACTGCCGTTTTGCTGGTCTCTTCTCACAGATATCAATGAGTGTGCCCTGGAGCCTGGCAAATGCGCACCTGGCACATGTCAGAACCTGGATGGCTCATATAGATGCATCTGCCCACCTGGGTACATTCTGCAGAATGACAACTGCGATGGTAAGCTAAGGCCATTCGTGTTTCACAGTGGGATGCTAAATACAAGGAGGAACACGGTGAGATGCCTTGCGCATAAGAGCGAGAGAGGCTACTGGCAAACCCCATTGGCCACTGCAAGCCCACCTCGTGAGGAAAAGAATCTCAGCAGGCTGGTGTCCTTTGCCACAGGATGCTGATTCAAACTGCATGCCTCGCACTTCTTTGGTGCCTTTCTTGTTGATACCGTTGGTTGCGCAATCAGATGCGTCCATGTGCATTTTACTAATCCTTGGAGCAGCCTTGGCTTAAGATACGAAGCTGAGAAATGCCAGGTCCTTGCAGTCGCAGAGTGGATTCATGATGGGGGTGAAATCTGAACCGAGTGGTTCACTGCTCACATTCTCAGGCCCAAAACACATGAGACATTAAGTGTGCAAAGGCATTTAATGTGCCTGGGCTTCTCCCCGCTTAGCAGGCACGGCTGCAGGTGAGGGGAGTACGATTAGAACTACAGCATTTAGGGATGGCGGGTTGTGATAGTAAACTCATCCCATACTCCTGTTCCAATGAAAACCCCCTTCTTCCCACTGAACCTGCCATTAGTCCCAGGGAAGAGGAAGTTCCTTTGGGAAGCGTGAAAAACACCAGGGCGTGGCCTTCATCCTGCACGCATGTGCGAACAGGCCTATTTCCCAAGGCATTAAGTACCTTCCTGCATCATCAGAGACATCATGTAAGACAATGTCTCAAGGTCTGGTTTGCTTTTTGTGGCACTGAAGTATAAATTCCTTGCAGACATCGACGAGTGCGCAGAAGAAGCCGAGATCTGTGCTTTGGGCACCTGCAGCAACACCCGGGGCAGCTTCGTCTGTCTGTGTCCTGAAGGGTTCATAGTGTCTTCGACTGGACGGAGATGTCAAGGTAACCCTTCTCCCTCTCTGGGGTGAAGATTCTGCTCAAAATATCTGCGAGGTTTTCCTCTCAGCTTTACAGTTCAGTTACAGCTTTGTCACAAAGGAAGCCGGTTCCCCAGGTACATTAACGACCACCTGGCAGCCTGTTGTATTTGTCTTCTGACCTGTATGCATATTTTCAGAGCAGACCTAAGCAAGTTTCCTCAGAAGTATGTAGCAGCACATAAGAATTGTCTGGTTCCTGAGGGGCCTTGTACTGAAGTGGTGCTTCCAGTCTCTGCGCGCCGCAGGTCTTCCCCAAGCTGGCACAGAGGGAGCAGTGGCGATTTCTGCTGCCTCCCCACTTTCAGTGGTACCAGAGAAGCTAGGCCCTTTCCAGGCCCTTGGTGGTGGACTCCACCTCAGAATTCAGGAAGTAGCAGAGCCGTAATTAGGGCTTGCCCCTTATGACTGCTTCCCCCACAGTTAGCATGATTAATTCTGCCGAGAACAAGCATTTATCAGAATTCCAAAACCACTCTGTGGTTTGGCAGCCTTTCTTTGGGTTAAACTAGAAAAGGGAGGAGTGTTTGTGGTACAATTTTGTAGCCATATAAATTAGATATGTCTTATACTTGTGGTTTTAGCCTTGCCTCCTTGAAACCACTTCTCCACAAGAAAGTGGCTTGAAAAACTCCGTGGGAATTTTGCTTAGGGAATTCCTGATTTCCCATTTTATTAAATGGGTTTTGATAGAACTTGTAATGGTTCTGCAGCTTTCAGGCCTTGAAAGCATAGGAATAAGTGCAGTCAGTTAATTGTTCTGATTAAATCTTCATTTGATGTACTAGGAAGAAATAATAATAAATACGAATGAAAGGCTCATTGCTGTTTACAGCAACAACTTCTTGTATACTTCCATTTTTAGACATATCCTTTCCCAGTCTGTGAATATGATAGTAGTTTTTAGATAGCTTTCTGAATTATACATGTATTTGAATCAAGGCTGAAGTGGAGGCTTTCTGCCTTCTGATAATCCTTCTAAAATTGGTCAAGGTTGTCTTTCAGAAAGCATTTTAAAAGTGGGCTATCCATATTAAATTAACTTTTGTTTCCATGTCCAGTTATTTACATGCCCTATACAGTTCTTAATTATTTCTGACTTTCCATTCATTAGTATAATAGTGAATTGATTAGTTAACTAATGAATTTTTAGTTGTGGTTGGCTGGCCACAGCTAAAATAAATAGCAAGTTGAGTTCTCCAGGAGATTTGCTTTATTTTTTATCTTAAGCTTTTCCAGTGCTTGGGATTTTGCTCAGTGTGAATCTCCCACCAAGCAAAACTGGCTGAGCAGCTGCTTTTGCAGCTGACACTTAGACTGTTCTTTTGCCAGCAAGAGAAGTTGCCAGCTATCTGTCTGTCCAATGACTGCAGTTTCTTTTCTGCTCCAGTGCTTAGATCACTCGGCGTGGAAGAGCACAGTGCGGTGATACGACACCAGCCATGCTCTCTCTTAACTTGTAGGCAACTTGCCAGACCCATCGGAGGGAAGAAAGCAAGAATCAAAACACACCAACCACAGCTTTCCTCTTTACTATCTATCTGTGTATTTATATCCCACCTTCTCCCATTGGGAAACTCCGGGCAGGCCTGCTTAGCTTCAACATGGTGGATGCTTTACATGCCTTCAGACCGTACTCTGGGCCATGCTTTTTATGAGAAAAGTTCTCAGCAAAGACCACAAGGACACAATATATGCTCAATAGTGCAGTTCTGTGCAAATCTGTTTGGACATAAGTCCCACTGAGTTCACTGGGGTTTACTCTTAAGGAGGTGTGCTTAGGATTGCAGCCTAAATCTTTAATATCAACCTCTCCTGCTTATGTACTAATCCAAACATAATGCATAATATACTGTGCATCTATAAATAACTTGCATGGCATTTTGAGTAGGTTCAATGAAAATCTGTAGTTTTAAACTTTAATTATACCCTGTTTTTCTTTGCTTAGATCTGAGAGTGAGCTACTGCTTTACTAAATTTGAAGATGGGAAGTGTTCCATTCCAAAATCCAGGAATCATTCCAAGCAAGAATGCTGCTGCAACATGCATGGCGAAGGATGGGGTGATCCATGTGAACTGTGTCCAGAAGAAGGAGAAGGTGCCTTTAAACTCTCTCATGGGATTGTTTCAGTGCCCTGCCATATGTGAAAAGAGAAATAATGTATGAGAAACTCAAAGTGAGAAGTGGTGAATGGGGAACTTTTGTCTTCACATTCAAGCTAATAATAATATTAATTTGCATCGGCTTCTGCAGCTCACTTCACTCTGGAATGGCATTTCTGTCTACATAATAGACAGCAACATTGGAATGATGGGAAATAGCTAGTAGTTTGTAAACCAGCCCAGAGAACATCTGTTATTGGGCAGATTAGACATGCAATTAATTACGTACACAAATAGCTCTTTTTCAGACACTGGATGACAATCAGAATCTTGCACCTTGATGTTTTACACCTAGCACTAACATGAAAACGAATCCAGAGGTGTTCCTCTGCTTGTAAAGACCGTCTGCCAAGCCTTCAAGTCATAGTATTTGCAGAATAGCCCTAGAGGGTATTTTCCTTTCACTCATTGTTCTTTGGATCCAGTGTACTTTAGAGAATTTGCATAAAGCTTGCACATTCATACATCACCTTGAAAGAAGCATAACCCCCACTAGCCCTGTTCTTCAGGAGCCTTGTAGGGGGTCTCCTAAGGGTAGAGGTCAGCAGAACCCATCTGGCCAGTTACCTGGTCCAGAGTGAGGTGAACGCTTATCCTTGATGCCTCTGTTTTAAACCTTGCTTTTCCTGCAGAGCAACTGCCAGTTCTGGGATTGCCTTCTGCAATTGCCCCTAGCAATAAATGGGGTCAGTTGTCCTTGCGGGAAACCAACCCTCTCTTTCTGCCATCCCAGGGAATAAATCATCCAGGTTCCCAACTCTCTCCCCATCTGGGATTAATCAAGAAAAGAGAGGAGGAAAAACAGGAAATCATGCCAGTTCAGTTAACCCATTGAGCTCCTACTCCCAGACCTTCTTCACACATCCACTCAATGTACTTTCTCAAGCATGAATTTAATTGTTTGAGTTGGCCCTCACTTCAGCAGATCCGTTCAGTGCATACTGCACCTTGGGACACCATGAAGAAGTTGTGCTGTTGCTTTAGTGTGGGGACCATATTGCAGCATGCAACATCTGCAAAGCAATGGTACAATTTTGAACAGAACTACAACAAAGGAGGCATCCCTCATTCTGCCATGAAAAAGGCTCATGGAAATCAGCCTTTGTTCTTGCTTTGTTTTGACCAGATCCAAAAAAGAAGGGCTTTCTATATATTTTTTATCCTCAGGAAGGTTGTGCCACTTCTTTTGTACATGCAAACTACTTTGAATTATGTGCAGGTGGGGCAGGAGGATAAGCAATCAGCCACCTTCCTTATTCAGGCAAAATGAAGCAAATGCATTTGCGTATGCATGGCTACACCATTTTGATTAGAGAAATTGTATGTGAATCTAATGTCTGGAAGAGTATGAATGAAAACGTTAACTGTTCTGGTTGATTTCCTCAAGTTAATACCTATGTTTAACTTATAGATGCTTATCGGCAGATTTGTCCATTTGGATCTGGCATTCTGGTGGGCCCTCTTGGTGAACCAATTGGTAAGTGACTTTAAATAGGAAGAGGACAATCTATTGATCTCTTTTTCAGATAAAGAAATTGTGTTTATATTACCTAGACTGAAGAGCAATCTACCCCTTCTCATGCATAATTAGAATGCATGTCATTTCAACTAGACTATTGGTTTTGTTTTATCCCTTGTGTTAGGCAGTTTTGAGATTATTTGTCACAGGATCCTTCAGTAAGTGTTTCTTTTGTCTTTCTGTTTGATTAACTTTGGGGCTAAGATGCGGATGAGTGTCAGGATGCAGAGAACTGCAAATTTGGTCAGTGTATCAACACAGATGGCTCCTTCCGCTGCGAGTGCCCATTTGGTTACCTGCTTCAAGGAACTGAATGCGTAGGTGAGTAATGGCGCCACTTCCTTTTCTCCTTTTGAATTTCCTCAGCACTGCTAAGTAAATCCAATCAAAAATGCATTTGCCTGTGTTTTCAAATGTGTTTTCCTCCAGGTAACTGGAGTTACAATTCTGAGACTTTCATAACACCTGTGCTTTTCTTTTATTTGTTTTTACTGTTCCCAGACACTGATGAATGCTCGGTAGGAAACCCATGTGGAAATGGAACTTGCAAGAACATTATTGGAAGCTTCGAATGTACTTGTGAAGAAGGGTTTGAGCCAGGTCCAATGGTGACTTGTGAAGGCAAGTATTTATTTATTTGGAACTTTTTTTATACCGTCCACTACCGAGGTCCCAGGCTGGTGTGACAGTAAAGCAGAGTAAAATAAAATAAAAGTACTGGCCCCAGGGTTCGTTGAGTGGACTTCTTCAGCAAGTATGCCTAGTCCAGACAGTGATGTCTCTCAACACTCTGCCGCTCTACTGAAGGGAACATATACGGTTTATACCGTGACTCCATGTAGGAATAGGAGAGCACACAAATAATGCTCATCTCTAGCTTATGCACTGCTCTGGGAGTGCAGAATTCAGATGTATCGGGGAACCTTTTTATGTAAACATCATTTTAATTGTTAAAACATATGATCTGGCCAGGGCAACTTCTTCTTCCTTCTCTTTCTCCTCCTATATTTTTATTTACTTAATTTATACTGATAATTTTAATCTTATATTTGTAAATCAATATATTTTTTGTATTTTGTAATTAATGGTAATTTATTATGTGCTATTGTATTTCATTGTATTTTATCATGTTGTAAGCCGCCCCGAGGTTTCGGCAAGGGGCGGCATAGAAATGTTATAACAACAACAACAACAACAACAACAACAACAACAACAACAACAGTGGGAAAGAATCCAATAATGGGCATTTCTAGATAGGTGGGTCAATCCAGTGTTATGTGCTAAGGAAAATAAGAGGTGCGATAGTATTAGAGAAAGTGAACAAAAAGGCGGACAGCAAATGCGTGGAGAAAAAGAGAATGGGGGTGGCAGAGGGAAGGTGGGCACCGAGTGGGGTTGTGGGTTTCCAGTCCTTAATAGCAGCGGTAGGGGACTTCGCTTCAGCCCGAATTGGACTTGAATTGAGGCACGCACGTCCTGCGCGTGGGATCCCAGGGCAGCTGCTTGGCCACTGTGTGAACAACAAGTGGAGCCGGAGGATCTGGTGCCACGTGGCTCTTCTCTCTCCTCCTCCTCTTAACTCCGTCAATGGCTCATTTTCTTCAGGCTCAGTTTGAAAGCTCAGATACCCCATTGCCTTTTTGATGATCTCTGGATATCTGAAGCCAGATTTATCCAGCCTACCCTCCTGAGAGCCTCTCAGCCTCTCCCATGAGCCACCGAGTCTTGCCCAGCCACCCTCTCCTTTCTCTTGAAACAAAGCTTGCAGCAAGACAGGAGGCATCTCCATAAAACTTCAAGTCTCTCCTGTCACTTTTTACAGCAATCCCTCAGGGCCAAGAATAAAAGTTGTCCAGGGTGATGGACCACTCAGGAGCATTCTGCAGAGTAGCTTGCAGGGCACCTGTCATACCTGAGTGTTCAGGTGCCCAAGGAAATAAAAGCGACCTTAGAACTCAGCCTACATTCAGAGCTGGAGAAGTGGCATCTGATTCGTGATGCAACTGTGTTTTCTTGGGAAGTTCCGCATGCTTTTCCCCAGGAGCTCTCTAAAAGACTTGGAAAAGCACAGCCTATTCTGAAGCGAAATGGGTGGTCTTTCCTCTCCAGAGTGCCAGGAAATGTCGAAGGAGGCGGTGTAGAGAATTGAACCTGGTGGCGCAAGCATAGGAATGGGAGAGGAAGAGAAGTGAAGGCAGGGAGAGTATTTTACCGAGCACAGTCGGATGAGAACAGCAATGGCATGTGGACAAGCAGTGGGCCTTGCTGGAGCCCTGGCATGGCCGGCTGTGCAGCGGACCAACTCCAGGGCACAGTGCTGTCCTTATCCACAGTCCCCGCTGCTTTTCTGATGCTCAGGAAGGATGCTTGATTCTGACAGCAAACGAGGGGCATGGCACGGCTGGGGAAGGGATCAGGCCTCTCGCCCAGCTGCAGAGCACTTGGGGCCCCTTGCCAAGGAGGGGCAGCCTGAAAGCTGTTGTTGCTTCCCGGGAGCAGGAGGGGAAGCACAAGCAATTGGAACCGTGAGCTGGGGCTACTTTCCATGATTCATTGTGGATGCGTTTGTTTGCACAGATGTGAATGAATGCGCTCAGAATCCGCTCCTGTGTGCCTTCCGGTGTGTGAACACCTATGGATCCTATGAATGCAAATGCCCTGCTGGCTACGTTCTCAGAGAGGACAAGCGGATGTGCCGAGGTACGATTCCTGAACACCTTGCGGTTTATAAAATGGCAGCTACCCTATCACTTAAAGTAACCTTTTAAACCTCCCTCCCTCCCTCCCTCCCTCCCTCTCACTCTCTCTCACTCTCTCTCTCTGTGTTGCAAAGATGAAATTCATGTTACTTCCAGATTGGCAGTTGTAGCATTGTTATAAAAAACTGCTTGCAAGGCAGGCAAGCAAAAACAAATGGTACCTCATTAATTAACTTTAGGTTGTAACGGGAAACATATGTGAATACAAACAGGGCAGACACATTTCATCCTTTCTCCACTCTTGTTTTGAAACATAAGCGTTCTTTCAAGACTTTAACAGCAGTTCTTCTTCGTGGTCTCTGTGCATCACACACATGGGCTCTGAGCCTTGCAGGGCTCTGTTCTTGGGAAGATTTCCAGGCGAGATTTGTCCTGGCGGGAGCCCCTCCTCTCCCTCCCCTGGAATATCTAGGAGGCATTCCCACCCTTTCCCCAGATCTGCTCTGACCACTACTACGGATGCCTCGGGATTATTCCTCCTCCGGTATACTTTGAGTCTTGTTCTCTCTCTCAGGTTTTTCCTGCTTTCCAGCTACTGCTATCCTCTCCATTTTCTCTTTTCACCCCACTTTACCCCTATTAACCTTCTATCCCAAAAAAAATTTACAACATCCCTCCAACCCATTGTAGACTGTTTCTCTGCTATTCTTATCCTTTTCTGCTTTCTTTTCTTTCCCTTCTGGATGGCACTCAAGGTGCCCTTTTGGAAGTGTGTTCCTTACGGGAGCCATCTTCGTCCCACAGACGGACGCTCTGTGTGCCTTTTCTCTTTGCAAGGGGGCATCTCATGGAAGCCTGGAAAAATCGAGCTGGGCGTCTTCAGGCCAAGTTGTGGAGCCACGGCCTTCAGGCTGCCAATTTGGCCTCGAGTGCTGGCAGACCACCTGTCTACCTCTTGGTCTGGCCCAACTTCATGCCTGCCATCTGTGCATTCACAGAACCTGCCCACCGATCCCAAATCAGGGCCAGACAGATTCACGTCCAGACCTTCCTCTGGGCCTGTACCCAGCTGGTGCAGGTTGGCCGTTCACCAGCATCCCCTGCTTCTGAGGCCACTATGTTGGTCTTGAAAGGACTGGGAGGAAGGGTGGGAACCCCTCCTGGAGGGGAAGGGTGGTTTCTGCCAGAACAAGTCTAGCTTGGAAACCTTCCGGACAATGGGCCCCATACAGGCACCGGGCCCCATATGTGTGGATGCACAGATGACCACTTGAAGAACGATATTTACAGGTAGGCAACCTAACCTTCTTATCAGAGGATTTTGATTTCCAGTCACTACAAGTTGAGGAGAAACCTCTAAACCTCCTGAAAATTGGAAATACACCCCCTGCTAAAGATGTGCAACCAGGTCTGCCTTACAGAGGGTCAGAATTACTGAATACAGTCCAGACCTGTAACAAAATATTGAAGTATTGGATTGCCTGCTAACAGGAGTATTTCTGTCCTACATTCCAGCCAGCCATAGTCCTCTCCAAGAAGCTGTCAAACAAGCCACCCTAAGTCTTACCCCACCTCCCTTGATTTTCCATTGTATCTTTCCCAGTTGTAGCTACCGAGCATACTCATTCCTTGTTGGGATGTTTCCTCCTCTATCCTCTCCTCTTCTCTCTTCTTAGTATGCTTTGTTGTTCTACTCGTGGGGGGAACACCCTGACCTTGCTGAGCTCCCTCTTGTTTCCCATTGATCCTGTTTTCTCTTTAGTTTTCTTATCACTTGCAACCTGAATTCTCCGTAAGAGGGAGAGATGAATGTGCAAAAAGATTATCAGTACCCTCCTGTCAGAGCAATACAACAGTGAATCCAGTGGCCAGGAGAGGGTGTGTGCTCTTCCATACATTCGGCTATACTGTTAACTGAGTGGAATGATGTAACTGACGTCCTGCACCAGCAGGGGGTTGGGCCAGATGGCCTTCTTGGCCCCTTCCAATCCTACTGTTCCATGATTCTAGATTTGGAAATTTCAGTTCTGAATCACACCCTCCCAATCATGATCTACTTCCAAATCCGAGTCAGGCTTTGTGAAATAACATTCCACTATTGAGCTGCATTGTATGGGATTGAAGAACTGCTTGCCATTGCAAAACACACCTTCAGTGAAGGTTCTCTTAGCCCCACAGCTAAGAAGACCTTCCTGAAGCATGTGATCAGACTCCTACCATGGTCAGTGCTTATTTTTTAAAGGAAGCAATTACCTAGATCATTAACAACCCTTAAAAAGACAAATTATGAAGGAATATATGTGTCTGTGAGATTGCCACATTCCACAGATACATCAAGCTTAAATAGTTGAGTTTCTGTATCCAGAATTAACAGCATACAATTATATACGTTATTACAGTGAACACATATTAGGTATTCCATATTTATTAAATACATATTTAGCTTGCCCAATAGCCTAAAGGCTCTCTTTTTGTCCGTGTCATTGCTTTTTCTATATATCACTGATAATGAGGTGATATTCACATTTTTGCTTTTTAAAAGTAGGAGCGATGCACTAGTTCAAACCGTCAGTAATTTTTAAAAATGTTTTCAGATCAGGATGAGTGTGAAGAAGGAATTCATGACTGTGAGTCAAAGCAAATGATGTGCAAAAACCTGATAGGAACTTACATGTGCATATGTGGGCCAGGATTCCAGCGAAGACCCGATGGTGAAGGCTGCATGGGTAAGTCCAGATGACATCCTCTAGCAATCCAAACCGTAAGTGCTAATTGTAAATGTATTTTTAGGGGGAAATCTGCTAATGAAGAATATTCTCCTGGCATTTGATATCATTTAGTTGTTCTTGGAATCAGTAGGATTTAAGTCATGGCTTACTTGGTCCATTGATTCAGTAGGACCTAAGTCCAAATAATTTCATTTGGATCTAACAGCACTTAATAGAAGTCACTCACAAGATGAAGGTGATCGGGCTGCTAGACAGAGGATGATCCCTCTTTTCCCCCAGTAAGAAATAACAACTCGTGTGTGATGTGCCAACAATGCACACATGTTATTTGTTCCTTTTTATACGTGGAAACCCGTAACCCCGTAATGCTGGAGTAGCATTTCACAAGACGCTGAAGATCTGTCTAGATCTCTCCCATGCGATTCATCTGATATTGAGCACCTGAAAACCGTAGATTCCTTTTTTTTCCAGTGCAAGGTTCTAGCTTTTATGGTGTGGAGAAATATATTAAACATATTTAAGCAGCATCTAGTGAAGTTCTTATAGGAAGAAGGCTGAGCAGGGCCTCCTGCGATCTAAAAGAAAGTTGCCAGGTAAACACCAACATTAGGAGCAGTTAAGATTTTCAGCTCTCTGAGGGCTGCACCAGACGAAGTGTTGGAGAGCTTCAACTGGATCTCCAAACTCTTTTAATTCTTTTAAAGGCATCTGAGTGTGTATGAGTTAGAGCAGACCCTGGGAGAGGTTTAACCTTTTCACCCTGTGCTATTTCTCAAAAGCTGCTCTTTGCTTGTTAGCAAAAGGGAAGTAATCAGAGGGGTTTGGTGTAGACTGGGAAGAAGCGGCACAGAGGAAAAGTTAACTCCTCTGTACTGTGGCCTGTAAGTAATCCCTGTTCTCTCCCTCAACCTCTTTAAAGAACATGAAAAGAGAGAAGAGATTGCCCACCTCTAAGCCAGTTTAATCCCAGGTTGGAAACTGTCATTAAGGAGTCCCCAAAAGAACGATTGATGCTGAAAGGCACTGGACCTGAATAAGTGTTTCTCTCCTTACCTGGAGATGCCTCCCCTCCCTTTCTAGGGATTGGTGCCTTCCCATGTCTTCCCTCCATCCTCTTTCAGTTTCAGCAGTGTAGTCTGTAGCACTATTCATTTTTCTCAGGCCCCGAAATAATGAAATGTTGCTTCAGATTGTCCATGCTGCAGAAAATAATAACAGTGGAGCATGATAGTAATTTAAAATAATTTCTTTTAATAAATGTGTGAAACTCATGGTGAGTATATTTCATGCAATAAGGAATAATTCCTTTTATTGCATTTAAAGTTTCAGTATAAAGATGTATAATTTTGGAAGAATTTTTGTGGTTCTTTGGAGAAATGTGGAATTACATAAACTAATGACACTGATTTGGGGGCATCTCCTTACAAACATACAGATGAGAATGAGTGTCAAACCAAACCCGGGCTGTGTGAAAATGGACGCTGTGTAAACACACAAGGAAGTTTCCGATGCGAATGCCATGATGGGTTCAGTGTCAACGAAGCTCAGAATGAATGTATAGGTACGTATGAAGGGTCAGGCAGAGGAAGGGTAACGCACCCCTAGGGCAGTGAATATGATCCGATCTCTTGTTTGTGGCACCTCCTGCCATCACAAAATCTGTCAATTGAGACAGTGCATTTGTCTGAAAGTCACTGTATAGTTCAGCTGTCAGTGTGGGAAGTTAGTGGGGATGTTACTGGTTTTCAAGGGAATGGAAGGAAGTACATGGGGGTTGGTTAAATGATGGGACCTGTTGTGGCAAGCAGAGTGTCCCATCATTCCTCGGGCTCCTTCAGACATGCATGCACACTTGGCAAGTGCAAGCAGGGGCTGAATAGGTGAATTGACTCCTTCCGAATGAAGTTTGAGATGAGCTGGATTCCTATGCATTTCATATACAAGGTGGTATATTTGTGACACTTTTGTGTATATAAGTCACCCCTTGGTATTTATTGATGGACACATATCTGTTCCCATTTATCTGTCCATTTATAACTATGCCTGTCTATTGCACTCTCAGCTGACTTCAACATCCTTAAGCACACAGGCACAAATGCCCAGGACTCATCAGAAGGACACCTCCTGATAAAGGAAGTGATAACCTGGATCTCTTGGGTTATGCAGGTTATGCGGGGCGGGTGGGGGGGGGGGCGTTCTGCAGCTCCACCTATTACTCTGTTTCTGTTTCCATGTAAACTGAGACAGTGTTCTGCTGCTGTTGGTTAGAAGATTCTAACTCTGATGATTAATTTCTTCCTGTCTTCTTTCTCTAGGTTTCCTTGCAAGGGCAGGTGTTCTTACCTGTATAGGAGATTTTTCTTCTCTAAATGTCTTTTCTTCCTTTCCTTCAGACATCATGCCCTCTTTCTTACTGCTACCTGGCTTTCATTCTTCCTGCTACAGTTCCTAAATAGCTAAGTACGTGCTTATTTCTTTGGTCCCCCTGCTTCAGATTCCCTTTGTCCTCCCCCCATCCCGCAAATCAGGTTGTGCCTCCTGACACGGCCCGGGCCCTCCCTTACCTTGCAGATAACAGAGAAGGCTACTGCTTCACTGAAGTCCTGCAGAGTATGTGCCAGATCGGATCCAGCAACAGGAACCCCGTGACCAAATCGGAGTGCTGCTGCGATGGTGGGCGAGGATGGGGGCCCAACTGCGAGCTCTGCCCCTTCATGGGCACAGTGGCCTTCAAAAAGCTTTGTCCTCTCGGCCGCGGATACACGACCAGCGGAGCAGGTATCCCTCTCCATTAAAATCGGTGCGGGGAATCCAGAACAGCAGTTGAGAAACTCGAGCGTCTGGCACGCCAGTTCAGATGGGCTTTAATGTGGCATCTCTGTCGGCGACTGCAGAGCCACTCTACAGCAAGATCCCTGTTATGGTTTGAAATTGTACCTTGGGAAGGGGGAGTCCAGGGCAGAGACCCCAGGAAGGCACCTCTTTTGTCCTTGCAGTTTTCCCACCTCGCCTTGTTCCTAAAGTGGCCCTTCTTATTTTTAAAAGAGTAACATGTAGCTTGGCTCATGTTCTAATGAGCTTCCTCGAGTAAGCAGCACATGCCTGTCCTGAGTTGAATCCTGATCTTTGGGACTCGAGTCAGTGAAACCTGAGGGACACGAGGTGGATCGCTTCTTCAGCAGAAACTGAACTGTTCTTCAGGCAAGAAGAAATGATTGGAAAGGGACACTTTGGTGCCTGTTCTTTCCAGTAGGTGTTCCTGGAAGGCCTCTTATGCTGCAGCAGCCAGCCAAGAGCTTTCCTTCTCAGTGCTTCCTTGTTGCCCATGCTACTGTAGCTCAGGTTCAGTAGCGACCAGGGGAAAAATGAAAAATGCAGTGGTGCTGGTGGATTTTGCTTATTCAATACATCCATATCCAGCTTTTTCAGAATTGATGCCCCTTTGCAATCAGCTGCATGGGTAGGCACATGCTGTGTACTGGGAAGGGGCTGGCGACGGCAAGGCAATGAGTTCAGTGAGCCAGGGGCTAGTAGTGCTGAGCTGGAGGAGTAAGGCATTTGTTGGGCTGGATAGCAAGGAATTGGAGTGGGAAGGGGCGTTTGCATGTGCAGGCTGAGGGTTCCAGCTCACAGAGCCACGGGCATGCAAAAGGGAGTACAGAAAGCTTTCCTAGATCTTTGCAAGCTACATGGCCAGTCCTGGAGCTTCCAAGATTCACTGCAAGTGTGAGGACAGACTGCCATGTTCATAGTTTGCCCACGGTGCCAGAATATCTGGGGCTACTGGGTTACAGCACAGCACATTGAAGTGGCTGCCTTCATATCCTCCGGACGTTTGTGGCCATGGACGCCAAAGCTCCAGCAGCCAAGGCTGCCTGACCACTGTGGTCTTCAGTGGCGTGTGCTCCTTGCCTGTTGGTGTGCAGCATCCCTCGTGCCCCTTCCTCCTCTTCCCCACTGGTTTAGGCAAGCAGCCGCATGACCTCAGGGTCATGAAACACATTGTCACAAACCTCACTGTGCGATTCTCAAGTCTGGCTGGGAGAAGGAACTTAATGGACGTGGCTCAGTGCATTGCTTGGAACCCAAGCCAAGAGGGGAAATGGACAGAGTTTGCCAGGCTTAAAATGATAACCCTTAAGTCTGCTGTTGTTTCATTAGGGCAATCACATTTCAACATTTATTGTTCCTTTCTGTTCTGAAATGACACAAAGTCTTGCGTAATTCTTTTTTACAAGCCTCCTAAATCAAAGGTGCATCTCTTCATTGATGAGTTGTATTTTTGTTTCCTGTGAAAGCACAAGAGAAGCACTGAATCCAGGCACACTGTTTCTTTTTCTTCTGTTTTGCCTTCTCTATAGTCCTATTTATTGAATTGCAGATATTGACGAGTGCAAGGTTATTCATGATGTTTGCCGGAACGGAGAGTGTATCAATGAGAACGGATCGTACCGCTGTCATTGCAAAGAGGGCTACACTACAGATATAACTGGGACACTTTGTATAGGTAGGTTTTTCCTTTTTGAATGCATATAAAGTAATTCATTTACAGAATTTATCAAGATCACAGAATTTAGCAAGATCATAGCATTGTCTGGTTGGCTGACAGTATTAAAATCTCAAAGTACAGTAACAATTTGGCAATCAATAAGGCAAGAGCAATCAAGATAAACACGTCAGCAGTCGTGAATCAATAGTATAAGAAGACAATACTTAAAATGCATGGCAGATATAAAATGTATTGGATTAGAAATAGGCAGCTCTAATGCTTTCCTTTGACATTGTTTAAGAAAAACAGGACTTTATAGGAAATGATGAACTTGATTTTATGGATGAAGAAGAGGAAGATAGTGACTTCTGTCCAATTTGGATTATTATCATCATTATTATTTTATTGGTTGGAGAAACGGGACTTGTTTTTGATCTAATGTTGCTTTCAAGTTATTTAAACGGATTCTAGTAGGATCATAAAATGTTAAAAGATATGTAGTAGGGGGCTGATCCAGTAAATCCGGTGTGTGCGATGATTTTTTTTGTAGTTCTAGTTGTAAAATCTTAATAAAATATTCGGAAAAAGAAAAGAAAAGAAAAGAAAGATGCAGCTCTAGAAAGCCTGGGAAAATAAAACAATGTTTATCTAGAATTGCAAAACGTATGAAGAAGGGAGGCATCCCATGGATGTGTAGCCCCTGCACATCTCGTTTGATAGACTCCCAGCAAGCAGCCCCTAAAGACAATCTCTGAGTTCAGGTAGGAGAGGGAGGCAATCCTCCTTCGGGTGAGGATTAAAGATCAAAACCACGGATTGGGCATGAAATAGGCAGGGAATCTGTTCAGAGGATAAAGGACAAGTGTACACATTCAAATCATCCAGTATTCCTTAATACCTCTGCAATCCATTTCTGGACTGGAAGAAATTTTTGAGCCATTTTCAGAGATGCTGCTGTAGAACACATACACTACAGCGTGAAGTTTCTGCATTTGAAAGCTGTTACATTTCAGGCGATAACGGTTGGTACACAACCATTTCCATCTGTGGACCAGGATGCGTTATGGTTGTTTCACTCAGCATCCTCATTAGCATTCTTAATTTCCTAATTTCCTAAATTCTTAGTTTAGTATTATGTGCATGAGTACAAATATGCTTTGAGCTCGAGTATAGCTATTTTCCCTCTCCTTCTGACATGGTCAGGAACTCGGTATTTATTCCTACATGATTAAAAATGAACCCACAAGAAGTCTGGAGAATGCATCTCTTCTCTTTCTTTCCAGTACATGACCACAGAAGGAATAAACCAGGCTTCAGTTTCTCTTTAACAAGTTCCCAGTTTGTTGTTATGTGCAAGCCAGAAATAGAAGTTTTAAATAAACGCTGCTTTGATAAACAAACCAGCAAAAACCAAAAGGGTTTGAACTTGGGTTGCTCAATAATTGACTAGTGTTTCCTGGTTGCACCAAAAACCACCCAGGAATCTGATAATGTGAGACCAGGTTCTGGTTTATTCCTCCTCCTGCGGGAGAAGAGGGGAGGGTCACTTCGTGTAGGTTTGGGGGACCTATTTTTGCCCATGTATAAAATGGACTAATGCGGAAACTCGCTTATTCATCCTGTGACTTCATGTTGCAGCCACTGGATAGTGAACATACAGATGTAAAATAAACACATTTTCTCAATGTAGAAGAAAGTCATATTTATCATTCTGAAGTGTGGTGGAAGCCGCTGTGTTTCTCTCCAGCAAACTCACCTGGTCCTTTTTTTGCTGCCAGTTTGAATACTAATTTAAAAAATGATTATTCTTGTACCAGAAACATTTTATTCATGTTTTAATCTGTTCTTTAATGGATTGACTTTCATTAAGTTTTTACTGAAAGTAGTATATGCATTTAATTAGTAACTTCAGGGGTGGTTGTTATTAATTCCACATTTGGTTTTATCTTAACAAAAAGTTTTTCTGTTTTTTCCTTTAGATCTGAATGAGTGCAATGAGTCTCCAAAACCTTGCAATTTTATCTGCAAAAATACAGAGGGAAGCTTTCAGTGTTCATGTCCAAAAGGTTACATCTTGCAAGAAGATGGGAGAAGCTGTAAAGGTAAAAGCCGCTGAACCGTTCTACTAATTTTTCCAGCAATTTTTTGAGAAGGTGGTAAGTGGGAATGCATGAGAATCTCAGTTCTCACCTCCGAAAGGGAGTTCGCAGCAAATTATATTGTCACATAATTCCACTTTCTCCAAACCATTTTTGCCTTTAATTCAGCAACTAATGGGACCAACAAAACATCTTAAAGGGCTGAATTTGACCCAGAACTGTCTGGTAGCTGACCCTTAGGTAAACAAAAGGATCAACCAGGCACATGCAGAAATTTATTTATTTATTTTTATTTAAAACTTTTGTAGACCATCCCATTACTGAAGTCTCGGGATAGTTTAACAATAAAATGTAAGAAAAGAAAAGAAATTAATTAAAACACAGCATCCTAAAATTTAGCAATAATTTTAAACCCCACTTAAAACAGTCAGGTCTTAAAACATTGGGAAAATAAAAAGGTTTTGGCCTGGCACCAAAAAGAATAAAGTGCCAGTGCCAGGCAAACCTCTCTGGGGAGCCAATTCCACAATTGGGGTGCCACCATGGAGAAGGCCCTTCTCCAGGTAGTCATTCTCCTAATCTCCTTTTGGGAGGGCACCTGGAGAAGGGCGTCTGCCCCAGATCTTCAGGGGTGGGCAGGCAGGCACCTATGGAAGGTTGCGAGTTGTTTCAGAAGTACCTTTTTTCTTTACCCATACATGAGTTGAAAAGGTCAGGATTGATTACCTAACATCTTTATTTTTAGTTGTTAAAATAAAGATGTTATTTTACATGCCATGTGCATACCAAAAATATGTCAAGCAACCTGAAATGTGGAACCACACTCGATTCATCAAATGCACACATCCTGACATTAATGTAGTCACGGCCAAATGACTTGCTTGGAAAAGCAAATCCATTGTTTTGACAAAGGATTGTGCTACCTTAAAGACTAGCCAATTTAGTATGCCATAAACTTTCATGGATTAGAAGCTCCTTCATCTAGTCTACAGAAACTTATGCTAATACAACTGTTGGTCCTTAAGGGGCCACACAGCTCTATTTGTTGTTCTTGCTGCCAAGACTAGATATTTTGGCTTTGGGCACTCTTTTAAACTGTATTGGTATTTTATTGTCATAAGCTCCCTTGGGCTCTTTCTAGAACTGAACAGATGGCACAGAAATATGCTTAAATGATTTTCTCAGATGCAGTCTTTCTTGAGTCTTCTTGCTCAGAGAGATTTGCCTTTCATCGTGTAATATTATAGACGTCTCTTTTGATAATGATAAAGATCACACACTGAAAGGTGCACTTGTGCTTGCTTTCCTTTCAGACCTTGATGAATGTGCCACAAAACAACACAACTGCCAGTTCCTTTGTGTCAACACCATCGGGGGCTTTACTTGTAAATGTCCCCCTGGCTTTACACAGCACCATTCAGCATGTATCGGTGAGTAATGAAGACGCTGAAGCTTTCTTTCTGTCCCAAAGCTGCTGCTACACACTGCATTACCGTTGTGCTCAATGGGCAACAGCCCAGAATGCAGCACAGGTTCAATCCCCTTGCTTTTCTCCCGTGACGTGTTCCCCCCGGCGGCTCATGCTCAGTCTGTGTCCTTCAGCACCACCTGTCCTTTGAAAGAACTACGAGAAAAGCATTTCTGATGCGGCTCCTCTTATCTGCAGTCCTCACTCCTTCACAGGCGAAGACATCACGAGAAGGCCCTCACTCTGGCTCTTCTCCAAGTCTCACAGCATAAGCAGCACATTTGGGAAAGCCCTTTTCCAGTCAGTGCACAAGCTGCAGCCGATACCAGAAGGAAGGGTGTTTTCTCTGACTGAATGCTGGAGCTTTGTGAATGGCAGAGACTGCTCTGCAAGAGGCTTCCGCAAAAGTCCACCCCTGCCCAGCACACACCATGTTTGGCAGTTAATGAGTACTTGAAGGGAGGACACAGATGTTTGTGCAAGAGAGGAAAAGTTGCACAGCTCTTTAGCAGGGGCTAGAGGAACATGTGCTGTAGTGCATATGTTACGATAAGCACGCTCGTTTCCTTCAGGGTCTCTCAATTCATGTTTGTAATGTATCCACACTCTGTGACGCCCTGAACATGATACCATGTTCTTCTGGACTGCCTTTCCCATCAGCGGGCATGGGCAGTGGTCATGATAGAAGTTGCTGTCCGAAACACAATGCTTTGAAAAAGAATCTTTGAATGACACTTTTCACTGCAGAGGTTCATTTGCAGCCATCTTCCAAGGCCCCTGGAGAAGCTATTTGACTTGTCTGTATTCTTCTTAGATAATAATGAATGTGCCACTGACCTCAATCTCTGTGGAGCAAAGGGCATTTGTCAAAACACACCCGGGAGCTTCAGTTGTGAATGTCAGCGCGGCTTTGCACTCGACCAGACTGGTGTCAGCTGTGAAGGTACATAAGCTGGATGCACATGGCCTGTTGTTCTTTTGCGTATAGCGAACACATGCTGTGTACATGGGTGTTTAATCTAATCTCTCTCTCTGCCTGTGTTTCTTCCCTCTCTATTGATCTGCATTCTTTATCTCTGTAAAATATCAAAGTGCCTTCTGGCTAGACACATGAGATCCTTCCTTATCTCCTCTCAGTTGTTAAATTAGTTTGCCATTTACAGAGAGACACTTATATTTCAGCTTTAAGTGGTGCGATGTTTGGAAGTGGAGCACAATTTTTTCATTTTTTTTTAAATCCCTGGTGCCACTAACAGAAGGGAATTTTAGGCAGCAGTGTTGGATGAATGTCTGCCTGTCAGAGCAAGCAACAGTGGCCGCAGGGGCTAAAGATCTGACTCAGGAGAAGGCAGCTTCCTGTGCAGTAACTTTCTCAAGTTCTCTCCTGGCCTGGAGGGGATCTGAATTTCTTGTGAGGACGTGCAGTGTGGGTTTGCTAGCTTGCAGCAGACCCACAAACGGTGCACGTAACTGTTCCTGCCGCTTGGTCCGGCCACACATACTTCCCATTGCAACCAAATGTTTGCATGCCTTCTCAAGCTCAAGAGCGATGCAAAGGTGCCCGCCTCTATCCCAAAGAATCATCAAGTGAGACACAAGATCACCAGAGTGTTCTAGAGGTGCCTGCAAGGTTAAAATTCAATCTTTCTTGTTCTTCTGACAGTTGCCAATATAAAATGTGCAGGAGGAAATATGTCACTTTGAACAATCCCTGCATTCCAGTTTTGCACTTTGGCAGCACCAAAATGCTTCTTGTGTAGCCATCATTAATGTTCCATTCATTAACAAGACTGAGGCCTTGTTGCATTCTGTGTAAAGCCGGGATGGGGAACCTCAGACTCCACGAGCAAATGTAGCCTGCAGAATTCCCCAGCTGGCCATACAATCCCCGCCTCTCAAACGGCCCTCCCTCCTCCTCCCCAAAGTAAAGCATGTCGGTACATTGTCATAAGTTATGTATACAAGTTATAAATAACATTATGCATGGTTATTTATAACTTTATACATTGTTATTTATCATTATTATTTATACATTATTAATATTGTTATTTATTTATCAATAACTTGTATAATATATACAAGTGATGCAAGTGATGCATATGGGTATAAGTGTAACATTCGTGCAATAATGCAGACACATGGATATAACAAATGCTCATGTCTCCAGTTACATTACAGATTTTCGTAGTGACTTGAGAAATGATTCAGAAAATCCCACCTGTGCTTTCTTTTTTCTAGATGTTGATGAGTGCGATGGAAATCACAGGTGTCAACATGGCTGCCAAAATATAATTGGAGGATACCGGTGCAGCTGCCCACACGGATATCTGCAGCATTACCAGTGGAACCAGTGTGTCGGCAAGTTTCTTTCCTTGCTCTCTGGGCCAAAAAGGCCATTACTGAGCATGCAGTAAGATTCTGACATTGTTGATCGCTGTCCAATTCCAATAGGTGCAGAGATGTTTCCATTACGCAATCCTGAAATGGAAAAAGAGGGGTACTGCAAAGTCCTTGTGACTAGCCAGGACTTTTACTCAGCTGAGTCAAGTTCGTTAGATCATTGCTTACTACCACTCAGCCTTGACTTAAAATTTATTTTATTTATATTTAGATTGCGATTTATATCCTGCCTTTTTCCTACAAAGGGCTCAAGGCAGCTGACATCTCCTCCTCCATCTTATCCCCACAACAACAACCCTGTGAGGTAGGTTGGGCTGAGAGTCTGTGACTGGCCCAAAGTCACCCAGTTGGCTCCATGGCTGAGCGGGGACTAGAACCCAGATCCTCTGAGTCCCAGTCCCATGCTCTTAACCACTACACCACACTGGCTAAGTCTGATTGTAAGTGGACTTTGCTGTCGGAGTAACTATTCTGTGGCAGGATGTACTTTAAATGAATGGGCTAATTTGGAATGCTTCTGGCGGAGCGCAGGTGGAAACACCACGACCGCAGCACGCTGGGCTTCCCGCTCTTTGTGCGTCCGGAATACAATTGGCACAGTGAGCATTGTGCAAGTCAGTCAACAAACGGCTTGCTTACTGGGTTGGATAACTTCACCGAAATGCTGCCTCACGGACACAGTTCTTGATTTTTTGTATCCTCCGAATCCATAGAGCTTAGACCCACATAACTGTAAGTAGATCTGTCAACGATCAGTGGGCATATAAAGATCTAGAAAAAACGGCTTTCATGGGGCTTAACAGAAACCCATCACTGCTCCCTTATCATGTGTACCAATTGCTCTTTGGAATTTTTGTAACAAACAAATTAATCTGTCCAAACTAACATTTCCTTGTCTGGCCCTAACCCAGTCAGTATAACTATTTATGAAGAAAGTTTTTAATTAGTTGAAGTGTAGGGCAGGAAGGGCTGTCCTTCGCGTCTTTCCAGATCCATGAGAAACTGCCTTCTTGTTTTCTCCGTATTACTGCAGTGCAGCATTGGCCTCCTAATATTAGGAAATCCTAGGAAATGCATGTAGGGATTTTTATTAGGAAATACATGTAGGGATATTTCCAGTACCTAATTTAATTGGTCCATATAAGTTCTTTCCTGGCGTTGCAGATACTGACTCAAGCTGCAGGAATCAACCATGTGTTTGTCATTGTTTGCTTTTGAAAGCATATAAAAATGCCTTTCGCTGTTATCATTGTGTTTCTCTAAGGGAGGTCTCTGGTTTTAATTACGCTTAAGAAAACTTGCTGACATTTTTACACAGTCTTCCATTGGGAATGTAGATGTTTCAGCTTCACCAGGGGAGTTTGCAAATTACTCAGAAGTTGCTTTCTTTTTGGAAAGATTGGATTAAAAGGGGGACATATGATTTAAATTAAAAATTTAATTTGCTGTTTTCAAGCTTTTATTGGTTTTATCAGCACTGGGGATGGGGGAGCCCTAAACCTCCTGTTCTAGCAAGTAAACCTGATATTTTCAGCAAAACTGTCAGACGAGTGAAGGTCCCTTAATATAGCTAAAAGAAAGTAGCATTTTGATTTTTAACCAGAAGCTGATGCATAGTCATGCAATTTTTATGGTTCTTTTCATGTTACCTGCCTTGCCACAGAACATTCTCTCTTTGCCAGGCTCACACTTCATTCCACCTGTGAACAAGCATCATATATCTAAGGCAAATCCCAGTTGCAATGAAATCAGAAAGGAGGCATGGGTCCTGCTTCTCTAGATGCTGGGACTGCCTGTGGCCTTCAGAACATAAGAAAAGCCCTGTGGGTTGGACCCAAGGTCCGTCTAGTCCAGCGTTCCATACACATGGTGGCAAACCCGCTGTCTATGCAGTCCTGCCCCCTCCGATGAAGAAGGCAACCCATAGCCAGCAAGGCTGGTTGCCGCTGATAGTCCTCTTCTTCCATAAAGCTCTTAAAGATTGGTGGCCATCACTGCTTGCCATGGTGGCAGATCCCATAGTTCAACCATATATTGTGTTAAAATGTATTTCCTCTTGGCTGCCTTAAACTTTCTCCTAGTCAGTTTCATGGGATGACCACATGCCCGACTGTTGCCATCCTCTCCTTTTTCTCCACTCTACGCATAATTTTAAGCACCTCCATCCCGTCTCCCCTTCCCTGCCTTTTCTCTAAGCAACACAGTCTTAGATGCTGCAGCTGTGCCTCACGGGGGAGCTGCTGCAGCCCCCTGATCATTTCCGTTGCCCTTCTCTGCGCTCTTTCTGATTCAGTGATGTCCTTATTCAGGTGAGGTGACCAGAACTGTCTTGGCTGCCTCAGTCTTCATGAATGTTGATCCAGAGCTGATCTGTGGGTCCAGTGTAGGCAAGTCTGTGCAAGCAAGTGCCCCATTCCGGCTCTCACCTCTCCCCCAGGGTCATGTGATAGCCTTAACAAGCCATCATTCAGCTCCAGCTTACCAACAGCAACAAGGGGATTATAATGTTGGCTTTAAAAACTGTATCATGTTATCTTTATCTGCTTTACAGATCTTGAGTTATCATAACAATATAGATTAACAGAAGAAGACAAGAAAGACAAACATGTTTCTAACCAGTCATAACAAAGTGTTCAGGGGGATAATAATAGTGATGTATTTAAAGGGTTTAAAGGATTGCTGTAAGAATTGCTTGGATAATGTATGTGAACTACTTTGACCATTCGAAAAGGATATCATTGTAAATATTTTCGGTAGCCAAATGACAATACTTTTGTAAATATTTTTGCTTGATTTTAATCGCAAGTGCTAGTTTGGGTATCCTAGAAGAGGAAGGTAGCTAATGTGCATAAATAAATATGTAGCAAAGCAATTTATAGCACTAGTTTGTAGCCCATAGAAAATTAGCCCAACCACTAGGATAATCTGAGATGGATTGACTCCATAAAGGAAACTGCAAGGCAATCAAACCTTGCAGTCAGTCCTAGAGGAGATCAACCCTGACTGCTCTTTAGAAGGCCAGATACTGAAGATGAAACTCAAATACTTTGGCCACCTAATGAGAAGGAAGGACTCCCTGGAGAAGAGCCTAATGCTGGGAACAATAGATGGCAAAAGAAGAAGGGGGCGGCAGAGGATGAGGTGGCTGGATGGAGTCACTGAAGCAGCTGGTGTGAGCTTGAGTGGACTCCGGGGGATGGTGGAGGACGGGAGGGCCTGGAGGAATGTTGTCCATGGGATTGTGATGGGTCGGACACGACTTTGCGTCTAACAACAAGCCTTCAATATGGCAGCTGACAGTAATGATTTAGATAAAGAATATTCACTGTTCCAAAACCCCTCTGCAGAGGAATATGGAAGAGTATAGAAGTCTTGTAAACCAGTCGAACAGTTCTGCCCATTGTGATTTCTAGCTCATGGGTGCTTGGCTCCTCCTTCATCAGAAAGCCCAACTTCATCAGAAAACTCAAACAGCTTTTGTGCTGGACACGTGATGTGGCTCCAAGAGGGCTCCCCAGGAAGTGTGGAAATCTGATCGGCGTTGCTTCTCTTCCAGATGAAAATGAGTGCCTCAGTGCCCACATCTGTGGCGGAGCGTCTTGTCACAACACTTTGGGAAGCTACAAGTGCATGTGCCCTACTGGATACCAGTTTGAGCAGTTCACGGGAGCGTGCCAAGACGTCAATGAGTGTGGCTCTTCGCAAGCCCCATGCAGCTATGGCTGCTCCAACACCGAAGGCGGCTATGTCTGTGGATGCCCACCTGGATACTTCCGAATAGGACAAGGGTAAGAGGGTTCTTAGCTGCAAGTCACACGTCCGAGTTGCAGGGGCCAGACCTAGTCAACTCTCTTTGCGTATAAGCAAGCCAGAGGATGGTGCAGGTGCGTAAACCAAAGAAAATATGTACGTGTTAAGAGGCCTTTTAATGCAAGCTGTGTTCACAGAGGTAGCAAGGCGTGGAGGGGAGAATACGTGTATGCTGTGCATTGGTTCATTCATGCACATGTGACCTCTGATCTTTCATCGATTAATCGGTTGCTCAGTACTTGAAGACTCCCAGGCAAATGTATGAACTCTTTCTGCTGAAAAGTATTAAGCTGCAGGTGTTGATTTGTCTGTGATGTTATGTCTGCAATTTGTGAGTCACCAGCTGATGCTGCTCCTGTCCATCTGGAAGGGCCATGAATGTTTGAACTGGCCCTAAGTCATAAGAGATACTTAAATCAGATGGCTTAGCAGTCCATGGCCAGTTAGAAGCTGAATCAAGGGAAAAGAAAAAGGGTCATGGTTCAAAGGGTTGAAGGCCCCCCCAAAACAGGGTGCTCACAAAAGATAAAGGTACTTTTCCACCAACTCACACAGTTGTGCAGCTATTACATTCATGCAGCTATGAGGAATTAAAGAGCACTTAATGACCTATTCATGAAACAAAAAGTTGACCAGGAAGACACCAACAAGGTGTTCATACCATGCATTCCTAGGGCAGTATCTGAGAACTGTTTTATATATTGTTTTATATGTTGCTGTCTTTAAAACCTGTGCTGTTTAGGTATTAAACTTGATGCATGTGTCTTTTCAGCTGCATGTACATAGAGTGGGGGAGGACTTGTAGATCAGGGGATGTAAATGCTGTTGATGAAGAAGGTAACATTGCATTTCCCTGCTTCAGTGTCGGAGCTTAGCTTCCACTGCCGCCACTAGGGCTCCGTAGGAATTTTAACTGAGCAGATTTTGGCCTCAGCATCACTACACACGCTAGAGAAAAGGCTCTGGCTAACTGTCACCTGTCCATTCAATTTCTTAGGCACTGCGTTTCTGGAATGGGGCTTGGGAAAGGGCATGGCCAGGACCTGTCGGTCAGTGGTGAAGTAGATGACAATTCGCTTTCTCCAGAAGCATGCTACGACTGTAAAATCAATGGGTATCCAAAGAGAGGAAGGAAGCGGCGAAGCGCTAACGATACGGACGCAGTGGATGCAGAGGTAATGCTCTACTCTCTGGGATGCACACGCTGTCCGTTGCTTCCCAGGAGTCCTCCTCCAGCCCCTTCTTTCATTAGCTTTTTGATGCCGGTCATTACTGAGGACTGACATGACTTCCTCAGATTGGTGGCGTACTATTTCTTCTCGAGTTACTATTTCTTCTGAGTGTGCCCTCACCATGGACTTCATGGGGGAAGTTAATCAAAAACTATTTTGAGCATAACGTAATCAGTGGCATGTCCGTGCCAATTTCCTGTGAGGCGATTAGGTTTTGTGCTTCCCTGCCTAGGCTCCAAATCGCTGGCCGCGTGAGAGGAGGGCATGACCACTGCTGTTTTGGCAGCCCCCAGTCTGACTCACATCTAGCTCTGCCCCAGCGAAGTATCGGGAACCGTTGCCATATGAAAGCAAACTACAGCATGCAGAGCAAAAGGCACCGGTTTGTTGTGCATTGGCCCCCAGATTTATGTTTGCACAGGTGCAGTTGCTCAGTTCCCACCGCGCGACCATTTGTAGGCTCTCAGAGACGTGAAGGTTTACGGATTTTGCTGTCGTCTGCAAAAGCTGTAGGTCTTTCAAGCTCTGCCTCTGCAAAACAGTTGAAAGGGCTACATGTGTGAAAATGAGGCTCGGATGCTCTGGCCGCTGCCCTTTTCGGGGGTTTCTGTGCCGTTCTGGCCGTTGGTTCAGAGGGGTCAGTTTTCGTGGGTTTTCACTTACACACTCATTTCCTGTGTCATGTCAGCACAAAAGCTTAATGTGCCCACCCAGCTTTTCAGCATGAAACATTCACTGTATGAGCAGCTAGTGTTCGATCGCACAGTCCTACGTGGTTTAAATGAAAAAAGCAGGGTAAGGGGGAGAACCAGGTTTTGTCCTGGGAATATGCAGTGAGAGTGAGCCTTCCTTCATGCCTGAAAATGTTTTCCCCTGGAAGGCAACTGCCAAATCTCTGGGGAGTCTCACACGTTAGTTCTCCTGCCCCAGGCATCTGGCATTGTGCAAAAAGACACCCACAATATTCAGTTTGCAGGCTTTGACATGTGTTTCCTACAATTCACGGCAGCTCAGCTCAGCGTGAAATTGCCGCAGGATAATTGGAAAGAACGGTAGAGTTTTAGGAGGCAAAGCATCAAAATCAGAAAATAGATAAAAACCTGTAGCAATACCGTTTCCTTTCCCCTCTATTGTCTTAATGTATCTAATGATGATAAAAAGAAAACCCCTTTTTGCATAGTAGAGCAATTTGGCCAGTGTCCAGGATTTTCCTATTTTCTACAAATATTTGCACTGTCCCGAGGCTATATGCGTTGGGACAGCATACAAAAACTCTAAATAAATAATAAATAATAAATATTCTTTAAACAGCATAATTACAGGCACATTTTATAGGTGTCTCAAATGGTTCCCCATCAAAGTTTCTAGGAATCAAGCATGATATTCCTCTGGTAGTTTTAACTACCAGTGGATTATGGCCTGCATTTCTAAAATTGCATTTGAAGAACTAAATCCATATTTTTAGATTTACCTCTTGCCTTGACCTAATTTTTTTTCACCTTTCTTTCAGTGAACGGGATTGGATAAGTGCAGAGCATGTAACACTCATTTTTAACCTAGCTTTTCCTTTGGTGCATAAAGCTGGCAAATGCAAAGCCATCTGGCAGAATTCCATGAACTATATTTTGTTTATTTGAAATTCTCAATCAATCTGGACTTGGTGTTTTTCTGTCAAGTCAAAACCCCAAATGGAAGGTTATCCATTTTGAAAACTGACATTTGCACTTATATTGAGATCTAAAAGACATGGATTTAAAACAGAAACATTAACATTTCAGAGTTGTCATTGCACCAATGTCTGACACTCTTCTGGCTTTATTCCTACTGTCAGCAACTGTTTAATGCATAACTCTTGTCCTTAGATACCTGCTTAAAGTAAGCAAAAAAGCCCTAAGACAAAAACCGAGAGGAAGTTTGTATATGTGCTCCCAGAAGCCGAGTTCAAAAAAAAAAGGGGGGGGGGAGAAAAGAAAAAGACTCCACATTCCTAACTAATAACTTTGTGCTGTGTAAATATTCTGAGTAGCTGAATATTTTAGGCATCCCACGAACTGTCTGGATACCTCAGGTGGTTCTTGTGTCTGTAAGCATATAAGAAAGCAAGGGAGAAATTAAAGCACTCTGTTCTTTCACAGGATAAGCCTGAATCAGAGGCCACCGTTAACCTTGCCAGCTGGGATATCGAAAAGCCAGCCACCCTTTCTTTCAACATCTCCAGTCTTAATAACAAAGATAGCATCTTGAAACTGATCCCTGCTCTCACAACTCTGACAAATCACAACCGATATTTAATAGACCATGGGAATGAAGCTGGTTTCTTTAGGATAAATCAGAAAGAAGGAGTCAGTTTCCTTCACTTAACGAAGAAGAAGCCAGTGCCTGGAGCCTACTCATTACAAATCAGTAGCATTCCACTCTATAAGAAGAAGGAACTGCTCCAGCTTGAAGATAAACATGACAAAGACTACCTCAGTGGTGAGCTAGGAGACAACCTGAAAATGAAAATTGAAATTTTGCTTCATTAATACACCAACAAGAGACCAAATAATTAAAGCCAAAGATAGCTAGGTGAGACTTGAATGTTTTATTTCCCGATAAGGTTCTCCATATCACAGGTACAATTTTTCATGAATATATTTGAACATGTGAGCATTATTCCATTTCGACATAAGCAAGGTACAGGAAGAAAACTGTAGCTCACAACAACCACTTTCTCAGGCTTCTTGTAAGTGTAGCTACCTTGAATCATGAACACCAAGACTGCTGTTGGATGCTGTGGCGATAACCTATCAGCAGCGATACAGGAACACAAGTTCTATCAAGTGGATTCTTCTATATTTCTTTAAAAAATCTTAAAATCCGCTTCTCCAGCTACATCTTACTAGGTCAGCCGTTTATGATATCCATTTGGTGCTAGAAAATGTCCAACCTAGATTTTATAAATGCACTGTAATATATACACAACTTAGAAGCCAAAGAAATTACTCAGTCTAAATGCATCAATCAACCAAAGTTTATCTCCGTAGTTTATCTCAGTTATACCTATAATACAGTACATGTAAATTAAGTGTGTGTATACTGTAACCATGCTATTTTTATCCATGAAGCATTTGTAAACTAGATTAATAACACCCTTCATGTAAGGGTTCATAACGGTGCTTATAAGACCAACTACTTAACTGTATACACAAATCTGGTGATGGAAGTTCTGTGACAATCAAAATGCACTGAAGTCAGTGGGGACCATTAAACATTCTCAGAAGTCGCATGACACAGTGCCATCCAGTTACACGCTGACATAATGTAACACATGTTAAAGAGTTCCTACCATGATTCATATCAACTAGGGTTCAATGTCAAATGTCACAATAAAACAGTTCTTTTTTTAGTTCATTCTGTGGCTTCATATTCTTGCTAAATTGGATCAAACCACGCACAGGTTTTCAAGAAGACCTGCTCAGACATATACTCTAGGAACAAGGTGGACAGTGTAGGATTCACAGCATGTCTCTGGCCCTTGTGCCATTTTTCTATGGCTCCCGTTGCCTAGTGGATTCCTATACATAGAAACAGAGCGAGTCAGAAGGGGTCTCCCAGGCCATCTAGTCTGACCCCAGCTCTAGCCAGCACAGCTCACAACATGCCTACTACGTGCAATCTTAATGTCTACTGTCATATTTCAATTGAAAGCTATTAAATGTGCCCCTCAGCTTTGCTGAGGAGGCCATAATATTCTTCAGAGGCCACCTCCGGGATCCTGCATTCTCCGAGCTGGGATGCTGAGGGCTGAGCCCCTGCCCTGCACTGCCCCCTTGTGGCTCGTGTGGGAAGTACCATGGCAGCTGCCCACTCCCTTGGTTGCAGCTGGGCCTCAGGGCAGGCAAAAAGGCATGTTGGGATCAGGGCAGCCCAGAGACTGGGGCAAAGGACTTACGCCGATCCCTCTTGTGCCCCAGCCTCCTTCCCTCCCTCTTACCGGCTCTTTATCCAGACAGCAGAGAACAGCCATGTGGATAAATCGCCACTGAATCCAGGGGCTTATGAACATCTGCCCTGAGGACAAATTGATGGCACTCTAAAGCTACGAAACCCACATGGACAATTTACGGTTCTCAGTTGTGGGATGGCGGTGGAGGAAAGCAGTTAACCGAAGGATACAGCATCACCTCTATGTTCAATCTGGAATAACTGGAAATATTAATCCCCCAAATATTTAGTAATATACAGTAATTGGGCCATTCTAAAGTCTATCCCATTTTTGTCCAATGTTGAGAAATGTATCGATGTTGTTGTTATGATTATTAGTTGAATCATAAGTATAGAGACTTCATGCTCCATATCTATTAGAAACAATCACATTATAAATTATGTTATTCTAGTAACAGACAAGCCTGAGAGATGTATGAAAAGTCAAGCACTATTTGCTTTCTCACTGTGAATATGGGGTTTGTTTTATCATGCTTGCAATATTCCAGATTCTTACTCATCCTTTTTGAACGTGATCCTGTCACTTCTTCATCCTTTTAGCTACACCCAATGGGCAAGTTGCAGTGGGAAAGTTGCCTCCCAGATCTTTCGCATTGATCCAAAACTCTTCAGGCACAACTGCTGGCAAGGATTTGCCCAACACTTTGTTAACTTTGGTACCACTGAATACCAGTCAGAAAGGAGAAATAACCTTGATCCAGTTGACTCTCCACTCTCCTCGAAATCGTGATCGGGGCCCTCAAACTGGCAGAGCCTACTGGGCAGTGTAGTCCCAGTTCAGTGACTGGGGCAGCGCTTACAGCTCAGGTCCAGAACTGGTGTCCATATGTTGGCGACACCCTTTGGTTTCTCAGTTTTAGCTCAGCCTTCCTGTGGGGCCCTGTCGGGACCGGATGGCCAAGTTTCCCTCTAAATGTCTTGGCAGCAGTACCATGACTGAATTTCTCTTGTGGGCGTTTTCCCTTTCTGCATACCTTGTATGATACGGGGAAGAAGGGCCACTGCCCTCCTGGTGGGCCTGCAGCTTGCTTGGCCTTCCAATGAGCTGGCTTGCTCTGGGTAGAAGAATCAGAACAGAGATATTTTTCCTGTTTTGCTTAAATAAATCAGGTATGCATTTGTTTTGCAAATGTGCCACACAGGCACTGTACTACACTAGCTATTTTCCTATTTAATAGTGGTTGATAAAGCTAAGCTTTCCTGATACCATTTTTAAACTGTTGTTCAGCAGCAGCTTATTTTCCTCCACAGTAGCTGATTCCTTATTTCCCAAAACTCTGTTGCAATCGTACCTTTAAGATTTGAAATCTAAGAACAGCATTATTGGTAATCAGCAATAGCAACAATCTAAATCTAAATCTAAATCTCAAGTCTTCCAAATTCAGGTGGGTGAATTTTGGCATTGGACAAAGTCCATCAGGTAGTGAAAGAAGAAAAGGCAGTACTGGATTCTGATCTGTAGCTTCTGCATGGGAAGGTTATTCGTAGCAATTTAATGGTGTGAGAGATAAACTTAGCAGCTTTATAATGTTAAGGGACGCCAGGTATGTGATGTCAGAGGTTCCCTTATGCAGCAACCAACACTGTACGTGTGGGGGGTGTCCACACACCCCTCTTTCCACATTGACAGGGAAGGTCTGAAGGGAAATTGAAGGTGGGAAGGCTTGATCTGGACAAACTCACAAACTTGATTGAGGCGTGTTATGAATAACAGAATAACGAATAAAAATAACATTATGAATCAACAATCAACTGAACGAGATACATGAGAAAGTTCAACCAAATATGTACATTTCATTTCAAGTGAATTGCATTTTATAAACTCTGTCAAGAGGCATCCCAGTCTTAAATGCGCTGAAGCCGCTTATATAGGAATAATCCAATCCTGAAATCAGCTTTGAACTAACATTGGTTTATTGTGAATCATTCTGTAGCTGGTGCTGTTGTTGGTCTGTTTAAAAGAAACCACTATGCCAAAGGGGAAAATGTTGATGGGTAGGAATAACTTCCCAACTCAAACAAAGCACCAGACTTAACCATATTCAAACTGTGTTGGAACAGTTCTATCCTATTTTATTCTGTATCTTGTTCCATGTAGCCCCCATAGCAGCATAAACAGCATTTGGCACATACTAGGCCATGTTTACTTCTTTTTTACAAATATACCACTGATGTATTGTTATTTGTTGCTTGAACATATGTTGCCAAATATACCTTCCTCATTGCAGCAGGTAAAGAGAAATATCTGAATATCATTTAGCACAAGTTTGCTTTATGGCTCCATTCATGTCATTGCGATGTGGTTCCAGTTGCTTGCCGTGTATTTCTCTTAAGACAAATCTGGGAAATGGTTTTGAAAGAATGGTTTCTCTTTATGTGTTCACTGCCGGGGTTCTTCATAACCATGAATGCCCATTTTCAAACACAAGTTACCACTTGGTATTCTTGTCACTAAGTTCTGTGTGTCTGTGCCAAGTTGTCTGTGTGTGAATCAGGGCTCCAGCGCATTAACATGGTTGTAGTGCTAGAATGACTGAACTTGTGTGAAAGGCCCGGTTTGCACACCAACCCCCCACACCTGTTTGCAAGGTAAGAGGATGTGCTTCCAGGACCAGCAGGCCTTTGCATCTGTCGAAAAGCACGAATGCGCAACACTTTCCATTTTGCCCTTCCGTCACTGTGTGGAAGTCTAAAGGAATCCCTTCGCGCACCGTACATGCAGCTCCCAAGTTTTACATGGACTGGCAGTTTTGTCCTGATCATCTTTTCATTAGCATGTATTTATTTGTTAGAGAATCGTCAGTAAACAGCCAAGGCCACAACGAGCCATGTGACCTGAACTCTTAATTTTTGCATGGATGGAGGTAGAAAGCTCCCGTTTGGTCTACTCTCCTTGTCTCACTGGATCTTAATTTATCCTGTGCCCTGTGCCCTGTGCACTGTCCCTCTGGCCTCACTGGAAAGCACCTGAGCAGAGATGGTCAACTATAGTTTTCCTACCTGCAGTTCTGACTTGCATTTCCCCCCTTCCCCCAAGAAGCCCCACAGCTACGCTCAAGTAAATGTTCTGCCTCAGGATGTGTGCAAGACTTACCTTGTAGATTAGAAATGCTTCGGGGTGGGGGGGAGATTAAGGATTGTTCATGGCTGAAGATGCTGGCACTATGAACTATTTCGTGTTTGCTTTTTGCCTCGCACCACCAGCAACATTCCTTTTGCAAACCTGGGCAAAACAAACGGCCTTGGGGAGCAGCACAGTTTGCATCTGTGGAGCAGTGGCAAAAATGGAAGTGAGGGATGGTCGAAGAGAACAGTTTGGTCCATTTTTGCTCATTTCAGTGACGGAAGGACGACTGGCACAGGGATTCTTGTCTGAGTTCTACCCATAGGTTACAATGAGGAAATGCACAATGTCTGCTGGGTCTGCAGAACTCAGGAAAGTTTTTGGTGGGGACATTGCAGCTTAATTGTGTGAGAAATCCTCTTCATCCTTTGCAACATTTACGAGGTTGGTCCTGTAGGTATCCCTTTTCCGTCGGACAGCCAAAACAGAACAGTCTGCTCTTACTGCTCCTTATAGATGCACGAACGTGACTGGGCTTTTGGTTTTGTGCAGCTGTCCAATTGCACCAAACTTACAGGATGCACGTGTACCATACCTAGGAAGCCAGACCCTACAAGTACGTATCCCGCAGCTTGCTGGTGTCTTGGAGTCCACGGGCAAAATGCTTCTCGTAGCTTGCTGGTGCTGGAGGTAGAGGCGAGAGTCTACCCAATCCAGTGGACAATGAGATCTGCAAAGACCTATGGTGCACCCCATGGGCAGCCAGAAAAGCTGGGAGAGCAGTTCTCCTCTGTGTCCAGAAAGGACTGGGCACGCCCCTTTGGATGGCTTGTCTTGGTCCCCAGCTGTAGAAATCGGGGCCTGGGGAATTAGCCTTGCTTGGCACGAGTCGAAACACTGACCTAGCTAACTAGGTGTTGTTTTCCAGAGGCCCTGGGAGAGGTGCCCAAGGACTCAACATGTAGTTGTGTTTGGCCAGTGATCCTGCCACCATATTGGGCCAGTTAATGAGCTGCTGCTTGGTGTTATGATTAGCTTAACGAGCTCATGCTTGTTCTACGCTTGGTTAATCGACTTGTGCTATGGTACGTTATGCGAATCCTGATTGACGTAGATGGAAAACCTCAGGTGTTAGGACCCGTGGCCAGCTAATGAGGATGGGGACCTTCATGTCCCACAGAATGTAATGATGGGAAGGTGCATCCTGTTGCCATTTGGGGCTTGCTGACGAGGCAAACGGGTAGTTGCAGACTGCCTGGTCCCTGCCCCTGTGCAACAGCCAAGCCCTTCCTATAGGTAGGCTATACAGGTCAGCCATTTTCCCTGGGGCAGGTCATTTCGG